GCAGTCCTTATTGTTGAGCCCTGACTGATCTGGCTAATTTTGCAAGTTTTGCGTAGGATTGAATGTTCTTGTCACCTCGTCAATTTCTTTGTCAACTTACTGTATGTTCTCTGTCATCATTTGCAGGGATGGGTTTTGATGTTGTAACAAACTATTTGAGTACTTTCTCGCGCCAATTGAAATGCAACACATGACTGTTTATTTACCTTGCAAGTCGAGCGCAAACCCGACCCAGTCCGGCCCCATCTAAAATGATAGAAATTAAGCCAAAACCCATTTTCAGGCAAAGATCTCCAGCTCTGTAACAGAGTTTGCCTGAAAAGGGTGGTCTGGTGAAGTTCTCAGGTGTGACTGCAATTTTGTCTGTCCATACAGAGAGCAACATTTTTTACATTTTTCCTTTCAGCCATAAGCTTGGCAAATTTGCACAAGGCAATAATTACATCCAAATTAATTAGATCTGAGGAACCATAAACTAAATTCAAAACCTACTTGCACAGCTACTAAGAAAACATAACTTTTACTAAAAAAACAAACAAAAAAACAAGCACAACTTTACACAGACAGCAACACAAAATTGAACGGGTTTGTAATTCTTACCAGTGATGAATGGGGATTTTGTTTTTCATGTTGCAGTAATCTTTGCCAACAGCACTGGTATGCAAAAGCACTTCTCCTGCACTCTATCTAATCTGTATCCAATGCAAGTTTTTATTGTTGTGCACCCATGCCTATAATAGACAAAGCACTTGTCAGATATGTTTTTGAGCACATGAGGGGCCTTTTCATTGATTTATTTCTTTATTTTATAATTGATACTTTATAGCAAGCCACGTGGTGTCTTTGGACTTGGTGTGAACAGGCAGTAACCATCAGCTGTAGCTATTATTGAAGTCTTTAATGCAGTTGAGGCAGTTGTTGTTTTTTTTTACACAAGATCAGGGAGGGTAGCGCAGCGAGATCAGCATCATCAGGACACACACCCGTCTCAAAAGACATACGGAAGTGAAGGGGAGACAGAGAGGGAATTTGAGTCCAGTCCAGAGAATGTACTCTCACTCACACAGCTTCAGGAGCAGCAGGAACAAGCCTTGCACAGACGCTTTAGAGCATCGGGTCCCAAGCAGAGACAATCCAGCCACACAGCAGAGCAGGGGGAGCTGTTAGTGAGTGTCTGAGAGAAAGCTTCCTTTAGCAATGACGTCACGCACTTACCTTGAGCTCAAAACTAAAAATGTACTTGCCCTGTTGCTTCACAATGAATGATGTGCTGTTGTCCATCCTAAAACAACATAAACTTAACTATTTGACTTCAGTTCTATATTCTACAAGTTTTCTAATGAGTGGAACCCACTGATATCATGATTTAGTGAGATTATCCGTCAAAATAAATACTGATTATTTCACAAAAATGAATGGCCTTATGATATGGATAGAATATAGATAGAGGATATAAGACTACTTATAGGCAAGTTATTATTTACTCACCCTCCTCTTGATACAAATTATTTGGATTTCTTTTGTTCAGCATAAAAAGGGGATAATTTGAAGAATGTTTAGTGCTTCCCACAGGTTTGATATATATATTTGCGGCGGTGGCCGGATTAAAACATACCATTTACCCACATCACATAAATAGTTAACTATATGCGACAAACAAAATATAATTAATTTTTTTACAATAATTTTATTTATTATGACACTGTTATACTTTTTCTTTTCAATGAAATTAAGTAAAAAAGATCCATTATTTCTCTTAATTTAATGCGATTCAGCAGCCATGTGCACCCACTGACTGCTCAAATCTGCTTCTCTCTCTATCAAGTTCAAAGCAATCTCTAATGGCAAATCGTTCAGATATGTATATAAAATAGCCCAAACAATATAGCCTAACAGCATCATCAAATTAATAAAGTATACAGCAAATAAGAAATAATGACAGAAAAAGAGAAAAAAAAAACAGATGGTATCTTAAAAAAAATCATGATTGCAAGATTAAACCGTGTAGATTATTTAAATAAGGCAAATGCGTTAAGCACTATTGGTGTGCACATATTTGTAGGCAGTTTAGATCAGTCATTTCATCCTCTTCGAGCACATAGTAAAGTTTTTCTGAACCGTTTATATTTAACAGTCTATTATTTACTTTTTCTCTCAGTCTCGCAGCTGTGTGCGCTGTCAGCTGTGAAGCAAGCGGAAAGTAGTCTTTAATAAAAGAGTCATGCAAAAATGCATACAAGATTTAGAAAGCACTGATCCTAGAAAGTAGTTGCCTTTAACTTCCATATTATTTTGCCAGTTTCCAGCATTCTTCAAATCATTCTGTGTTTAATAGAATGGGGTAAAAATTTGTTTCGGTACCACTTGAGTGTGAGTAAATAAAAATTTTGGGGGAACTATCCCTTTCACGTGGATTTCCAGTTGGTTTATCATAAGTGGGCAAAAAAGACGGCTGGCCGAACTACAACTAGGAGATTGCAGTGTAAAATAAGTTAAATGTCTTTGTTTAAAATGATTGAAGTAAAAAAAAAATGTAAATGCCTTTAATCAGTTTCATGCAAATCCCTAAGATGTTTTCTTTATCCTGTTGGCTTTCTCTGTTTTAAAATTCTCTTGTGGTGCTTCGTATAGAACTCAAAAAAAAAACAAAAAAAAAAAACAAGTGGTTTGGAATGCCATGGCTGATTTATTTCTTAGTACGGTATCTGTAGGCCACATGAAATCTGCACTCTTGAGTTTCGAAGAATATTTATAGCATTTCACTAGACTGAGATTAGATAGTTTACCCAAAAATGAAAAGCGACCTCACCCTTTACTCTCCCTAATGTGTTTGTTAAACTTAGTGTTTCTTTCTCCTGTTGAACACACAAGATTATTTATTTATTTGTTTGTTTTTGTTTTTTTTTTTCTGGAAAAATAGAATTCAGTGGGGAATACCGTCATCAACCAGCTTTATTTAAAACAACTTTTGTGTTCAACAGAAAACAATCAAATGTTTTGAGCCTGACTGTCATTTTTGGGTGAACTATCGCTTAAATCATTCTCATTTGTCAATCGTTGATCTCAATGGATGTATTTATTTGTTTCAGGTAAAGCGTCGGATCATGCAAACGAGGATGGTCAGGCAGTAAAGGACTGAATGACCCAAAGAAGAGACACATTCACTTAAACACACACAAACACACACACACACACACACTCTCTCTTCACATCCTGAACTGTCATTTACCCCACGCCTCTGAGAAATGAATTCTTTAGATTCAAATGTTCAAACTTGTATGTAGAAAAACAGACCTGTTTGTTTTAATTTGATTTTTGTTTTCTGTTCAAATTGTTCTTGTTGCCCTTTGCCTCTGTCTGGAGCAATTTTTAAAAACAAACCTTTGAAAGAAAAAAAAATCTGTTTTAATCTCCTTTAAGGTTGCTTATTAAAACCTGAAAAGATGTTTTTTACTGTTTTATCTCCCCTCTCTTTTAATCCTCTATTAAAGCCAGATACTGTACTCCGGTTTCATTGAGGCTCATTTTCCTGCATTCAGTTCCATGAAAACTCTCACACTGTATCATACCCCGTGTATGAGCACGAATTCCTCACACTGTAACGAGGCTTGGAGTCATTCTAAACACTGAAAGTTTTTACTGCTCAAAGTTTTTGACGTTTAAACAGAAGTTACTCCGTTTTCCTCCACATTCATACAATGTCCAACTATTTCCATGTTGAAAGCGAGATCTAGAATAGACATGAAGGCACAGGACACACAGGAGTTTTCAATTTTCACTTTTTTTAATTCAAAAGAATATGACAGTTTCACAATAAATAACCATGCTTGTACGGCTCGAGTAGGTTTTTTTCTGTCTTGTTTCGTAAAGGAGCTTAAAGTGACTAAAGCCAGAGCCCATGACCTGCATTTCTCCTTTGACTGAAGTTTTTGTCCTTCTTCGTGCAATATTGAACAAGGTGATCACTACAGGAAGACAGTCTTTTTGTTTTTTTCTTTTGTTTGTTTTTCATACAAAATATAAATCCAGCCATCGATGGTGCATTCTAGAGATGAAGAGTGCGCTTATCACCCCCCTCCCATCCCAAAACAAACTTGGCTATATGTACATGAGAAAGGTGTACGAAAGCAACTAGCTTTGAATTGAGGGCATTATGAGAACAGATGGGATGTTGGAAGGCTAGCAAACTGAGGCAAGTAGCAAAATGAGTAAAAGAAACCTTTCACCCCTGTAAGAACAAAACACGAGGTAAAAACAGGATCACAAAGCATTGTGTGGCAGTACTCGCGCTCTTGGCCCGTTTGCTTGAAAGCATCTTTATAGACTAAAAAACTCTAGCTTGCTTGAGACATGCTTGCGATGTGGGTTATGTGCCAAACGTCAAAATAGACCTGCAGTTTGTCAGCAAATCTAAATCCAGCTGAGTGTGTTAAGAAACGCCCAACATCCTGATTGTTTCACAAACTAAAAGTCAGTCTTTAAGAAAGAGGAGAATCTTGTGTCTTCACTTCCTACAAGTGCCTACACAAACGCTAATTGTTTCATACATTATTCTTTTTCTTTGGGGGAAAAAAAAAAAGGCAACTGTCCTCAAATCAAGTCACATCCTCTACAGCTGCCTTGAAATCAAATAGAGGAAGGGTTTGCGACCAATATTCTCACATCACCCCTTTTTCAAAATGAGAAAGGGCATCTTTTCATACTTGTGTGTGTGTGTATGTGGGAAAAAAACAACACTTCACCCTGTAAGCTAGAAACTGCATCTGCACTCACAACACCATGTCATCTGGCCATATCCACTTCTATACAGACTGATTAGTGCAAAAGAAAGCCAAAAGAGACATTAACAGAATGAAATGAGCAAATCAAAATCACACATTAGTTCACCGTAGGACAGAAGGGCTAATATTCATCTCACTTTTTTGTGTTTTATACGCTAAACATCCCATTCAAATGAGCAAACCCCAAACGTGATGGTGTGCAGAAAGAAAGAGCATTCCTGCTATTTTGCATTTTTAATGTACACTACTCATTTACATGTGCTAACATTGTTGCACAGATCGAAGTGGGAGTTTCTGTAGTGTGAAATGACAGTGAGATTGGCTTTGTCTTTGCTGGGTTTCTTTAAAAGGAAGCGACAGCCTAAATATAAGAGGGAAAATGATTGTTGCAAAGCAAAAACAAGTTAAACATGAGAGGGGGAGGAGAAAAAAAAAAAGAAAGACACTTGGACGTGAATGTTTGCAGAAAAAGACTCGGATGACTCTGAGGTTGCACATTAATTGTCTGGCAGTCTTAACTGCTGCTGCTTCTCACCAAAACCTTCATTCTGAACACAACCCAACACGGGTGACGCATGTGTGGATGGTTGTTTGGGTGGGAGTGAACGGGTCATGAAGCAGGAGGGGTCTGATGGAAATATGGCCTGATGAACAGAACTGGATGATCAGTTGCTTAGTAGCAGCTCTGTCGCCGTCTCCACGTCCCATGATTTTGAGGACAAGGCTACTATTACTGCATTCTGTGTGAGAGAGAAGGAAAGACAAAACGTTACAGTCAGAAACAGCAAATCTGCTCAACCAACTGTCAAAGGTCTTGACATGCTTCAAGCTAAATGGAAGACCAAACAGGTGTGACGACATTTCAAACAAAATCAGGCCAACACAAAGTTTGCTTGGAGTTCGTCTGGCGAATCTGACATCTCTTGCCAAAGCAAACTTCCTGAAAAAGGTCACTAATAGACACTACCACTGGTCCAGAAAAGGAACACTGACTTGGAAATATTTGGTTAACTTCCTTTTGTTCAGTCCTTCCAGGTTTGATATCAATGAGTAAAAACAAACCCTAAAGAGCTGCTTTATAGTAGACATTGAAGTATAAATCTAATTTCAAATATTGATGTAAATCTGCTTGAAGGCAATCTACTCTATTAAATACTCAATTGAAGTGATTTGATTACCAAATTGCAGAGCTCGTGCAAACGGCCACATTGCTATGATCAGATGCTTTCTTGAAGGGTTCGTGCACCCAAACATGAAAATCTTTGACTAGTTTTTTGTCCTGTTAAAAACAAAAGATATTCTAAAGAAAGTTGGAAACCGGTAACCACTGGCATCCTTAGTAGGAAAAACAAGTACTATGGAAGTCAGTGGTTACACTCTTCCTTTGTGTTAAACAGAACAAAAGGGGAAAAAAGCCGATATGAAACAAGTCGTGGGTGAGTAAATGATGATGCACTGTCCCGTTAACTGTCATTTCTCATCACTCCACACATTCTTACATGGTTATCTAAACGCTGCTTTCAGCAACATGGACAGCAGTGTGATGTTTACTGTAGTGTAACAGTAACAGGTTACCACTGCTTAGTCATTTGAACTCAGTCTAAATATTAATTTTTTTGTTCTTCATTTAGGACTATTAAAAAGACAATATCATGAGGTAAACATCACATTCATCCATTATCATATATCATTCAACACAACAACTAAAAGGAAAGTTCTACAAATGCTAAATGTCATTCTCCTGCCGATAGTGCAGATAAAAGTGTATCAAGCTAATTTTCTGTCAACACATACCCCCATTCAGAGGTCTGGGGAGTCATTTTTTTAAAGACTTTAACATTTATTAGGCAAGGACGCATTAAACTGATCAACAACTATTCACAACACTGCTAACTGTTTTCTGATGTATCCTGACTTTGAAGACTGGAATGATGATTACAATTCAGGAATAAACTATGATGCTAAAATGATTATAATTCAGGAATAAACTATGTTCAGTCTTAATTGTCATTAAATTATACATTTTATTTATCTTATTTTTGTTATTTTTTATTGTAATATTTCACTCTCACAGTATCACTATTTTTACTGCACTTCCGATCAAATCAATGTTGAGTAGAAGAGCAAAACAGACTTCTATCAGAAACAGTCAAATATCTTACCAACTACTAAGCTTTCAAACACTATTCTGTCAGCACTGGTGAATTTGTACACCTACATAAACAACCATCATTTTTATTGTGTAACACATGAAAATGCAATGCAAACACAGCAACACAAGCAACGTGCACATTTGTAGACTAAGGTCTAGGAGTCAGCAACCTTTGTGACAGGATAATTTTATTCTTAAATCCCTCTCATGTTCAATGTACAATACACTTCAGCCAATCATGCTTTCAAGCTATAGGAATCCATTTTTACCAGAGTAAACAATAAATGGCAAATGCTTTGAAACTGGCAGGTAACTGTATCTTGTCTGTGACAGGCCTAGTCTTTTCAACAAAAAGCATATATACGATTTGCGAATTAGTATTATATTAGTCAGCAGGTAATCTATAACTAGTATGATCCAAAACAGTGACAAGCTGTCACTTCCAGCAAAATGAATAAACTATTTTTTGACATGGCCTCATACTTCATACTCCTCATAAATCTTCTGATTAAGCAAATGCTCTTTGATACATCCCGCACCTTTCAAAACGCTACTGCTAATGCAGAAAATGTTGACTGTTAAATGTAAATTTGCACAAATCCACAAGCAGCATCTGACCAATCGAATTCGATGCTAATGTCATTTTAGGTGCTGCTGAGCAGAGATTAGGAACATAAACAGACAGATTCAACATTTAAATTGAACTGTAACTGTCCTAGACTCAGTGACTCTGGCAGCGCTGTGGTATAAACAGAATAATTTAAATAAAGAGGAGGAGCTGCGCAATATGTCCCACCTTTAATTCCTGTATCAGTGGAAACCGCATCATCACATTGAATTTGGTACTTCAGGGGACGTTAAAGTAACATTTAATTCAGACTGTACAGTTATTTCAATAAAACGCCTAAACTAATTGGCGGGGGTATTCTGATTTTTGTTTTTGGCAATCCGTATGTCCACCATATATATATATATATATATATATATATATATATATATATTTCATAATGACATGAAGTTAAACTTATGGTTAACAGTAAGTAGTTATCAGTTTCACCTAGTCTCCAGCCAACCAATCATAATGAGGAAGGGGCGGGACAAATACCACACAAACGCACCAACTAAACAGGACCAGCGGGTTCAAGTTCAGCAAAGCCTTCATGTTAAACACGAGCCAGAACAAAACTACATCCTGCTGTCATCCTTTTTACATTAAGAAACAAACACAACAGAATCATCATCACACTTCCACTGAGATTCTGAATCAGAACAATCAAAAAAAAGTCTCAATTGGGGGAAAAAGGTAAATGGACTAGTACTCTATTAAAAAAAATTATTAATTAGTTAATTAAACAAACAGTTTTTAAGTGCATGATATTAATCTTGTTTTAAAGAATTCTTTTTACATGGGCCAATGACAAAAATTAATTTATGGTATTAAAAGAATACAAGTCTTAAATGGTAAGAAATAAATAGCAAATCTATCAAACCCACAGGTGCTACTCATTTCCCAGTTTTAAACATATGAAATGATTTTAGTATACATTATATATATATATATATATATATATATAGCTCTGCCACCATTTAATTAATCAACAACCGATAGATAGAAATCTCCATCAAGTAAATCTTTTTTACTAGCAGTTGCCAGTCAAAAGCCAGCAAGCTAAACACAACACAGGACAGGATTAGAACCTCAATAGCTTTGGACATTTTGAATTTCCAACAAGTAATGTGCCAATAGTGCCACATGTCACAAAGCCAATAACACCACATGTCACAAAGTTGCCAAACCCTGCTTTAGTCAGTGCATCTTTTTATTTTGCCACTATTCAGTACTTACTTTGTCAAAGCCCATTGCACAAAGTTTGTCTATTTTGCGTGTGTACTCTGGACTGGACACAGGAGCACCAGCGTAAACGTGAGACCAGAGACGAGCAGTTTGTTTGAACATTTCTGGATTCTGCTTATACTGCAAAAAAAAAAAAAAAAGACAACAGTGACGTTGTTAAAAGGTTTACAAAGCCACATTGTCATGCAATATTCTCATTTAGACAGAGACACGGGCTGCATCCGAAATCGCATACTTCCCTGTGATATAGCAGTGTGTCTAAATAAGTAATACGTGAAGAAATACACGGAGGTAGCCATGGGACAATAACCGTTTTCAAGATTAAAAAAAAACAATTTTAAAAAATTTTAAATTCGCTCAAATTTTCTGTTATACCATTCTTACGTTATATACAAGTTAAGTGTTTTTACTGCCATTTTATTTAGTAATTTAGGGGAACAGTATCTCCAGCAGAAAAGGAACATCCACATCAAAAGCTACTGGTCAGCCCACATCTGAAAACCAAATCATTTATACGCCAACATCCAAGCATGCTATGGACCCTTATTTATATCCAAAGATAAGAAAATTATCCAAAGATGCCTTTTCAAATGTGAAACTATATGTAGAAGAAATATAAAGAACATAATAAACACAACAGCATGAAAACCTTGATATTTTTATCCAAGGTTATTATACCGTCAGAATCTTATACTGGCCCATGCCTACCCAGAGGACCTACTACCTACTCCGGCTTTGTTTTGTTTCCAGTCGAAATATCCAAAAAGTTTTAAAAATCAAGAAGCATTTTCTAAACAAGCAAAACATATTGTCTTGTTTTAAGAAATATGTCAAAATTAAGGTAAAAAAAAAAAGTTAAATAATCTGCCAGTGGGCTAAGCAAAATAATCTTATGTCAAAAGGGAAAACAGGACAATACAATATGCTTTGCTTGTCTAGAAAATGCTTTGTGATTTCGGAATTTTTAGATATTTGGACTAATGAAGTTTGGCCTACATGCTCATTTTTAAAAGAAACTTCTTTGGTGCATCAATCTTTTCAATGCTATTATTCAAAAAGGAAATGATTCGCACTTATCAAGTAATTGCTTCGTACTGTTTTTATTTTTACATTCTACGGGTGATTCAACGTTTCGGCACAATGCCTTCCTCAGTGTGTGCAATGTAGATATTTGGACTAGAAACAAAACAAACTTCTTCCCAAGAAAAGTACTTATTGCTTAGTGCTGTAGTGCACATCAAATAGATGCAACGCTATCCCATGATGCCACACGTAAGAGAAATTAATGAATGGACAAAGCAAATCAACTGACGCAGGTAGGTCATGTGTAGGCCCACACGAAATCTGTGCGCGCAAAATTCCGCAGGTTTTTAGCCCATCATTAATTCTGTTTATTTCCGCAGATTTTTAGCCCATCATTAATTGTTTATTTACTTGAGTAAATGTTTGTAAATCTATATTTATTCAGTTTTTAATCAATAACAGTAAAATTGACTAAAATGAAAATATTCACTTGATTTTTATACAGTGCATATTTTCAGTCTTTTAGTAGATATATGAGAGACTTGCTTTGTTTACCAAATAAAGTGAATCTAATTAGATTTGCATTTTACACATTCAATAAAAGTTAAAAGATAATGTTTTTTTATTTAACATATTAAGGTTTTAGTTATGATTCTAATCATTCATAATACTCACGCATTGTACTATTTAAAACGTACCTTTCTAACTATCATGAGGTAAATTCAGATGAAAAACCTACTCGAGTAGTATGCGATTTCGAACGCAGCCACTGACAGTGCATATTTGACTGTACCTGATTGGCTACCACAGCGTCCTGTGGATCATCGGGCTCTGCTGCAGCTAACAGAGCCTGTAGTGAGAGCAGAACTGTTCGCAGAGTCATAGCAGCAGCCCTGTGCACAGGATATGAAGACACAATCATTTGAAAAGGGAACAGGAAGGAGAGAAAGAAAGAGCAGTGTCAAAATTATTGAAGGGTTCGTTCACCCAAAATGAAAATGCTGCTATCATTCACTCAGCCTCCACTTGTTTAAAAGCTGATGGACATTCCTTTTTCTGTTGAACACAATTCAAGATATTTGGAAGAATAACGGAAACCAGTAACCACTGACATCCCTAGTATTTGTTTTTGCAACTATGGATGTCAACAGGTTTTCAACATTTTCAAGATATTGTATTTTGTGTTCAACAGAAAACAGAAACCCATTAAAGTTAGGAACTACTTAATTTGGAGTTAACTTTGAATCAGTTTTCATTTTTAGTTGAACCATTAAATTAAATGATGAGTCATGATAATGAAGCACTCACCACTGGTCTTTTAAAATGTCCAAACATATCGCCCCGGTAACAGAACTTATATTGGGATGCCAGATCTTAGTAATAAACCGCACCTGAAAAAGATGACAAAACTCATTTTAATTTATGATATATTTATTTTTGCTGCGAGTTGATATTAAATTCTGAATGATCTTCTTTGCTTTGTTAATGCACTCAGAATTGTCATCAATGAACAATAATCTGAAATTGAGGTGGGACTGAAGAGACTCAAGAGTAAAAAATGAGTTATTCTTTCCTTTTTCTCCATTCATCACATCTTTCAATGTAACAAATGTTCAGATACAAAAACATCTTGTCTATAACATTTAAAACAGGAATCATTTGTTGCCCCTATATAAAAAAATCTTTGCCAAAATCTTTGCCAGTTTTCTTTTACCAACTCATGTATTAGGATGACGTTTTTAATAATTTAAAATACCACAAAATGTAGTTGATAAGCTTTTATTCTTAACCTAATATATGCATTATTCATTCATTTTCCTTCAGCTTAGTCTATTTCAGAGGTCATCACAGGGGATTGAACTGCCAAGTACTCCAGCATATGTTTTATGCAGAGCATGCCGCCCCAACCCAGTACTGGGAAACACCCATACATTCTCATTGACACACACTCTGATACACCATGGCCAATTTAGCTTATTAAATTCACCTATCACGCATGTCTTTGGACTATAAAGGAATTCGGAGCACCCGGAAGAAACCCACACCAACACAGAGAGAACATACAAACTGCACACAGAAATGCCAACTGGCCCAGCCGGGACCCGAACCAGTGACCTTCTTGCTGTGAGGTGACAGTGCTAACCACAGAGCCACCGTTCCACCCTTTGGGGCATTATTGCAACATTTATTAAAAGATTATTATTAATATTAAAGCTAACATTTCAATATGCTTTCTATGCATGTAAAAACACTGCATGTAATTTGAATCAGACTTCAAAATGTGTCTCATCCTTGACTAAAAATTTCTGTCTATTTAAATATCTTCTAGAAGGTTTCCCAGCAGTTTAAAAAAAATTACAGAACCGGAGTCACACATTGGATATCTGCTTTCATATTGAAATGAATTAAAATGTGTAAGTACTTTGTGATTGCCAATTTATATTCAAATACAAGAAGGCATTTCAATGTTACCAAGAGTAAGTGTAAGATTAGGTTCAGCTGCAACTTTTTTTAACTGTTACTTACTGGTTTATTAATCAAGTCAATTGTTGGGGCATCACAGATCAAACGACTGAGAATTACACGTTAATAAACTTTCATTTTATTTGGAACATAATAAACAGCAGACGAAACATTCATCTCATTACTTGAAGACACATGATAATGTATAGGTTCTAAAATCCTCTGACTTATTATAGCCTGACGCATAGAAAAAAAAAAATCAATGTCAATAATATAAAATCTGGATCTTTTTTTTTTTTTTTTCTTTCAAACTAGCAATGACCCCTCTAGACTTAAAGACAAAGAGAAGACAAATATACTTGAACACTTTAACAGTTGTTCATGTGATCTTTCTTCTCAAGTCTAGTTCGGTTAGTTCACAAACTATTACTTTTAGCTTTCTCTCTAAATTCTAAATGTGAATCAATATTGAACTTAAGTGAAATACTTAAACTCTTTTACCCGATGTCTTTAAAAGGCTTTACATGCTAATCAAATCCAGACAACTAAATTACAGCAGTACAGTCGATTACTGAACATTACTAACCAACTACTGCCTTAATGAATATAAACAAAGATCATCCAGACGCAAATGTTATGGAACTTTTAACTTCATAATAGGGCTGCACAATATATCGCTTTAGCATCGATTTCGCAATGTGATCATTTGCAATAGTCACATCGCATGATAGGCAATGATGAATTTTTATTATAGTTCATCATGTGCATATGTTTTTGATGCCTGTGATTGTTTAATGTTTTTAAAAGCATTTGGGTATAAGAACTTGAACTATTTGTGACCTTATTGAATTGTTTTTATTTTTATCATTCAGTTACTGTACTTAAATACTGTTAGACCTGGGAAACAACAAACCACTTTATTTGAATAACATCTTTGTCTTGACTGCATTTACAGATTGTCATGTATGAAAATACTCACAACATATGCAAATACAGAAATGCACTGCAAATAGCACAGATCACAACAATTGTTTATTTATTTATTTATTTATTTTAGATTTTATAGAGATGCACTCCCACTGCAGAGATATTCCAGTTGATCTAAGATTAAAAATTGAGTTAAGTCATTGATAAAATTGTATTCATATTGCTATATATATATATATATATATATATATATATATATATATATATATATATATATATATATATATATATATATATATATATATATATATATATATATATATATATATATATATATATATATCGCAAAATAAAAATATATATTTTTATATTTATTTTGGATAAATAACATTTGTATCCCCTTTCATTCATTCATCGTGTTATTTTAATTCCATGTTACACTATTATCTACTTATTTTTATATTAATAACATTCATTTTCCTAATAGTATGTCTATGTAAAATATTTTGGCAATATTATATGTAAAAACAGCAGAAAGAATACTTGTTGAATTACCTTGGGTGGATTAAATGGATACGTCTCAGGGATCTTGATTTCTAGTTGATATCTTCCCCCTGTGAGAAAAAAAACGTTAGCCTGTTATAATCTTATCTCCAGCATTAATCTCCAAGCAAACATTAAAGAAACATCATGTAAAGGCTCTCATTACCTTCATATGGTGTGTCTGGCGGTCCTGCTATTTCTCCCTTTAACTCTGTAAAGTTTTCATCCACCAGATCTACTTTTATTTGATTTTTACTCGTCTGTTAAAAAGCAAAACAAAAATGTATTTAGTAAGGAGTAACGTTACCATAGTTTCTTGCTTGAACAAAGAAACAACAGGTATAGTCAAGTTATGAAGCTGTCTTCTGAACATAATAAGCACCCTTAAAAGACAGTATGATATGAGTCTATGATTCCCAAAAATGCTGTCTGTCAATGGTGCTGCATTACTTAAAAAAAGAACATCCTAGCTGCCCTGTTAACTGACACCAACACACACAAAAACGTAGGAACACGATCAGTAAACCACTAATGGGCATTTCAAAACAGAAAACCAACCTTAAAACACTGAGTGCGAGTGCTGTTATTGCAGACTATAGAAGTGTTGGTGAAGCTAGCCGGCTAACTATGTCAAATAGCTCCATGGCTTAAGCTCGATGTGTGCCAGCACAAATTTAACAATACTCTGACATGTTCATGAATGAATTAAACATTTAGGTCTATGTTTTCGTTTTATTACATCGAGAGAAGCAAATTTGTCAGAAGTGTGACTTCCGTATCTTAAGTCCATCATATGACAGCTCATGCTAACATTAGCTTAGCATGCTAGGCTAGCTCATTGGGTTTTGTGTGTTCATCGCCAAAAGTCCTTCTGTTTGTTCTTAACGGGCAGGAAAATATAGTAAAGTAGCGTTTTGCAAACCTCTTCGCTTTTCAGCACTTCTTTAAACTCTCGCTTGATCCTCTGCACAGCGATATTTGCCATGGCTGATTGATTCCTCTCTCTCTCACTCTTTCTCTCTCTCTCCTTCTCTCTTCCGCTGTTTTTGAGCCTCCAGTCCGCAAAGAATGATAGAGCTTCACTTTCACACCCCTCTTGCGCTCCTTCGCCCTCTCTCTCTCTCCCTCCCTCTCTCTCTCCTAAAACAGTACGGAAAGCACCAGAAAAGCACCGGTAAACAAAATAAGAGCCTGGAACACTAAAACACTGCACAACAGCACTGCGTTTGTCCTTCTTTGTTGAATCAGGTGGATGTGTTATGCAGCAGAAAAGCAGAGCTCAGTCTTGACAGATCCAGAAAGCGTTCACATCTAGTTTCACTCCCATATGATGTGGTGCTGTCACATGATGTCGTGCTGCTAAAGCTCGGATGCATCTGTTTTACTCTCACGTGATGCGTTCAGAGCATACGGTCCATCCTCACCCCTTTCACTGAATTTGCAAACAATTTAGGCCTACACTATTTAAACCAAGTATTAAATCACATGGGTCCTTTTTGATTATTCTAACAGGAACATGAAGATAAATCGTTTGTAGCATACAATATGTATTTACCACCATTATAATACCATGCTAAATCTGAGTTATTTTTATATATATACAACAGTTCTGTCAGGTTCTCGAATCTGATTGGCTGATAGCCGTGATATATTTAAGTAATATCAGCACCAGTACAGCCTCTTTACCTTTTGTGTATTACTCCGCCTACATACAGCCAGCAAAAAGCATATATATTAAAATTAACAAATAAAAAGTTTACACTATGGTAATTAATACAGTGTTTAAAAATAATACAATTGTTTGGTGTGTTGTATGCTATATATATATATATATATATATATATATATATATATATATATATATATGTGTGTGTGTGTGTGTGTGTGTGTGTGTGTGTGTGTGTGTATATAAATCTATTAATAAGAACTTTTTTTCGTTTTTCACCTTTCATTTGATAAACAATTTGAAATTAAGTTAAATCAACCATGCTTGAAAAGTTGCATACCAGTTGTCAGTGTGGCAGGGAATGAACAGAGCTCTCTTCCACTTTCAGTACCCTAGACTGAGGTGCCCTTAAGGGTTAGTTCTACCAAAAAATCTGTTATAAGTAATTACTAACAGAATTTTTGGTAGAACTAACCTTTAACATCCTTGTGTTGTTACAACTCCCTGGGACCTTCAATTTCGGAATACAAATTGAGATATTTTATATGCTCAGTGTCAGCTAGTAAGAGCTTGGGGTGACCTAAATCAGTCTAAGCTTGATGTTCTTTGCTGATTGGTCCCCACACATTCCTGTCTCAACTTCCACTATCCAATAAAAATGAGGAAAAAAAACCTAAACAATAAAAAAAAAAAAAAAAATTTTTACATGACATCTAACACAACACATTTACAGTCTTTAAAGTCAGAAACCCAATCAACATACAAATGTTTTTCATTTCATGTTAATGTTTTAACATGCGGCATAATCTGACAGATGTTTGGTACACAAAAGTCTTCTTGGAGCTTTGTGTGACAGTTGTTTGTATCTCGTATCTGTGTGTGTTTGTGTTCACTTCTCATTGTGGTGATTATGTATTCCCTTGAATGGGTAAATGTAATTCAACTTCAAAGTATGTGTGACCACATTTGGCCATCACATTATTCATACATCTATCAATTCAGATGCCAATTGACTGCAGATTTTTACTTGATGTTATTTTCTCTATCGATGACCTTTATATTATCCTTAACAGTTGTGTACTTTGCATTTATATTTGTGTTATCTTGTCAATGGGTGAGATTAATACTGAAACTGCCCTTCTATATTAAAGCCACAGAATAAGATTAGGGAGACAATTAAATATATAGCAAATACGGTTTAAAAATATGGTTAATTAGCATTCAATTGCTTTCTCATATAAACTGCTGCCATGTTGCCTTTTGAGAACTCTAGATCAAGCACAATGTCAAATCAACTGTAGTTAATTCAGATTTGAGAAACTTTAGCCTCATTTAGGTCTGTCAAACAATACATTTATACAAATAGATTTGTACAGCTGAATGCATCAGAAATAAACTTAAGTCCTTTAAAATAAAACTCATCTTGGTAATAAAAAAAAAAACAACAACACAGGAGTCCCATTTAAAATTTCCATTATTATTTATTAACTAATAGTGGGCATTTTTGTCCCTGATTCATTCTCACTGAATTATTATGCAGTATCACTCAATAGCACTCTTAATTTTTGATGCCAGACTTCTCCAAAATATTGTTTTTGCACAATGCACACTAAACGTGGCATAATGTCAATTTCCTTTTCTAACAGTAAAATATTGTGTCAGCATCAATTGTTGGTTTAATGTGTTAGTAAGACATAAAAGTAGCTACTTTATTTCTACAGTGGAAATAAAAAAATAAATACGAATAATGCTGGTAACAAAACAGGTGACACAGGCATTTGACAAATTATTTTTTTCCATGCAAGTGGACAAAAATATCTACTGAAATATCTTGACTTGAGAATGAAAACATTTTAACAACTGTTTTTTATTTATTCATTCATTAGTTTATTTTTTAGATTAGTTCCTTTATTAATCAAGGGTCAACACAGCGTATGAACTGCCAACTTATCCAGCATGCAGTTAATGCCTTTCATGCTGCAACTCATCTCTGGGAAACATCCATACACACTCTTTCACATTCATGGACAATTTTGCTTACCCACTTCACCTGTACCGCAGGTCTTTGAACTGCAGGGGAAACCGAGAAAACCCACGCGAACGCAGGGAGAACATGCAAACTCCACACAGAAATACCAACGAACCTAGCCAAGGCTCGAACCAGCAACCATATTTTTTTTTATTGGAAATACAAAATCCAAATACAACAAAATGGCATTCAACTTTACAAATTGTGTATCACACATGGAAGGCTCAACACAAAATAATAAAATACAAAAAAAATGTGAATTAAAAAAACATTCAAACTAAAATAAAATTGGGAGTGAAAAAACATTAAAAAAGAAATCATTGTATTACAGTTATCGGCTATGGCAAGTTATATGATACAAATATGCATTTTTAAGGCAATTTTTGTTTTTATTTTAGCCAGGGCATCCGAAAAGATTAAAAATTATATTTTGTAAAGATTTATAAAAGTTCTTTTATAAATACAATGAGTAGGTGTTTTGAAATATCTACATTTATGAATGAAATATTTGGCTTATACAATGATCATATTTATCAAATTGTGCAAAAAATCCTAGTAAATCCATATCTTGTAATATGAAAGTCAACAGCATTCACATTCTTTATTTTTTTACCAAAAAGATTGAACTGCAAGGCATGGTGAATTTTTAAAATTAAAGTGTAAAAACCTATTAGGAGGGTATATATCATTTAATATTTTAAATTGTACTTCTTTTGCCTTGGGTAGACTGATATTGTATGGTAAGCCTTTTTTCGTCCTCACAGAATGATCTCAGAGTCTGCGACATTTCACGTCAGCGACGTGGCTCTCCATGTTAATTCCTCTACACGAACGAGTAAATATTACTATGCTAAAGGATGATCTCATGTATATTAATTACCAGGCGTTCTCTGCGGCCAGTCGGCCTTGTTGATTTGTTTAAATCTACAGATGACTTATCTCTTTAATATTAATTACGTCTGCAATTGGACGCCCCACGAAGGATACAAATCAACGTCAGCACAGGTGTTTACCATTCATGAACCAAGCCTTCGCCATAGTAACATTCCTAATTTTGCTTTGCCGATCCTATCAAAACACAGACGGAACATCAGCCGGAGGTGCAGCTCTTTGCCAAACGCCAGTGTACACAGGGATCATTTGCACTGGGTTTTGTCTGTCCAACCGGAGTCTCTCAAGGATCGATATAAACATATCAGAGCTGCTTATTTAAAGCGAATGCTTTTAAATCTCTTCGAGTGAGTTGTCCAAATCATTGGTAAGATATCTAAATACTGTTTGATTTGCATTGTAGTTTAACATATCATTCTTATATTTCATAATTGCCTTTTTTAACGTTGCCTTCGTTCAAATATTTTGTCTTGGTTAATGAATTTAAGTAAATTTTGCATCCTTGAGGATAGGATTGCAATTAATGCTTACTTATGATTTACAATAGCTTTTAAAAATGTGTTTTTTATTCTTTGTTTATTTTGTAAAAGTTACCTTAAATTATATTGATTGCGTGCTTTTAGAAGCAGTTAGTAACTTTTTAGTGCTTGTCGCTAGGTTGAGTGTAAAGTTTCTCGAAAGGAAGGTATCCACGACAAATTAACGTAGTAAAATAAGACATTTACAATTGCATCGAATCTATCTAGGTATCTTTAAGATGTGTAGTATTACTTTTTTAAATAAGTAAACGCATCCTTTCCTGAAACTATTCGTTTTGTTTGTTTGTTTATAGTTTCGTAAGTGCTTTCACTTACTAAAACACGGAACTAAACGTCGAGTTTTATATATCTCTACTGGTAAGCACGTAACTCTACTTGAACAAATATTATCAAGTAATCATTACACCGGTACTTGAGTCTCATACTGCATCAGATCATTTCAGACGCGTAATGCTAATTTAATGACAGCGTGCGGTGCTGTAAACTTCAGAGCGCGCACCTCTTCTCATATTCGACAGCTAATCTCCTCATCACAGTATAAACCACATACAAACAGCACACATTTTAAAGCAAAATTAAATTTTTACTGCAAATTGTTTTTTAAAACAAAAGTATAAATGATACTACGCAATACTCGTCAATTCGGCCTATATGCAAAACTGAAATCGGAGAAGTTCAGGAAAACAAATTGCGCTTGGACATTTTTAGGTTAATACCGTACTCAATGTAACACATTTGTTTCAGAGACAATTTGCCATAATTATTTTTTTTTTTTTGCAAAACATAAAGCTTTTAGTCTAAATACACTTATGTTGGCCAAATATAGGCAGTCTATTATTAGTTGCTATGGTTCTTCAACATTTGTTTGTGCATGAAGATTTAGAAGACCTTATTTACAACATGGCTATTTTGCACGTTGTCTGGAAAATGTTGATGTGAGTCTGGAGCACCAGCACCTGTTGCATGATGATGTACATGTCAATGTAAAATTGTGACGTTGTTTGTTAACAGTGGATGAGGAGGAGGATGTGTATGTTATACTGTTCATCCTGAATTATTTGAGTTTTTGGCCCATGCATCCATTTTGTATCAGGAAGCTTGCTCTCCAGGCAATTGTGAACACTGTTCACACCACTGTTTGCTCAGTATATGTCTTCTAAAATATTTAGTTTCTTGCAAAAATAATTGGATTCAAAAACCCCAATATTCTGTCAAAGTCAATCGACCACAAATACAGATATCATTATAAGATGTTACTCTAGTAAAAGTATTAAATACTACTTTTTAATTTTACAAAAGTCAAAGTACATGCAGACTTGATTTTTAATATACTTGTATATTAAAATAAAAAGTACTTACTGACAGATTGTAATTTATTATAACTATTCATTCATTCATTCATTCATTCATTCATTCATTCATTTTCTTCTCAGCTTAGTCCTTTTATTAATTAGGGGTCACCACAGCGAAATGAACTGCCAACTCATCCAGCATATGTTTTATGCAGCAGATGCCCTTTCAGCCACAACCCAACACTTGGAAACATCCACACACAATTATTCACACACATGCACTACGGCCAATTTAACTTATTTAATTCATCTATAGCGCATCTGTTTTTTGCCTGGGGGGTGGGGTTCCCACATGAACACAGGGAGAACATGCAAACTGCACACAGAAATGCCTACTGACTCAGCCGGGCCTCAAACCAGCAACCTTCTTGCTGTGAGGCGATTGTGCTACCCACTGCGCCACCGTGCTGCCCTATAATTTATTTTCATTTTATTTTATTTACAAATTACACTACACACTGATTGATTCTACAGACTATGAATACTATTTCAATTGAACAATTGACAATTTTAGTATATGATAAACTGTCCAAACACAAAATGTTTGCAAATGTGTGCTGGCATTACACTAGCAATAGTACACTAGCTTTATACCCATTATGCTAGTAAGGCTTGGTTTTGAAACCTAAATCTACCCATTTCATAATGTAATACACAAATATGGATATGTCCAAATTCAAGAAATGCATACAATGGGCTTCACAGCTCAACCTTTTACAGTAAATGTACTTTGCAAACATACAGTCGTGTCTTAAATGAGATTTTAATTCAGAATGTTAAATCTTAACATTCATCATTAATAACTTTGACAAACTCATTGTAAATGTAACTAATCGTTTCCTGGAGACTCACTTTGACTGAATCATTTCAATCAGTACGTTGTTAACTAGCTCTCACTGGATGAATTAAATCAGTTGTTGACTCATGAACAAGTGCGAGCTGTGATCCAATATAATGAAGTTCTCAATGTAGCTTTAGGAGGAGCCTAGTCATTCAGGTATGTCAATCATTATGACATGGGCATACAAGCAGCAGCCATCCCACCACTGCAGTCTGGATGGTCTCTGAACTTTGATCTTTCTGAGAAATTAGCTGAAATACAGACTCAACTGCGTTACCAGCAGCATCATTACTGCACACAACCGATGTACAGCTTTAACCATCAACAAACATTCAATTAGCATTTCTTTTTGCAGCAGCAGCAGCAACAGAATGTGTTTAGTTGCAGGTTTTTTTTAAGTTCACCTCAGCTCATGTGGCTCTATTAAACAACACAAAATGTCCCATCTGAGGCTCAAAGGTTGGAGCACATTCAGCTGTATTCCTGTCTTGCTCTACACAGACTCAGATTTCTCTGGATTTCCTCAGTGGTTTCACAAGTTCTTCAAAACTGTTTAATTTGGATATTCTGTGACCTTTTCCCTTTTAGTTTGCTTCAGTCCCAACTGTTTTGGAGTGTTGCAGTTGTTGAAATTAAAAGTTATTAATATTTCTAGAATACAATTAGTTTGTTCTTGATTTTAATGCTAAATCTTCTGGAATTCATATTGTATATTCCTCTTGTGAATCCACTATAATTCCCCACACCCATTCAGGTTTGAGCTAAATCTATGTGTATTTGTTTAAAAAGGAGAGAGGAGAGGATGGCAGAGGGAGGTTTTGACCCTTGCGAGTGCATCTGCTCCCATGAACATGCCATGAGGAGACTGATCAACCTGGTGAGTTTCACATGAGTCACTTTAATTCTCTTTTACAGATCATCATTTTAAATGACACCGCTGCTTCTGTTTTCTACATTAACAAAATAAATTAGAATAACAATTTTTAAAGTGCAAATACATGAATTTTATTATTGTCCAGATCTAAATGAATCAGATAAATGATAAAAGTTACTAATTTATAGATGTTTGTAAAAGAAACGTGAATAAGTGCAAATGATTTTTTTCTCCTTGGTAATTAATTTTTCTGAAATAGTTTTCAGATATTTCATATTTTTGTTGTTGTGGTAAAGAATTCTGTATTTCAAAGTGATCTTTTGTGTGTGTGTAAAGATGTACATAAAACAGACACTTCAAAATTTGTGTTCATGTAAGTTGTTTATTTGAACAAAAAATTAACCCTAACCCTTACCTGTTAGTTTTTCATCTTACCACCCATGATCTGCTGATTTATTATCTACAGGAATGCATTGGGGTTTTAAGTTAAGCCGACTTTGCAATTAAGCTCAGTTACTGTTTTTAGTTTGAGGCGTATAAATAAAACCTTGCACAAAATATTGCACATGTTGTTCTTATATAGCACTGTCAGTGAATGCTTAATATGGAGAGGGAAAAGTAGAAAGTAACAATGGATAATGAAAGTTAATACATAATTGCCAAAATACAGTACACTCTAGAGGTATCCACAGCCCTTCACTTTTTCCACATCTTCGGTTCCAGCCCTATTTCAAAATGGATTAGCCTCAATTGATAAGATTTCTGAGAAAGCTACAAACAATATTTTAGCACAAAATATTTGTTCATTCATTTTGTTTTCGGCTTAGTCCCTTTATTAATGAACTGCCAACTTATCCAGTAAATGTTTTATACAGCGGATGCCCTTTCCAGCTGCAACCCATCTCTGGGAAACATCCATACACACTCATTCACTACGGATAATTTAGCCTACCCAATTCACCTGTACCGCATGTCTTTGGACTGTGGGGGAAACCGGAGCACCCGGAGGAAACCAACGCGAACACGGGGAGAACATGCAAACTCCACACAGAAACGTCAACTGACCCAGCGCGACCTTCTTGCTGTGAGGCAACAGCACTACCCACTGCGCCACCGCTTTGCCAGCAAAAAAAAAATGTTGTTTAGCTAAATTTATTTAAAAAACAACTGACATTTGCGCACGTTTTCACTGACTTTTACAGTCTCAAGTGTTTTTTGAAAATGATGCTACAAGTTAAACACACCTAATTTTGTGTAGTTACTCCCATCTGTCTTTGCAGTGCCTCTAAATCTCCATCAGGTTGGATTGGAAGTGTTGGTCCATAGATTTCTTTAGATTTCTCCAGAGATGCTCAGTCAGGTGTTTATATGGCCTATGGGTTTAGTTGTCTCATAGCCTTTCCTTTGCCATTGTGGCTGTGTGCTTAGGGTTGTTCTCCATTTGAGAGATGAACGATCATCCCATTCTGGTGTTCAGAGTGCTCTAGAGCAGTGTTTCTCAACTGGTGGGTCACGACCCAAAAGTGGGTCGCAGGAACATTTTCAGTGGGTCACGGAGTGTGTGGTCAAAAAAACAACACAAGTTTAATTTTTTACTTATATTGCTTATACCGGACTTTTATTTTGAAATTAGTGCGCATTAACCCTACCGTTTGTCATGTGAAATATCATTTAATTATAGCAAAAAATGTGTCGAAGCGCAAGTACGACCCCGAATATGTAAAGTATAGATTTACATATATTGATGACAAAAAACCTCAGTGTCATATGTAGTGAGGTGCTCTTATCTGAGAGCACTAAACCTTCTAAATTAAAACGACATTCAGAAACCTGACAACATGTTTTATTAACAGTTTAGTTCATAGTAACTGAACATTTCCTTACCCTAACCACTGTTAACAGTATTTGTCATTTTTACTTTGTAATATTTCTATAATTTGATCTATTTTTTTTAAATGACAGCAATAAATATTGTTTATTTGTAAGTCTCTGTGAATGTCTTGTGATTTTATCTGTCACTACTTGTGTATGTTAACAAATAAACACAAATTAGTTATAATTTCTAAAATTGTACTCTAGTTCCTAAAAATTTGGGTCACGGCTTGATGACCATGTAAAAATGTGGGTCCCATGGCCAAACCAGTTGAAAACCCCTGCTCTAGAGCAGGTTTTTGTCAAGGTTGTCTCCTGTACATCCTGTTACTGCATTCACCCTTTCCTTGATCCAGTCAAGCCTCTCAGTTCCTGCCACTTGAAAACACCCCCACCATAAATCTCTGTTTTATCAGACCACAGAATTGTGTTGTCTTGGTCAGAGTCCTTTAGGTATATTTTGGGAAACTGTTGATAGACTTTTCTTGTGTGCCTTTTACTGTGGAGTGGCTTTTGTCTGGTGACTCTGTGAAAGGGTCTTATTGATGGAGTGCTGCAAAGATGCAGATGCAGGTTCTCCTTTCTCCAAAGAGAAATGCTGGAGCACATGCAACATAATAACATCAGGTTCTTTGTCACCTGCCTGGCTAAAGCATCCCACTCTAGAAACTCTATCTGATCAGTATTAATGAGTGGGCCAAAAGTCTTATTTAAAAGTGTTAATTCTGTTTAATGAAAAAAATTCTTCAGGTACAAACAGATTGGAATGTCAAAATCATGAACAGATATTGAATACATCATGCCTGCTGAAGTTTTGTTTAAGTTTAGAAGATTGCCCAGTAGAGGGCGCTAACAATCCTTGGTTCACTTGCTGCAACCAGATTCGCCATTACCATTTGACCTCTATTTTGGTTTGATTTTATAATCTAGTTTGTAGAGCAAACAATTGGAAGTCCAGTAGTTTATACACACACATTTCACTCCAGTTACATTTAATATCAATTTATAAACCTTTATACACACACAATGTATTGTCATTTATTGCTTGGCTTGTTTGATAAATATTGTGCTTTTATTTTTTCCTAAGCTGAGACAGTCCCAGTCCTACTGTACAGACACCGAGTGCCTTCAGGACAGTAAGTGTGTCAGCCCTCCAAAATCAATCAATAACAGTTAAAAGCAACCAATGCTAGGGAAAATAATGTGTTTCTGTTTTTTATGTGTGTTTGCAGTGCCAGGCCCCAACTCCTCAGTAGAAGGCGACATCACTATACCCATGATTATTATGGGATGGCTGGTTCTAGCTCTTGTACTGTTTCTTTTCCGCCCAGCCAGCATGAGGGGCCCTTCAGCCAACAACAAGCCAATCGGTCCACATGGTGTAAGTCAAATCAAACAGACTTCCTCTGTCAGAAATGAATTAAGGTGATCCAAATTTAAAATTGATCAACAATCGAACTCCATTTCATCCACAATTAGATGATAGTCAGTGCAAGTGCTGCAGTGCATATGGCCATGATATTAGTACACAGATTTTTTTTAAAATCTTTTTCTCTTTACCCCACTGCCTTTATTTTATGTGGCTAAGATTCACCCAACAATAATCAGAATTGTTGGCTCATACTGACATTATACAGGGTTCGTATGGGTACTGGGGGTTAAACCCGATTTTTAACTGTAGTTGAGATGCTTTAGTAATTTTATCTTATTAAACAGGTAATTATAATAAACTATTTAAAAAAAAAATCTCTTTGCTTTTTGCATTATATGAAACACAAGTGCCTGTAGAGTGCCTGTAGTCAGATCCACCTGTCTTTTTATTTGTCTGCACCCTTTGAAATAAGTAATTAAGCTATTTTAAGATGCATGTAAATTATATTTACAAAATTAAATGATTAAATGTTGAGCTTAGAGCAATCATGCGATCAAAAATGTTCTTAAAATATTAAACTATATAATAATATAATGATTAGCATTTGATATAATGTAATGAAGTATGTATATCTGCATTGCCACACTTGTAAAGTGCTAGACGAAATAAAAAATGCACCTGGAAAGTGCTTAATGTGTTTTTGGCTGGGTGTGATTATAGAATTGAATTGTGATTATAGAATTATAATTGTAGATTTGAAGGCTGCATATGCATGATGTATTGCCAGTCCCCTTTTTCTGCACATATCAAACTTGCTCTGTTAGATTTTTGTTTGACTGTAGAGACCATTTTAGTTTGCTAAATTAAATTTAAGCAGTTATCCTTCTGGACATTGCTGTAATATGATGTGTACACTGTGGTCAAATAGAAATAGAAATACAACTGCTTGAACTGTTGAAGCAAGGCAAGAGTACTTGTGTAGTTTTTGTAAAGTTAACCTAACCCAAATATCTGAATATCACAGCAGAACTCAACTCGTCAGTCCTGACAACCTCTTGTATTAGAGCTTTTGTAGTTCTTCTGCTGTAGCTTTTCTACTGTAAATCAAGATTTGATGAGCTTTGCACAAAGAGATGTTCTTCTGCAGATCTTAATCGCAACAACTGGACAGTCCAATTCCTTTCTATAAGATTGATCCATTCTCACCAGGCATTTTACCCACAGAACCACTACTTGCGGAATATGAACTATTTTTAGGCCTTTTTTAAATGACCATTTTCCCCATTTGTGACTGGATCACAAAACCAGTCTGAATTTTCTATTTGTTTTGAGAATTTTGAGATTTGTACATGGCATGAAAACTGAATAAATAAGTTTTCTATTTTTGTATACTTGTAGGATAGCAAGGCTAATGTTTGGCAGATACACAACTATTTGAAAATCTGCAATCTGGGTTAAAAAAAACTAAATACTTTGAAAATCACTTTTTTAAAATTGTCTTGTTGTTTACATTAGGAATTTAACAACAGAACATTATTTTTACTGGACATATACATGTAAATGAATAGATAGATAAAATATAATTGCAAAAATATATTGTATGGCAGATGAACAGGTGTACAATAAATTTGCCAGTGAGCGTAAAGCCACGATTACTCTTCATTTATTACCCCATAGACTTCCATTGATATGCACATGAATGCGACAGACCAGAAACGAAAGCGTGTGTGACAAGTTTTGCAGTTTGTTGCATTGCAAAGTTTACATTTGATGAACTCTGACCTGCGAAATTGCATCATGTGACATTGTGAAACCAATTGAAGATCAAAACATGACCTCTCTGTACAGAAATGTAAAGTATGGACCTATCGCTAACTTTTTAAAATCTTTAATCCCGCCCCTTTTCATTGCGCCATACGACAGAATTTCGCATGCTCAAAGTCTAGTGTGACCATGGCATAATGCTGTATCTGAAAATGCCCTTCATTTAATATTCCCTACATTAGTCTACTAATATAGACCACTTGAAGCGGTTAATTGAGTGAATTTGAGTTCCTCGGGAGGATCAGATTTTCCACTTTCTGGTCACATCCTGTTATAGTATAGCAGATAGTTACATTTATTGAGCTGTCTAATAGTAATGAACCAAGGCAGTTTCTTTTATGTATACAAATGTTACTTATTATAATTATTAAACATTTTATTTTGAAACTTGCACGTGTAGGTTTGATTTAGATGTCATCTTGTGGTCAGACTTGTAAATTAATTTGGCGCAGTGAACTCCCAGTGCATTATAGATGTTGAGTGTACACATTATTCCTGTGCATTGTGTGATGGATTTAGTGCTCTTTATGACATCCACCATGATTTCGGACAATACTACAAATGGCTGCCCCCTTTTAGCAGCCATTTATGTCATGGGGGTGATTTATAGATACCGTCCAATTCTTTTAACCATCTGTAAATCTGTATTTTGCTTCTTTAAGTTTCTGAGTAATGCTGTAAGTTTACCTAAATTTTTTTTCGTCATTTAGAATCGTGGCAGAGAGCCGCCAGCACCTCCAGTGGACTAGCGGTTTCCTAACAGAAGGAGATTTGATCGTTTAATCCAGCTTTCATCTGATCAGCTCCTTTGACCAGCCTAACTTTCCTTACCTGTCAGTTTTTCAGATTCTTTCATCCAATAACGGGAGGCTGATCTCTGTAGATGCTTGAACAGCACGGTGTTTCATATGTGTGAAGATTTCAGGGTTTATAAATCTGTCTTCAGCTTCTTACTTCATCTTATATTTTTATTATTCAGCATCATTATGTATTTAGTAAATTGTTACAATGATATAAAGGCCTATATAATGACACTAAACAAATCTGGAAAATGGAGGAGAATTGGGATAATTTTGCGTAGACTAAAAGAAGCGATTGTTTCTTGTCTAATATGATGGCTTATACATTCCAAAGATATTAAGATTTCACAGACGTGATGTCATCGTCTGCGTAAGAGCATCAGCCTTGACTCTGCATTGGGTAATTCTAAACATGGGTGTACTTGAAATGACTCACACATTTTGGTTGACCAGACCACCTTTCTCTGCGCAGACGGAAATAATGAAATGGGTGTATTCCAGTATTTTCTTGACTCTCCTCCATGTAGTCATGACTCTGTGAATGTTGTCATCATCTGGGATCTGTTGACCACAGAGAGACGGCTGATTTAAAGCAGACCTCTCCACCCTGAAGACTCCGAAAGCATATTTAACCCTTAAAATCACTACAGAATAACTAGTGCAACTGCTAGTACACAGTCAAATGGCATTCTGAATAGTTTTCACCCAGTTGCTCAGGTATCGCTATGTAGCTATACTTAATCGAACAGTTATCAAATGGTATTGGGATTCTACTAAATTTACAGAAATCCTTAAAGGGGCAGTTCAGCCGAAACTCATCATTTTCTTATCCTTGACTTGTTCCTAGTTGTAGGAATAATGAAAACTATGGAAGTCATGGTTATTGTTTTCTAGTATTTTTCAAAATATATTTTGCGTTCAGCAGAATGAATTTGGTTTGGAACAAGTCGTCAAGTGTGAGTAAATGATAACAGCTAAACATTTTTTTTTTTTTTGGCTGAAGTGTCCCTTTACTGCTTAAGAGTGAGATTCCTTTTTCAGATTTGCCTAAAGACAAATTGAAATGTAGCACTTTAGCTGTGGTACCTTTAAACAGAAAGCAAAGGTCCAGAAAAACACCAAAGAAACAATGTAAATATGTTTCAAGTGTGGTGTAACTGCTCTTCATTTCTTTGAGAATGTTACAATATCTTGGTTGCAAAAAGTCAGTTAATTGGTCAGACTAATGATTCCTGGAAAGGTCAGTTGAGGTGGTGGTGAGGATTTCAGGGCATATACAATGAATTCTGTCTACACTGTTTAAATGAAACTGCTCTATGTGAAAGGGCTAATCTATGCACTTTTGGTTACTTCAAATAAATAAGAATAACAGCATCACGTTGTGGCTTTTTTTTTTTTTGTTTAACATGGGAATGTGAAGTGGTGGTGGGTAGTCTCCTTGGTTGTTTATTTGTGGTTGTTTGTTTATTTGCATTTCACAAACAAATTGGTTCAAACCAATATATTATTCCATTACACATCTAAATACTGTAGTATAACAGTTTGTTTAATAGAAGAAAAATCTCATTTTCATTCATTTATTCATTTTCTTTTCGGCTTAGTTCCTTTTATAAATCGGGTCGCCACAGCAGAATGAACCGCATACTTATCCAGCATATGTTTCACACAGCGGAGACCCTTCCAGCTGCAACCCATCTCTGGGAAACATCCATACACACTGATTCATTCACATACACTATGGACAATTTAGCCTACCTAATTCGCCTGAACTGCATGTCTTTGGACTGTGGGGGAAACCGGAGCACCCGGAGGAAACCCACACGAACATGGGGAGAACATGCAAACTCCACCCAGAAATGCCAACTGACCCAGCCAAGGTTCGAACCAGCGACCTTCTTGCTTTGAGGCGACAGCACTACCTACTGAGCCACCACGTCACCATCATCTTATTTTTTAGGTTTGAAGTCTGCTAGTATGTATATCGCTGTACTATTTTTGTAATCCATACCATAAGAACAACAAAAGTCTATTTTTCAGTTTCTGAATATAAATATTCAGATGGATATGAAATCCTAATTGGATAATGTTTCAGAAAAAGTAAACTATATATGGGACATTCTTCAAATACGGGCACTTTTAGCCTTGTGAAGTTGAGTAAAAAAACTTGTTTAAAATTAACGTAACAGCCTCATAAGTTTAAACTATTTGTCTAGTTTTAAGATCTGTAAGAGCACAAACTTAGATAAGAAGAGAAACATTTTTTATATCATGAACTGAACAAATATCAGTTCCATCACATCTCAATATACAGCTTATTTAAAAAAGAAATAGATTATGACAGCCAAACAATGTCTAAGATCATTTTTGTACCTAGTTTAACCAATCTTTCCACAATATATATAATTATACATTTGTCGATGAAATACATCAGCTGTATGCTGAATTGTACACCTGTCACATGCTAAAAATTAATATTAATTTGTTTAAGAGTTTATTAGAAAATAAATAAACTGAATTTGTATATTAAATAGAGCATGAGCTTATACATTGTGAATACACTTTTAATGTGTAATGAGAACCTTTTAAATATTTTTTTAAAAATGTGTGTGGTGATGGAAATGACAGTGGTGGAAATGACATTTTAACAGTTTATTGTGAAAAAATGAAAAATAGCTTCACCGATTAGCTTTGAATTGATACTAGCCTTTCTTGTATACAAAACACTCTTATTTACCTTAATTTTGTTTGGTTTATAAAAACATCTTTGAAGGTGCAACATGTTTGGAAATTAAGTAGAATAAATGTATTTCTTTATCATTTACCTTGATTTTTCTTCAAGTGTTGTTGATAAAAAATTTAATTCCCTCTATCTTGAACACATTACAGTGTTGTGGTGGAAATGTCACTAATACTGTGTGACAGCTATATTTTGTATAAAACATAAAATTGATAATAGTCTCACATTAATAACTGTAAAAAAATTAAATAATTTTACTAGTGCTTAATTAAGATACATTAATAGATACCAGATAAATAATATTTTAAAACGTTATTTTCATTTGATTGGGTTGCCGTGGTCCTAACCTTTGACAACCTCCTGTTGCACAATGCACAGGCCTCTTACGATTCTTTTGGCTTCATTGAACATGGACCTTCAGCATGCACTGGGGCAGTTTGCTGCCGAGTGTGACAAGGCTGGGATGAGAATCAGCATCTCCATGTCCGAGGGCATGGTGCTCCACTGGAAAAAGGTGGTTTGCCAACTCCAGGTTGGAGGAAAGTGTTTACCCCAGGTGGAGGAGTCCCAGTATCTTGGGGTTTTGCTTACGAGTGAGGGAAAGATGGAACGTGAGATTGACAGGAAGATTGGTGCAGCGGCAGCAGTAATGCGGTCAATGTACCGGTCCATTATGGTAAAGAAGGTGCTGAGACAAAAGGCAAGGCTCTGAATTTACTGGTCAATCTGCGTTCCTACTCTCACCTATTTGGTCATAAGTTTTGGGTTATGACAGAAAGCAAAACATCTCAGATACAAGCAGCCAAAATTAGTTTCCTTCGCGGGGTGTCAGAGGAGCTTTGGTGGAGCTCGGAGTAGAGCCGCTGCTCCTTCACATCGAGAGAAGTCAGCTGAGGTGGCTTGGGCATCTGTTTCGGATGCCTCCTGGATGCCTAACTAGGAAGGTGTTCAAGGCATGTCCCACTTGGAGGAGGCCTCGGGAAAGACTCACGACACGCTGGAGGGAATATGTCTTTCGGCAGGCCTTGACATCATCCCAGAGGAGCTGGAGGAAGTGTCCTAAGACTGCTGCCACCGCAACCCGGCCCTGGATAAGCGGATGAAAATAACGACTCATATTTCATTTAGAATTTATAAAGTCATTTGTAAGTAATTTGCATTGCTAAGCACTTCATTTAGACTACTTTAAATGTTTTCTCAGTAGGTTGTTTAGAGATTTCCTTTTGAACACCGTAGATTCTAGATTTTCAAATAGTTGAATCTCGAACAAAAAACATCCTATCCTAACAAATACTACATCAGTAGAAATGTTATTATTCTGCTTTCAGATGCTGTACAAGCTGACATGTATAAATCTTAGTATTAAAAAAGTACTTTTTGACTGGATTTGTGGTCACATTTGTTTCTTATTATATTTTCTTATGGTGACTGCTATCAAGAGTAAATTCTGCGTCAGAGACAACTAACGTTTTCCTTTGAAATGACGTCACTGAGACCTCCCAGTCCAGCTGCTGCTGAAACGCTGTTGTTCACACGTAGCGTTTCGCCGTCTTTGCCATCACGTCAAATTTAAAGCACCGATATTCATTTCGCCCTATAGATAATGCGAGTGTTGCTGAATTGAATTTAAACTGTAAAAACGCGTTTTGGTAAAAAAGGCTTATTAGATTTGCTTACGCCATTGTCAGAATAAGATTTGTTTTGCGCTGGCTTAGTTAGCGAAGCTCTTAGTTTGAAGAGACTGCATGTACCCGGAAGTAGATGTGTACTCTCCCCTCTCTGAAGTGTTTACGTTGCTATCTCCTCCCGGTGGGGGTGTGTATGTGTATTAGTGTGTCTGTCTGTATGTACTGCCAGAGTTCATGTATCAATAGTTTATTCATTCAAGAACAAGGCGCCTCAGACGAAGGAATCTTACCTGCATACAACGCTGAGTTTCATGAAGTATATCTGTAACTAAAGAGCTGCTCTGTAAGACACGGTGAGTCTGTTTAGCTGTTGAAATCATTTATCATTTAAAAAGATTTAAAAAGTGCATATCTTCAAACTCACCGAGTTTAAAACTTCGTGCTTTTGTCAATGAAACTAACTTATAATTCAACGCTGATCGCTTGAATGAGTCTGGTCTTCAATACCTTAATTAGCTCTGTTTAAAAAAAGTTAAAAGAGTTACTAAATTCATGTATTTACTGGAATATCTTCAGATTTTATGATAGCAAATAACTAAATGAATCGTTTAACTAATTATACTTCTTAAAAGCGGGGAATTTCCACATTGATGAGACTTTTTGCAAACAGAAGTTTATTTGCTTCAAAGTTGTTCATCTGGTTCTTAATAATATTTATGTAACGTTATCTTAAAACTGAGGCTTATATGTAAATCCAGCTGTGCAGTAAATACGAATCACGAATCGATCTAGCTACGAATCATCTAACTGTACTGAATCAAGAGAACCAAATCTATGAATCAGGACTGGATTGATGGGATATTTAATTGACTGTTTATCTTTATATTTATAACGTTTTTGAATATCATAATATTGATCTCTGTGAATTTGTTTTACTGTGATGCTTTTGTTATTTTTTATAAACGGTTATTAATGACAAAAACATTTTATTCAGATTCAAGAAGTTAGCTAACCTAAACCATTTCAGAACTGTTTGAAATGTTTAATGCTTTCTTTACTTAATTATATTAAGCAAACAAACTAATGTAAACACACATGGTGGAGTTATACTATTCGTTGATTTTTTTTAAAAATAGTTTTTTTTATTTAATAGCAATTCTTAAGAAAGACCTGATATGAAATCACTGTCACGAGTCTTGAGTTGCAAGTCAGATTTTATAAAAACTTTTTAAAAGAACCAAATGTTTTAAAACAGCTTCAAAACAGTTAAACATTCATGCTTAACACCCAGGTGGTCGGTAATGTGATACTTGGCACTGGCCACCTCATGAGCCCCTGGATCCCTGCTGATCAGAATAAATTGCCCTGGAGGCCATTCAGAGCCATTGTAGACCTCTTATATGTTGTTATTGTTTCTGAAGGAAATGTGAGTTTGTTTCTGTGTGTCTCTTTTCTTAGATGTTTCAGATTAAAAAGATTTGCTGTATAGGCGCTGGGTATGTTGGTGGTCCAACTTGTAGTGTCATTGCCAGCATGTGTCCTGAGATCACGGTAACAGTGGTGGATGTTAATGAATCCCGGATCAAAGCCTGGAACTCTGATACACTACCCATTTATGAGGTAAAAAAAAAAAAACCTTTTAAGGAATAATAAAGGTGCACTCAGATATAGTTTCTTCATTAAATATGCATTTTCTAAATACTGTAAGTGAAAAGTGCATTTGCATTAGTTGTTGATTTTTCATTTGTGATTATAACAGAGCAAAAAATTTTCAAAAAGGTTTCTTATAATTTACATGTTATTTTAAGAATGCCAGTGGTAACCTAATTTAATAAATAAAAAAGTAATTCACTGTCATGAAAAATGTCTCTTCTTTTTGTTGTTGTAGCCGGGCCTGAATGAAGTGGTGTTGTCTTGTCGCGGGAAGAACCTCTTCTTCTCCACAGATATAGACTCTGCCATTAAAGAAGCTGATTTGGTCTTCATTTCAGTGAGTGCAGCAAAGGATCTTATTGTGGCTGTGCGTGTAGGTCTGTGCACTGACCCTCATTTACTTCTCTTTTGCTCAGGTAAACACCCCAACTAAGACGTACGGTATGGGCAAAGGGCGCGCTGCTGATCTGAAGTTTATTGAGGCATGTGCCCGGCGGATTGTAGAGGTGTCAGACGGGTATAAAATCGTTACAGAGAAGAGCACAGTGCCAGTTCGTGCAGCTGAGAGCATACGCAGGATATTTGATGCCAATACCAAACCCAGCCTTAATCTACAGGTGTGTTTGTGTGAGCTGTTCAATATTTTAACCCCTTAAATTTTTTGCTTTATTTTTTGTCTAAACTCTTTTTACTGGATTCAATTTTTACTGGACTTTTTCAATGATTAATTGAAAGCATGTCAAATATATTCAAGTTAGGTTCAATTTAAAACAACTTGTTATCACTAGATCAATAACAAAATAATTTAGTGAAATCTTGAGCAGTTTTTAATATCATTTTTTTGTATCATGAACTGTATTGATGGTAAAATCAAAATCTGAAACAGTATTGAATTATTTTGAAAAGTACATTTTATTTACAGTAGTATTAAGTTGATATTTCTGTGTTTTTACCATATAATATCCAAAATTTTTGAAGTGGCAGACTCTGAAAACACCTCAAGCCTCATGAATGTTTCAATATGTGTGTAGTAAATAAAACTGATATTCATTCATTCGACAAAACATGTCGAATGTTATAGGTTTAATATCAATCAAATCTTTCTGTACAGATAATAGTTCACATCATGATTTGATTTGGTGTACTGAAATGCTTTTGATTTTTTAATTGAAATGCCAATGACTTTGCAACTACTGATTCTGCTTTGTGGAAATTATAGTAGAAAGCTTATCAGCTGATCAGCTATTTTACATCAAATATGTTGGTTCAGTTGTATATAAATGTGTAACATAAAGTATAGAAAGTTTTTAGTGCAATTATTGACTGAAGTCCTGTACAATAAACTGCTAAAAAGTAAAGCAAAGGTGTTTTTTTGTAAAATGTTTCGCTTTGAGACTTTATTCACTAAAGAATTCTGAAAAACACAAAAAATTTCACAAATATACTCCGCAACGCAAGTGTTTGCAACATTGATGAAATATGGAAAATGCTTATTATTGAGCTTCAAAAGAGCATATAAGAATGATTTCTGAAGGATCGTGCAACATTCACCCTGAAAAATAAGATGCTGTGAGGGTCCTAAATAAAGTAAATGATTTGTTTCTACAGCAGATTTTTTAGATAACCAAATGTGTTGTTAAATATGCTTCTGCATCAGCTTGCTATTTACACACAGCTCTCATCTACTTTGAATATAATTAGGCTGTTGTTTTGTAAGGGTTTTTAACAAAGTTTGCTATTTTCCCCCTGGATTTGTAGATTCCTCCTCCCCCAAGCTAATTTTGTCCCTCTGTGCAAATAATTTGACCTTTTCTCTTGGAATACAGGTTCTCTCTAACCCAGAGTTCCTTGCAGAGGGTACGGCAGTAAAGGACCTTAAAGAGCCAGACCGCGTCTTGATTGGTGGAGATGAGACTCCGGAGGGTCAAAGGGCTATCAGTGCTCTCTGTGCAGTTTATGAGCACTGGGTCCCTAAAACACGCATCATCACCACCAACACCTGGTCCTCTGAACTTTCTAAACTGGTATGTAGAAGTAAGATGTCTAATCAATAATTGATTAAAGGGACAGAAATAAAAATTCTGTCAGCATTTAGCTATTCTCTACTTCTTTCAAACTGGTCCAAACTTTCTGTTCCAAACTTCTGTTGAACACAAATGCTCAAGAATACTCAAGGATGTTTTTTTATTTATTTTTTAGTTATTGTTAAAAAAAAGTGTAATTGGTGTATATTTTGGAGTATTTTTTGTAAACTGCACAAAAAACAAGAATACTCAAGGATGTTGGAAAAAGCAGTCATTGATTTCCATAGTATTTTTTGTTTATACTATAGATGTCAATTGCTGCTTCTTTTTTCAGTTTAGACCTAACTGAGTGTGACTAAATGGTTTAATATTTGTGTGAACTATCCCTTTAAAATGTTTGTAAAAGTGATTCATTAATTTGTTTTTGATGTATAAAAAGCATGTATGTGTTTTAGGCAGCAAATGCGTTCCTGGCTCAGCGCATCAGCAGTATAAACTCCATCTCTGCGCTGTGTGAATCCACTGGTGCTGATGTGGAGGAGGTGGCCAGAGCCATTGGCATGGACCAGCGAATTGGCAGCAAGTTCCTCAAAGCCAGCGTCGGTCAGTGTGCTAGTTTTTACCCTATGTTTATCATAATTCCTTTTTTAATTGGTGTTTTGTTGCTTTGTTAATCTGCCCTGATATGATAGAATGAGGTTCAAATTAAAATGTGAGACTTTTGCTTCAGTTTTCTAAATCCACATCCATGTCTGTATTAGGATTTGGAGGAAGTTGTTTTCAGAAGGATGTGCTGAATTTGGTTTACCTCTGTGAAGCACTGAATCTACCAGAGGTTGCTTCATACTGGCAGCAGGTAAATCTTGGCTTTGAATATCTAATATTTAAGTCTTGTGTCATTTCAAATTCATTATTGCTAAAGGATAAGGATAGACAGCTGTTGTTATTATATTATATTATATTATATTATATTATATTATATTATATTATATTATATTATATTATATTATATTATATTATATTATATTATATTATATTATACTGTAGTATAGAACATAATAATGCATATTATACATATTGTAATGTATTCTATAGAAAATTCATGTTGTTAATTTAAGATATGGGTGTTTAATTTACATTATAGCACAACTAGAATTAATAAAATTACAATGTTTATTTCAAAATATCACTGTTTTACTGTTAACATTTTCTTCAGATTGATCATGGCCTAAAATAAAAACAAGTGGCAAAATTAGACAAATTTTATTATAATTTTTTTTTTGTTTAGATCTCAAGAACCACTAGACTAAAAAATATGTTTTTTCAATAGCATTACAAAAATCATATCAACATATGTTTATCAAATATGATGCATTTATTTAGTCAGTAAGCATTGCAGGCCTACTGCATTGCATTGTGTTTTGCCCATAAATTAAATAGCTTACATCATAAAAACAATCTTACTAAATACACACTGTTGGGGGATTAAAGAAACAAATGATATATAATGCATTTTATGTAAGTGGTCTGACAAACTATTGTGAAAATATAATTGAAAAAATAACCAAGTGCACCAAATAGTTTTTTGTCCATTTTGATACTCTTAAATAAAACCAGATGTATGAAATAATATAACAAGATCAAAGGTCAGATTAAAATGATAAGTCATAATAATGATGTGACTCTGTAATGTTTGATCTAATAAACACAGCAATAGTGAACTAATGAGACTTATTTCAAAATAAATCAAGTGACTTTTTCTGACTTGTATTTCAGTGTGTAAATTTCAATAGTATAGATTTATATGGTAATATGTTGTATGGAAACACAGTGAAATCAAATAATTAGTTTGCTTTTGTATGTGCAGGTGATTGACATGAATGAATATCAGAGAAAGAGATTCGCCTGTCGGATCATTGACTGCCTGTTTAACACGGTTACAGGGAAGAAAATCGCCTTGTTGGGTTTCTCCTTCAAGAAAGACACGGGAGACACCAGGTAAATGCAGCAGAGGCACTTTGAGCCAGTCATTTTTCATTTACAACTACTTTATCACTAATTCATTTATGCTTTGTCAAAAACCTGTGACCTACAAAACAGATTATGAGATGCCAAAGCATGAGTTAATCATTAACTTTGATTGTGTAATGAAAGTTACACACATTTTCTCTGTTTAAACTATAGCCTGTTAAAAAGCTTGAAACACAACACAAAGCATGCGCAAACACACTGTAACCTTTACCTAGAGTCAGTGAGAATATGTCATGTCTCCTGTGTGTGCATGTTTTCAGAAGTGAACCATGGCAGACTTTTAACCTCCATCCAAGCAATCATGACAGATTACATTTTTTTGAGCAATTGATAAAACTCGAATGACAGAGGAAATGACATGACATTAATCGCTTCAATAGTGAAGATGTTTTGTATTAGTATATTTATAAATAATAATATTAATTTTTTTTTTTTTTTTTAAACAAGATTTCCTTTACTACTTATATTATTTATTCATTTATTCATTTTCTTTTGCAGCTTAGTCCCTTTTTTAATCTGGGTTTGCCACAACGGAATGAACCAGCAACTTATCTAGCACGTTTTTACGCAGCGGATGCCCTTCCAGCCACAACCCATCTGGGAAAACTAATTATATTATTAACATAAAATTATGTATGAAAATAAAACCTCTATAAACCTAGAGCATGATTTAAGAATGATCCAGGATGTTTTGTAAAAAGGAAATTTCACAAATTTAGTGTAAATATTAAAAAAATAGAATAAAAAAGTAAGAATAAAAAAGTGAGTGGCTGAAGTATTCACTTGGGTTTTCCTAAAAAGCTATCACGCATTTAGGATGAAAACAACATGAAATTGTTAGCTATTTAAAATACGGAAAATGATTTTATGATGCTTTTAATTTCTCAAGATTACCTGATTTGTTTTGCAGTTGAACAATATAAACTTGATAGCTTCATTTAACTGAAAATAAATAAATAAATTAAAAAAAGGACCAACTTTATACAGTTGAAGTCAGAATTATTAGCCCCTCTGAGTTATTAGCCCCCCTGTTTATTTTTTCCCAATTTCTGTTTAACGGAGAGAAGATTTTTTTCAACACATTTCTAAACATAATAGTTTTAATAACTCATCTCTAATAACTGATTTATTTTCTCTTTGCCATGATGGCAGTAAATAATATTTGACTAGATATTTTTCAAGACACTACTATACAGCTTAAAAGGACATTTAAAGGCTTAACTACTGTAGGTTAATTAGGTTAACTAGGCAGGATATGGTAATTAGACAATTTATTGTACAACGATGGTTTGTTCTTTAGACAATCCGAAAATATATATAGCTTAAAGGGGGTTATAATTTTGACCTTAAAATGTTTTTTTTTTTAAATTAATAACTGCTTTTATTCTAGCCAAAATAAAACAAATAAGACTTTCTCCAGAAGAAAAAATATTATCAGACATACTGTGAAAATTTCCTTTCTCTGTTAAACATCATTTGGGAAATATTAAACAAATTCATAGGGGGGCTAATAATTATGACTGTACTTTAACTGTATTTATATTTTTTATATTTGGTGGAATCTTTACCAAAAGTAAACTACAGTGTAACTTGTGTTACATTGTGTCTATTTATGACAAACTAGATCATGGCATCATAATTGGTCCGTAAATGAGTTCTATTTCAATTCTGTGTTTCAGAGAGTCGTCCAGTATTTACATTTCAAAGTATTTGATGGACGAAGGAGCCAAGCTGCATATTTATGACCCTAAAGTACTGAAAGAGCAGATAATCCAGGACCTGTCTCAACCCGGCATCTCCGGAGACAATCCAGAAAGAGGTGTGTGTGTGAAGCAGATAAATCTGTGCCTTAGGTCTCGTTCGTTGTGCTTTGTCATGCTGAATTTCACACAGAAATGAACCTCATGTCTGGGAATGCAGGAGAAAGTTGATTGTGTGTAATGTTGGATGACTCTTTCTTTCTGCAGTGTCTGATCTTGTAACAGTGACGGTTGACCCCTATGAGGCCTGTGAAAGTGCACATGCTCTGGTCATCTGTACAGAGTGGGATATGTTTAAGGTAAATGACAAACACACAAACATGATTCAAAAGGCCTGTAATATGATATTGTTCTGTGCTATTAAATGCTTTAAATCAAAAACAGGTTGTATTAAAAAGTATCAAAAGTTGATAAATGAATATAGGGAAATTTAATGCCCTTAAAAAGTATTAAAAAGTCTTAAGTGCTATTTTGCAAGGCATTAAATTTGATATTATTTTTGATTATGCAATGTATGGTTGTATGCTAAAGTTAGCCTGAATTAAATCTGTGAATATCAGGATGCTGTGTAGTTTATGTGTAGTCAATAAAAACCCACTAGATTTGACATCATGCGGCTTTGTTTACTGCAATAACCAAGGCAACACCATTATTTCTGCAGTTCTATAGGCGCCAGAATGCTGAATTAGCTAGATTTTTATTTAGTATATGATATATATTTTAGTTTTGGATTAATTTCTCATATTAAATTTAGTAAACATACTGTGAGTTAAAATCTCGCCAGTGTTAACGGTTGAAAAGTGGTTATAAGGTTTTAAAAGGTATGGAAGGAGTCTTAAAAAAGGTCTTAAAAAGTATTGAATTTCACTCTCTGATTCCTTTGAATACTCTGGAAAAAGTCCTATTGGATAGTTCTATCATTAGCCTTGTTATTAGTAAATATCAGATTTACATATTTTGTATTTTGTGCTCAATTGTAAAAAATTATTTTAGTAGGCAATATTTTAAAACAATAATGTCTACAGTATTTGTATGCATCTCCACATTCAGACACACATTTCTATATATAGAAATATTGTATAGAAATAAATATTGTTTAAATGGTAATTTTACAATAAATAGTTCACCCAAAAATACAAATTGTCGTCCTTTATTCACCCTTCACTCGTCACAAACCAGTTTGAGTTTCTTTCTTCTGTTGAACACAAATGAAGTTATTTTGAAAGTTGTTGGAAACCTGTAGCCATTGACATCCACGGGATTTGTTTTTTCATATGGAAGTCAATGGCTACAGTTTCTTCAGCTTTCTTCAAAATATCCTTTTGTTTTCAACAGAAAAAAAGAAGCTCAAAGTCTTAGAATCACTTGAGGGTGAGTGAATAGGGAGTACATTTTCATTTTTGAGTACCTATCCCTTTAACTTAAATGCATGTGTAATAATAATTACTTGTATAAATGTGATGATAGATATATTTATATATGTTAAAAATGTGTAAAACTCTAAACATTGTTCAAATCAATTTTGAATAAATACTAAAAGAGAAATGATAATTGACACTTTAAGGTGCACTACTTGAATTTTTTTGTCTTGGATTTTTCTGACACAACTCTGACAAATATTATGATAACCTACGATAATAACCTACGGATAAAAGATTAACCAGGTGGTTACGATGACTGTTTAAGGTTTAAATACACTGTGGGTCATACAGCCAAACGGTGCATATTTATAACAAACCAATGCAAGTCTGATGATGCTCTTACCGAGTGTGGAATCATGGGAGTTGTGGTTTTCATTTCATCCTATGGGACTCCTGCAGAAATCGTGTTTATGGATGAGCTAAAGCACAGGTGTCAAACTCAGTTCCAAAAGGGCCACCTCTCTGCACAGTTTAGTTCCAACCCTAATTAAACACACCTGATTAAACTAATTGAGTCCTTCAGGCTTGTTTGAAACCTACAGGTAAGTGTGTTGGAGCAGGGTTGGAACTAAACTGTGCAGGGCTTTGGCCCTCCAGGAATTGAGTTTGACACCCCTGAGCTAAAGTATTCAAAACTAATGATCATGCTAGAATGAAGCGGAGTAAAGCTATCGAAGCAAAAACGAGACCACCGATCACAATTTTATTAAGCTACATCGACCTGCTCCAGTTGTGATCGTGCGGGTTAGAAGTAATGTTGTTTTATCATACTGGGTGCATTTTAGGGTTCTGTTATTATGCTTTTCTGTACACGCAACATATTAAAGTATCTTCAGTGGAATGTTTTCCATAAACCAAACAAGTGATCGAGGGTGTATGATGCTACTAGCATGATGACATGGGAGGACACAGTCTGTCGCTAGTTAAAATTGCTAATTTCCAGATTTGAACATTCTATGAAACATTTGGGTCAATGAGCACAAGTCTGCAAAATATATAACACCGGTTTAGTAGTTTTTAATGGACAAAACTTTTCATATTTTGCATTTAAATGTTAATAAAAAACTATAAATATTTATTTATATTTTAAGAATTTACTTAGAAATTTAAGAATGTGTAATATTAATAATGTTTTAATATTACTTGGTACTACAAGGTACATCAATTCCACAATATGTGCAAAAAGGAATACTATTGCACACATTGTTTGCTAATGGTTAAGTACTGGGTGTTTATTAAATGTATATATATTTTTAGGACCTGGATTATGAGAAAATATATCACAAGATGTTGAAACCAGCGTTCATTTTTGATGGACGACGAGTCCTGGATCATCTGCATACCCAACTACAAAACGTTGGCTTTCAGGTCAGTGCTTATTTGGGAACTTCACATATTGAGAGTTTTTGCACCCGCCTGACTTGTCTTTTTATCCACTTTAAAAGTTCACGTTTACATTGTTGTGTGTCCTGCATAGATCGAGACCATCGGTAAGAAGGTGATGACACGAATCCCCTTCACAACCTCTGGAGGAGTACCACGAATCACTGAACCACCAGTAAAGAAATCCAAAGCCTGAGGCACAGCTCATCGTCCACACCACACACACGCAGGCACTTTACGCTAATCAAAGTCTTTCTCTGAGAAAACCAAAGTAATGTGTGACCATTGCTGGAAATCAACAGACTCTTCTGTTAGTAAAAGTGCACATGCTCTGTGTTTGTGTGTGTGTGTTGAACTGTGTTTTTTAATCAGAGTTTTATCTTTTATGACCGTTAGCAAAAACTTTTATCATTGATGATTCCTATAATATCTTGAATGTTCTCATGTCTGTACCATTTCAGATAAACTGTGCACAAAACTGGTGTTAATGCATTTCAACATCCCACTACTGTTCAGTAGTGTATTAATGTTTACAGCTGTCAGTGTTTTGGTTTTTAATACCAAAATCATATTAGGAATGACAACGTTTAGGACCAAGTGGGACATTAAAAACTCTATCAAACATTTGGGTTCAATTTGGCACGTGATACCTCTAGCAAATATCTGTTCATTTCACCCAGTTATTAATCTTCTGATATATATATGTATTGTATGTTATTATAGTTGTAGGTTTTATAAAATCATCTCTTACTGTACAGGTTTATATTGATCATGTACAATGATTGCAAAAATCCGATTTTTAAAAAAATAAAAATGTATCAATGAAAAGCACTGTCTGTCATTCTGCTCATTTCACAAGGTATCACTGAAAGAAGACATACAATTAACACATACTTTGACAAGAATTCATTTAATATATTCTGAGATTCATTTCTAAAACAACCAACCCAACATCTTTATTTAAACACTTTTACAGAATGCAACTGTAGCAGTTTATTTTGTAATAAGTATACTTCAAGGCATTTTGTAGCCCTGGATTTTGAATCCTGTAACCATTTCCTCACCTCTAGGATTAAAGTATGTATGTTGTGTTCCGCACAAGAAAACATCATGAGGTTGAGCAAATGATGGCAACTTTCATTTTTGTGTGGAGCATCAGTGTTATATTGTTTAATATTTAAGCAGAGAGAGAGAGAGTACTGTAGAACACAGGAGATGTGGAGCAGGTTTACTCTGCTGTTGCTGTGGTTTCTTCAGTCTTCCTCTTTTCCAGCAGATTCTTCAAAAAGAACTCCCCTAAAATATAGATTAAACAACGTGTCAGCACATCTCACACTTGACTATGAAATCAGTCTTACTAGACTTTTTAAATTGAGATTTTATACATGATCTGGAAGCAGAATATATAAGCTTACTACTGCTACATGGTTCGTAAGGACAAAAATATTTTGAGAAAATTAAGTTCTTGGCAACAATAAGAAATGTACAAAATCTATTAAGTCAAAGGTCTCAAACTGGATTCCTGGAGAGCCGCAGGGCTACACAGTTTTGCTCCAACCCTATTCAAACAGCTGATCCAACTAATCAAGGTGTTCAAGACTACTAGAGACTATTCAGCAGGTGTGAGTTGGAGGTGGTTGGAAATAAACTGCAGAGCTGCTGCACTCCAGGAATTGAGTTTGAGACCACTGTATTAAAGGAATATGCTCTTTGCTTAATATTCAAATCATGTTGGCTTAACATTTGTAACAACTTTGATCATGATGTACTGTGGTCATACAAATCTGACAATGTTTACTATACAGAGGTAGATGATAGAGCTGAATTCAGATTCAAAATGAACCCAGAGCAACATACAGTAAATAATTTATTCATGAACCAAGATGTGAATGTGACCATGAGGAAACTATTGCGGATGAATGCAGATGTCAACATTGGCCATCACACTTGTCCTGGTGGTAAATTAATGCTCCGTGTCTTCTGTTTGGACCAGAAAAAGAGAGCTAAAAAAGTCATACTTGTGCAAAAGAAAAAGAATGCATCACAGAACAAAACATTTACCACAGATGCCAAGTGCTCAGTTCTTGTTCAACAAGGCTTGATATTTTAACTGAAATTTGATATATGATTTAATAATTGGTCTTGGCTGTTGGTCTTAAACACGACTGCCCTTTCAACTTTAGATCAGTCTGATATGGCCTGAAAAACCCTGGTGTATACATCTCATGTGGAGTATTAGGTGATACTTTTGTGTGGTGATGCTGATTGATATTCACTGTCATAATATGGACATGCATGAGATTTTTTGAATCTCAAATTTTAGCCAATGAAGAGATCACAGCACTGAAACAAGACCAGAGTCAGCAAATGTAATGTAATCTAAAAGATTTGATTTAAGGACTCAAATTTAGACTTTTGAGGTGACGCGATGGCTCAGTTGTTAGCACAGTTACCTCACATTCATTGGGATTTCATGTCTGTATTTTGTATGTGGTGTATAAGTGTGAGAATGTATGGATGTTTCCCAGTAATGGGTTGCGACTGGAAAGGCATCCATATTCTGGGATAGTTGGTGGTTCATTCCGCTGTGGCGACCTCTGATAAATGAAGGACTAAGCCACAGGTGTCAAACTCTACACAGTTTAGCTCTACACAGTTAAGTTTTTAACCATAATTAAACACACCAGATCAAACTAATTAAGTCCTTCAGTCTTGTTTAAAAACTACAAATAAAGCTGCGGTCACACTGGTCTTTTCTCCCCATAGACTTCCATTCATACGCATGCAAATGCGTCAGACCGGAAAAGTTTCGCAGGTTGCTGCGGTGCAAATTTCAAGCTTGGCAAGACCGATCGAAGATCAATACATGACCTCTCTGGACAGAAATTTAAAACATGGAGGAATCGCTCGCTTATATGTCTAATAATGTTGTTTAATCCTGCCCCTTTTTGCAGCGCCGTATGACAGAATTTTACATTATCAAACTCTAGTGTGACCGCAGCTTAAGTGTTTTGAAGCAGGGTTACAACTAAACTATGCAGAGCTGCGGCCCTCAGGGGTGTCAAACCAGGAGTATGAAGAAATGAATGAGTTTAGATTTTTATTGTTTGGACCTTACAAGATATTTGTACCAGCCAAGCAACCATCACCAAGAGGAATGGAAAGTTATATAGATATATATAGTAGTATAATAGATAGTATTATTTATACTACTATATATATTTATATTACAATATAGAGCTCTATGAATTGAAACATTCTCTTAGATTACCTGCTTTATAAGACGAGCGCACAAGTGGTCCACTGGCAGTGTAGATGAAGCCCATCTCCTGGCCAACCTTCTCCCAAAACGCAAACTTTTCAGGGGTGACATATTCTTCCACCTTCGGTCAGACACACACACTTAGACTGATGTGTTCATGAATAGTCAGTGACACTCGACAGAAGAAACTGAATGAAACTGAAATGATGTTTGAGATGGGAAATTAGGAATACTGTTACTTTTAAATCTGGTCCCTATTGTGGCTTATTTTGTCTGAAGCATCTGCGTATATCACCATTATGTACAGTTTTTAAGCTTGCCCATCATAATCTTAAATTCAAATGATTGAGTTTAAAGGGATTTTTCACTAAAAACTGAAAAAAAAAAAAAAAAAAAAAAAAAACAGAGTTTGAAACCCCTGATTTAGACCATACTATAAAGACTACTGGAGTAATAGAGTTGTTAAAGTACCTTAAGATGGCGTTTGGTTGGTTGCATGTACTGCCCCAGGGTTAGACAATCCACACCAGAGTCCCTCAATTCTGGAACAAAATTCAGAACTCATAAATGCTAATGTGGTATTTTATTCACCTCCTGGTGTGTATATAAAAAACTATCATCATTTCTAACTCTGCTATCATTTACCTGTTAAAGTGGCTTGTATTTGTGCATCTGTTTCTCCGAGCCCCAGCATGATAGAAGTTTTTGTGAGCACACTGGATTTCACCTTTTTAGCATGTCGTAAAACACTCAGTGATTGGTCAAAGTTTGCCCGGGGGTCACGTACATGCCTTAAGGTCAAAGATCAAAGGGGGGAAAATGAGTTCTGCAATAAAATTTCCAAGCTTTTAACTGCAGTGAAAACCGCTGTTACTAATTTAGGAACATAGATAGATCTACAAAACTTGCGCCATCTGGTGGTGACTGTATGTACTACAAATAAAACGGGTTAAAAACCATAATCAAATAATGAAAAAAAAAACATATTTAAAAAAAAAATAATAATAAAACAAGTGCATTCAACTGCAACAGAAATAAATATTCTCAATTAAACACCTATCTCGAAATTACACAGTCCATCAAAAACAGCTTTAAAAGTCTGCCATTACAGAGCTTGAGGGTAATGTGGGTGTAGAGAAGATTCAGAGTCTGTAAATTTACACAATGTAAGAGTAAACTGCACCAACCTCTGTAACTCTCTGACCGTCTCTACATTGTGAGCATAAACATCAAGGCCAGACAAAGCAATTTTCTCCACCGCTGCCAGATCGCCACGGAAATCAGGAGTCAAACACTCTACCAAGATTTTAGAGTTCCTAAGAAAAAAACAGATCATGTTTATTAAGAAAAGGTGAATGGCTTTATTTTACGAACGATTAAGACTCAATTTCCAACCTTTCTTTAATGTTGGAGACAGTCTTTGCAAAGTGTTCAGCGCCACCATCAGGAATGTCTGTTCAGAAGCATAAAAATATAGACAAGATTTTGTGCTACTGTGTCATCCATAAGCTAGCAAACTGCTAAATCTTCACAAATAAAGACAATGTGATGTGCTACCAATAGACAAGTGTCAGCCATATACTAGCATACTGCTAATACTTCACAAATATAGACAATGTTTTGTAATACTATCCATATGCTAGCAAACTATTATATTTTCACAAGTATAAATAAGGTTTAGTGGTCCATAAGCTAAATCTAAATCTGCTAAATCTTCTTAAATATAGACAATGTTTTGTGCTAATATGTGTCATCCATAAGCTAGCATACATCTAAATCTTCACAAATACAATGTTTTGTGTTATTATCCATATGCTAACAAACTACTAAATCTTACCAAATGAAGTCAATGTTTTGTGCTACTATCTGTCAAGCGTCAACCATATACTAGCATACTGCTAAAACTTCACATAGACAGTGCTTTGTGCTACTATCCATATGCTAGCATTCTATTATACCTTCATTAATAGAAACAATGTTTTGTGCTACTATTTGTCATCCATTAGAAAACTACCATAGATGTATACATTAGATGTCGCCTACCCTGTTGTTGTCAATTAGAAGGAATGCATCAACAGAGCCACCATTTTAGTACAGGGTAGCGCTCCTTTGAAATTAATGCAGGACCAAGGTGCAGTTGAGGACTTTGGCCATCCAGAGAGAAAGATGTACACATATATCTATGACCAGGAGTTTTCCCGGTGGTCAGTATGCAAATATTTTTTTACATTTCGAAAATTATCATTTTACATCACTTTTCATTAATGGATGAGTGGATGGATGAGTCACTTCTGATTTTAATGGCGCGAGCAATTTGTTTGTAAATAAATCTCCGTTATGAATGACACTTAGCCGAAAATAATACAAGTTTCTGGCACCGCAGCATCTTGTTGTCATATTTATTTTTCATTGTTTGCTAATTTTATTTAGCAAAACTAACATAAGCCTAAAATTTAGTGCGAGTTGGTGCTCCTTTGCCTTGAGGTAAATGCAAAAGTGACTGTATTATCATCAATATTTGTTAAGCACAAAAGTTCATAACACAAAAACTTAAAAAAACTCTTACCTATGAAATTTTATGCCTTCATGCTTTGTTTTCTTTGTTTGCATGTTACTAAACCTGTACACAGCACTAAAGTATAACATCTTCACATTGCCACAACTGTCTTGACTAGTATGGTAGAATGACATTTGTCCTAGGAGCACTGTACAAATGTGGTGGCGCTATTGACACACGCTCAGGGTCCGTATGTGATATCTAGTGTATACATCTATGGCAAACTACTTAAATAATCTCTACAATGTTCCTCCTTACAAAGATTACTTGCTGTATTTGCTGATAAATGAATGATTCTCTTCAAACACTTTAATATGCCTTTTGTAAAACACACTTCTTAAGGGGGTCGCACATTAAATGCACCGCTCAGTGACGCGCCACGCAGTGTCATGCATTTTAAAATTCTAAACGCCCAGCCACGACTCATGATACAGTTCATATTTCTGCCACGCCACATAGCGCCATCTGAATAGTTTAATTTTAAATAACATGCGAATGTGCGCGTTTGGTCTGTGATACTTTCAACGGTTATGTGCGCGCCATGTTGCGGCACATCCAGTGTGCGAGTGCGACCTGCTTTAGTGTTTGTCAGTGGAGAGTTACATTTCCTCACCATCTCGGTCCACTGATGTGAGTACTACATAGTCCAGACCCCATGCTGCAATGGCTTTAGCGGTGTTATATGGCTCATCGGGGTCAAGAGGTGGAGGACGTCTCGCTGTCTTAACTGAACAAAACCTACAGCCACGTGTGCATGTGTCCCCCATTAACTATGGAGAGAGAATGAGACAGCAGGAGTTTACAGATCACAGTTCTCCATTAGAGAATCAGCTAAGGTTCTACTGGAAAGAGAGCATTATCATAAGATTTTGTTATTGTACGGGTGTTTTACAGAACCAGCACACTCACCATAATGGTGGCTGTGGCCGTGGCGTACTCTCCTCCACCCCAACATTCACCAATATTTGGACAACGGGCTTCTTCGCAGACCTGGAACCATTAGAATAGTCAAGAATTCATGTACTACTAGGAACAAAAGCGGCTTTTATTTTTCATTAATGGAACTATTTAACCCCCAATTAAACTTTTTTCATCCTTTCCTAATGTTTTATTTTTTGCTGTGCAACATGAAAGAGGTTAATTATACAAGAATGTCCTTATAATAATCCCATAATTATGCACACTAAAAGTGAATGGTAATAATTTTTCTCTGTAAAGATTTTGAGTTAAGAGAGAAATAACATTAATCCTATTTACCACACTGTTAATTAAACAGCTTCCAATCAAACGTAAGCTTCTAGCTTTTCATTGTCAATGCTGAAATCTAAATATTAGCCTTTACTTTGGTAGGAAGTTTAAATAAAGATTTATTTCAAGAATATTTAAAAAAAAAAAATTTCTAAACATGCAACAGTGTTTACTGCCACTTTTGTACCACATCATGCACATTTGCAGAATAAAAGTATTGTTTACGTTTTTTTAAGAATAGCATAATGAAACAAAGTCTCTTTTTTGCACTAATTTTTGATGCTTCAGGCTGCATTTGCATTTTTGCTCTTACAGTCAAGAGAACAATGTTTATTGTATTTAAATGAGTAGTTCTGATTAACTTGATTTTAAAACAATGATTCAAGACACTTACTGTGTGGAGGTTTAATTCTCTAAGTGTATTCTTCAATTTGTTGTAGTTTTTCCCTATAGGAATCTCTGTCTTCAGCCATGGTGGTAGCCTTAACCTGGGAACAAACAAACAACTGGTTAAATCATCTGGACTGGGATTTTATATACACACACAAAGCATATTTCATGCATATTTCAAGAAGTGTCCACATAAACGTTGCAAAATACATTTTGTGATAATAAAAATGTTATTATGTGTAATATAAAACATTATATATGCTGTTATATTGTGATTCAGAGTAAAGATCAGGGAAATGAAAAGGAGATGAATATTACCAGTGTAGATATGCAAAAAGCTGGTCAGCAATTATAGCAAGTGTTTGATTTGCTGTAATAGCCAATAAAGACGTTTCTATTGATTATTGAGAATAGTATGACTCATTTTGGTCATGCCACTTTTTGATCAAACCTGAGAAATATATTTTTTCCCACAATGATGCCTCTTGAACATTATTGTGTTATCTTTAGGGAGAAGTCTGTGTGATTTTTAGTAACAAAATAATAATAATAATAACAATAATAATAATAATAATTGTATCCATACATTTATATATAAAAATAAAGCAACATACTTATTCTGACCTGTATTTATTATACTATATAAAAAGTGTAAGTCATCATGGCATATGCTATTAAATAGAATTATAATTATAAACTTCTCACTGAAAATATGTACAACTTGTTGTTTAAAGAACAGAAGTTAAGTGCAAAAAAACAAAAATAGATAGTTCTAAATATGTTTGACCAGATAATTTCTTGTGTGTAAACTATTTATATATATATTGACATTTTAAAAGATGTTTTTAAATCATGTTAAAAATGCATAACAGTATTTTATAATAATTATTCAATTAAACATGATATGAGAGATATTTTACAGGCAATCAATCAATCAATCAATCAATCAATCAATCAATCAATCAATCTATCACGTTAAATGGGTACGTCTTAATTTCATGAAATATTTTTTAATAACAGGACAAAGTCTGCGTCCTTTCAGTTACTAAGCTATTAAAGCACATCTTTTATTTGTTAAAAATAATAAGTGTTTAAAAGCAAAACTGAGATTAAAATACAAACTTTGATTGAATGATTAAGTGACTTTCAAAGAAAAGAAAAAAAATGATATATGAACTACACTGTTTCAATTCACTATAATCTTCTATGTGCAGCTGCTTTGACACAATCTACATTGTAAAACCGCTATACAAATAAAGATGAATTGAATTGAATAACGTTATATTTATATATACAGTAACTTTTTCCAACTCATGTGATTTACTGTACTTTTGCAGCGTTGGTACAGTACTGATGGCCAATAAAATATTTGGATAAAAGTGTCTGCTAAATGACTAAATGTAAATGTAAAACAGTTTGACACTTTGATTTAAAGATTTAGATGATATTACTTCAAAGATCTCTGATTATCAAAACACCAGTAAATCACACTGATAATTTGTAAGTAGCTCATCAAAATATAACAAATGAGAAAGATACAGTGGTGTATGTCCACCTTTCTCCTTTTTCTCTCTTTAGGTTGCCTCTGTATTCCTCCCACTTGCTCTTTTCTGACAGCTCTCCAGATATGAAGTCCTGCAGGTTCAGTCCATCCTCCCTCAGGTCTTTCTTCCTGTCATTGTGTGTGGATGGTGATGATGATGATGATGTGCTGGCAGCAGTGCTCAGTCTGTTACAGTACACCTTCGACAACAAGTACTAAATCAGGGCGCTTCAAAATATTAATAATAATACAACTTTCATAACGTGACCTTCCTCTAACGTTACCTTGTAAATGAACACATGCACTATAACACAAGCTCTGCTAATAACGTGAAAACATTCCGCTTAATTTGACTAATGTTACATTTGACAAGTGAGTGTGTTGCAATAACTTCTGTAGTAACGTTACTGGCCTGCGCCGGTAGGTAAAGCTGAAATGTTTAGCATTGTGTTTTTGTACAGTCAATCGTTAAACTTAAACGAAGCAAAAAAATGCTTACATTAGCCGCCTCGGCGCCTTTAGATGGTAAAAACAGATGACTTGAAGAATATCGGCTCGCAGCTCCACAACTTCTACTGATCAACGCCATGACTTTAGATCCAGCTCGAGCCTGTCATTGACAACAATCACTCTGACATCGATTCATCTACACTGCAGTTATGCATAGACCTCGCTAACGTGTGCGTAAAACAAATATCTATATTAATAAATATATGCATAATAAATAAATTGATATTTGTATATTGCGATGTAATACAATTTAAGAAAGTTCACATCAATAACTTTGTTTCTTTCATTATCTGCAATCGCTTGGTCGTGCCTTAAAGATTTGCGGTGACGCAAAACGTACTGGTTACATTTACGTCATGACGTTCTTCCTCCTTCCTTTCCCCCTTAATCGGCGAGGTAAGAACATGGCGAATCCTGTTCTTGTGCATTTGAATCAAGTTCAATCTGCGTTATTATGAAGCCTGTTAGGTTTCCCTGGTACCTCATGATATAGCTTACACACTTATATATATATCCGTGGATGTATTGATGAGAGAAAACCCGATGGTCTTTGTTAATAGACAGCCCGGTCTGTGTTTATCTGTCAGCGGCACTCAAAGGCCGTAGCAATTTCAAGTCATTCATTAAGCACATTCATATCAAGCCATACTTTTCTTTATATACTTGAAATTTTCGCGTATAATTAAAATTCAATTCAAGGCTAAAAATTGTGCCATTGAGGCGACTCGAGAAGTTTGTCTTGGCTAACGTAGTAGCACGTAGTATCTGCTCGAATCATTTAAGGGTTTCTAACGTTGCTCTATCGTTTCAGAATGAAGACCATTCTCAGTAACCAGACAGTGGACATCCCTGACAATGGTACGTCAAATATCATACTTAACGTTTGAAACTATTTACACGTTTGTGTCTAAAGCAACATCAATTTCGTTTTTTTGCTTGCAGTCACGGTGTCCCTCAAGGGCCGCACAGTTACCGTGAAGGGACCCCGTGGTGTTCTCCGCCGGGAGTTCAACCACATTAACCTGGAACTCAGTCTGTTGGGCAAAAAACAGAAAAAGGTTTGTAGCTTAGTTTTGATATATGGGCCTGAAACTGCATTGTGTATCATTCTTGCTGGAGTTGTTAAAATGCAACAATGCATTTATTAATGACTTAAAAAGCCTTCATGTAAACATCTGAGCTGGTCCAGTCAAATTCATTCCAAATAAAATGTCTATTGAATTATTATACGTAAAATGTCTATCTACTTTGCATAATGCAACTAAACTAAGTACAAAACCTTTTTGAGTGAAATTTGACATTTCTCAGTGTTAATGTCTTTTATATTTTGGATGTTTTGCAAGTTCAATTTCAAGAATATGAAATTAAGTTTAAACATTTCCTCCCACTCTGCCTGCAAGCTTAATGTGGTCGATGTAGTGCTTTTTCCACGGACTTCTGTACCTGGTGCTTTGTTTTACTGCCACTTTAGGTGATCTTCCAAACCAGTTGTAACATTAGCAAAATGTAGTGTTCGTATACACACTGCTGATCACTGATGGTTCTGAGAAAATTGGCACTTCTAATGTTATTGGATTTGTGACAAGAGACTTAAAAGCCACTATAATGAAATGGTCAGCAGCGGCCAATGCTGTATTGTTGGGTGGCATAACTAAATAGTTTTTATCCACTGCACAAAATAGACACCTGAAATGGCAGCATTGGGGTCAGTAGAAAAGTTCCAGAGATTTCTCTTGTTTGTAGCTTAGGAGCTAAATGGGATGACTTGGAATGAAAACATTAAGCAGTAGAGAGGGCACAGCTATAGCTATGATCCCACCACTTTAAGTGCTACTAAATGGCAGTGGAAGTCGAGCCTAGCGAAACCAAGCTGTACTGTATCACTCAGTGGAAAAGCAGCATAATGTGCGTAAAATATTGTACAAATATTGTAGTTGCTTTCCACAGGCGCTTGGCATAGGTTTGCTCTTTCAGTAGTTTGTGCTATAATTAACTCTATGTAAAAGTGGTGTAAAATGTACCAACACTTGTTCAAAATTAGCGAGTAATGCTTTGTGGCTGTTTAGTAGGGTATATGCACAGCTAGTATTTCTTCCCATACAGATAAACCTCCAGTTAATGGACTTTTCAATTTTGTAGGATTCCTTTTACAGCATTTATGTTAAAATGTAATTAAAATATAATCAATTAACTAGACTTATGCATTTATTTTTTTCATGTAAAACAAATGAAATGCCATTTACACGCACATGCTGTCAGGATCAGCAGACGAGTGCAGAAACTCCATTGAAAATACTGGGGGGAAATCATTTTTTATATTTTAAAGACATGATGTGGTAAAACATCATTTGATGCAGTGCCTCTTGCACGTCCTGAGACCTACTTTTTATCGTATAGCAAATCAGGCAGTGGAGATTGTTGTTTTTTTTAAGAAAACAGACTTTGCGCAGATTTTGTCACTGCATACAGTTCACCGAAATCAATTGACCCAGGATGCTGAAAATAAAAAGGCCATTTGCATATACCCTGTCATGCATGTTAGTACTTGTTGTAAATAGAGGCCATCATATTATGCTGTTTCAGACACAGATCTGATCAATTCTGCATTGAAATGTTTGATTTTTGACCTCAGTGGGTTCTAGCTAGTTACACGTCACTGTTGCATATTCACCATGTGTGGTGTGAATAATGTTTTATAACACAGATGAAATGAACAGAAAATGCGTGATGTCTCTTGTGCTTTTGACTGTCTTAGAAATAGCCTTTAGTAGGGTTTCCACACTTTGTGCTAGTAAAATACTTTTGAGTTTCACATAAGATAGCTCCACAGTAATCTCACTGCAGTTGATCTAGCTGCCGTCTGTGAAGTGATTAAATGATGGTGTCTCTGGGGTGTTCGAGCTCAAATGAGTTGACAGGTTGAAATATGACTTAAAGCAGTATCAGATGTGATTTCGAAGAAATAAAAGTCCTAATTTCAGGTTGTTTGGAAGGGAGCATAAGTTTGTTATATCAGTTAAATTTTATTTTTACATTATTTTTTTCATTTCAGCTGCGTGTGGATAAGTGGTGGGGTAACAGAAAGGAGTTGGCCACCGTCCGCACCATCTGCAGTCATGTCCAGAACATGATCAAGGGTGTCACCCTGGTAAGTAGTGTAATGTGTTGGTGCTTTAATCTTTTCCCAATCATATTAAATAAATAAGGGCTGCCATAAAATGCTTTTTTTTGTTTCCCAGGGCTTCAGGTACAAAATGCGATCTGTATATGCCCATTTTCCCATTAATGTGGTCATCCAAGAGTCTGGCTCTCTGGTGGAGATCAGAAACTTCTTGGGAGAGAAGTACATCCGCCGTGTCCGCATGAGGCAAGGTGAGTCTGCATGTTGTCTGAATTAGCCTAATGTTTTAGCATAATTTGTGTAGTCCTGCTCTGTATGAAATTTGACTTCATAAAACCGATGTTTACTTTTTGTTGTGTAGGAGTTGCATGTGCAGTGTCTGCCGCTCAAAAAGACGAGTTGGTTCTGGAGGGTAATGATATTGAGCTGGTGTCAAACTCAGGTGAGCATCTCTTTACGATGTGGTCTGTCAATATATGACAAAATCCTGAAATATTCACTGCTTTATGAATTGAAATGGGATGGTAAGAGTAGAATTTCCCTGCTATTCTAGTTCTAAAGGCCTATATAAATTTTTATATATTTTATACATACATTTATTATGATTTTTTTGACCAGCTTTGTATCTTTATACGGTCCCAATTCCAAATTCAGTTAGATACTATATTGATTTGTTATACTTAAATGTTACTTAAAATAATAATTTAGCAGACATCTTTGAATATAAATGCTGGTGGCTGAAACCATCTCGCTGTTGCTGTGATGAAATAAAAGTGGTTGTGCCAAACAAAGGGTTTCTCCTAGTTATCCTTTTGTTAATGTTTTGTTTAATTCCAATATTAGATCAGATTTTGTGCTTTTTCCTAAATTCCAAAAGTGGCTTATCCAGCATTTTATACATTTAAAAGAAAAAAAAACTAGTTTGGATAAACAATCTAGACCATTTTTTTCTTTTAAATGTTTAATAATTACGTTTTACATGGCTCTTCTTTTTTACTGGATTGTGCAGATGTGTAACTCTAAACCTAGACTGTTCCCCTTCACACAGTATGAATCCCTTTGTTATTATTTATTTGCTCTTACCTGCAGGTCCTGATGTGGTGTTTAATCTTCTGTGAACGTTTATAGCCTCCTTTTTCCCTCTCCTGACATCCTTAACCCTTGATTACATAACATGAGTGATAGAAAAGACTGTGTTTGTGACTCTTTGTATGCAAGATGTGTGTGAGAGGAAGTGTGGAATTATAGAAGTGTGTGCGCATGCCTCACCTCCCTAGCATTTCTTGTTTCAGCGGCCCTCATCCAGCAGGCAACCACAGTGAAAAATAAGGATATCAGAAAGTTCCTGGACGGTATTTACGTCTCTGAAAAAGGCACTGTAGTGGAGGCAGAGTCATAGAGAACCGAGAGGTTAGAACGAGACCGCCGTACAGGGTGACAGGAGCCACTGCTGCCCATCGCCTTTCATTCGCCTCTTTCCTGCTTCTCGTCTTTGAAGCTGTCCGTTGTGTTGTCTTCCATGCTCTGTTAAATATGTCCAATCTTTTTTTGATTGTGCCAAATTTCAATTCATGCCATTTTCAGACTGAGTTGTCTGTCTCTTACAAGCCAAGTAGCTTTTTTTACACTAACTTTACAGGATTTTGTGTCCCTCTTTTGCATGTTCACATTCATCCAAGCATGACAACACTTAACAAGGCTTTTTAGTCCACAGCTCTAACCACTGGCTTGGTTTGCATGTTACACGTCTATTTTGTAGCACATGGGAGTTTGTGGGTGCACCGCCTTTCTATTTAAAACAGGTCTGTCTCTAATGAGTTGTCTTTTCTTCTGTCCATCAGCTGCTCTGATCCAGCAGGCCACCACTGTGAGGAAGAAGGACATCCGGAAGTTCCTGGATGGGATTTATGTCAGCGAGAAGGGCACAGTGGTGGAACAGCAAGAGGACTAAATTAGTCTCTGTAAAATCTGTCAATAAAGACCAACTCCATTTTTCAATCATATATGTGTGCAGGAGTTTCATTCATGTTGATACTGTCTAGTTTCATGAAAGTCTTTAGTTAATGAGGGTTAATGTGCATGTAGTAGAATATGAGCTACGTGTATTGGAAAAACTTGATCGCATTCTTTTGTATTCACTGTTTTTTGGTCCAGGTGTAAAAGTATGTTTTAGTTTCTTGTATATAAAACAATACACAATCTAATGAATTAACATTTTAGAATGGACGCAGCCTGCCCTCGGCTCAGTAGAATTTACAAAGTAAAGCACAAAAAGAAATGATGAAAGCATGTCATCATTGAATTGCAAATATCCAAAAAACAAAAATAAGGGTCTGTGTAATCTAAAGCATTCTAAGAGCAGTTTTTAAGGATTTGAAATAGCTGTGTGTGGTCTGTCCTGAACATGCAAACGTCCACATGGCAGGTGTTTTGCTTTTTGTGTATTTGGCCCTTTTTCAAATCGTACTAAATGATTCACAGAGCATGAAGATCAGTAGTAGGATTTGCTTTCAAAAAGTTAAAGGTAGTCAGAGGTTAATACTTTTACTTTTTCCTAGAATTGGAATTTATTTACCTCAATTATCTGATTTACATCTTCGCATTTCTGCTTTTAATGCATTGTGTTGCCATCTTAACCAGTGTTTATTTATATATATATATATATATATATATATATATATATATATAATATCGTGGAGATGATTGCATTCAAATAAATTTTCTATAGTATTAAGTTGCCCAATAATCTTAACAAATAGTTGTATAAAGTCTTACATCTGTGCATGGAACATCCGCATAACCCAAATAAAGGCATCACTGCAGGATATTTAGGAAAGCGCAAAAACTTTTAAAAGTTTTTTTAAAGCGTGTATTTGGTCATCTGCTGCGAAAACATTTGAAGAATTACTACAGGTCCTGAAAAAACAAACATTTATATAATAAAGGATTAATTACATGTTGTGATTCAGTTTGTAACATTGATCAATGATTTCTCACAATTCACAGCTGGCGGGGTAGTATCATTTCACCAACTTTAAAATATTTATTTTAAAATTTAATTTTACTATGTGCAGTTTTAAGAAGGAAGGAAGGAAAGATTAGCATGTGCGCTGTCTCTGCATCTGCTGCGTGCGTTTGTCTCCCTCCCTCTCTCTCTCTCTCTCTCTCTCCATCTGCGCGTCATCACACTGCGCCTCCCTGTTGATTATCATTGGCGCCAAAGAGGATTGGAGAAGCACTACCTGCCCGCAGCTTGTCCAAAAATAAAGAAAATATTTTGACATATGATTAGCAATGGTGAGTCGCTTCATTAATGCACTGTATGTAGAAGTAAAGACACAATCAGAGACGAGGTCGGTGTAGCTGATCAAGCTGAAATAAAAGCAGCTCGAACTTGCAGCCTTTTTAACGTTACTTGTTAATTAGCAGATTAACTTAGGCTACAAAAATAATAAATCATATATAGGCTATTTATGAATTTTGAAGTCCGTGTTTGCGTCGTTTGTTTTTAAGCCTTGGTTGTTTACGCCATGGTTGAGAAACATAAAAAGTGTGAATAACTTAATGATCAAGATCAACTGTCTTTGTCAACAGCAGACAGTCAATATGAGCTTCAGTTTTTCATATATAAGTTAACTACAGGTGTTTGTGCTTTACCACCTGCTTCCTGTTTGTTATTGTCGACTTTGAAATGTAAACAGTCAACAACAAATTCATCCATGCGGTTACAATGCTACTTGCTCTGCACTGCACGTTTTGTAGCTTATGTAATTTTAAAGTAAACAATAAAATAAAAATGAAATAAACTGTGTGTTTATATAGTAAAGCCCGAAATTATTCATACCTCTGGCAAATTCTGACTTAGCAAGTTTTTCAAGGGACCTTAAGACGATGCACATCGAGAGACATCATTCTGTAAACAAATGTTTCTCACCTCTTATTTACATTTGAAGAAAACTGCACTAGTGTATGAATAATTTTGGGCTTGCCTGTGTGTATGGTATGTATGTATATGTATGTTTGTTTGTTTGTGTGTACACATGTTCGCAAGTCTCTAATTCAGCAATGCTCATTTCAGGACATCCGGAGGTTTTTTACGTCCACCAAGCCTGTGGCCCAGAAAGCTTCAAATGGAAGCACAAGCACAAGTACTGATGAAGAGCAGAAGAAGAAACAAAAATCAAGACCTAAGGTAAAATGACATGTGAACAACATTCATTTGCATGCTGATGTTGTGTGCATCGTGCAGTGTCATAGAGTCTCTCTTTCTTTCTTTCTTTAGGTCAAAAGCCCCAAATCTGATGAGAAACCCAGCGGGAAAAGAAAGAAAAGAGTTATAGTTGATTCAGGTTCATATTCAGAGTTGATTAAACATTGATAATCAGGCTTGTTAAGATATGGATTCTGTTGTGTACATACAATAAATTAGTTCAGACAGAAGAAGAGTAGAAAAGAATAAAATGGAGCTTTTAAAATAGGGTCCATCAAGAGACCATAAAGATGCTCTGTAAAAATGTTTTGAAAAAGTAAAGATAAATAATATTTAAAAAGTTAAACCTGAAATATTTATTTAGATTAGAGTTCCATTTAAAAAAACTTTTTATAAGGTTTTAATGATTGAAGACCATGACTTAAAGGGCCATGAAACCCCCCTCTTTCGGTTTGAGTCTACCTCAGAATAAATAAAAAATGCTTCATAGTGGGTGTGGAGCGCCGTGAGAAGAGGGAGGAGTGGGCGTGGCCATCAGAGCAGGGGGAGAAAGAGGGAAGCGAACAACTTTTGTCAGTTGGCTCACAAAATGAGACACAAACTGTGAGGAGACGCGTGATTTTCTAGATTTTATATTAAGTTAAAATGCAAAGTAATAAGCAGTAATTTAATGCCGTGCTACATTTGTTATTCGTAATTTCATATACACATAACCACAATTTGTTATATCATTATAAAGATAATAATTGTTTATATAAACACTATAATTGAGGAGGACTTCTCTCCTGAATCCCCGGGTCTGAATGCAGACACGGAGCATTGCAGCAGATCTCTTGCCCTATCTTTTTCAACCATTAACCCTGCCGGTAATCTGGAGAATTTTAAAAATAAGCGAACACAGTAGCACGGTTATAGGGGATGTGTCTGAATGGTAATGAACTCAACTGATAAAAGACAAAGTCCACCATTCTCCAATTCTCGTACAGCTCTCCCAACTAAAATGCTTGCTGCAAACCAACAGCTTTGCTGTATCGGCCCTGACAGCATTGCAGTGAAAAACAAGCAAAAAACCAATAAACAAACAAATACTGCTTGCCGTACGCGGACTCGATCTCACCCAGTCATTGGATCTCACAGTTTGGCAGGTCTATCTAGCCTTCGGAAAACATGTGCTCTCATAAATAATTAAAAAGCAGGGTCTTTTCACAGGATAAGAAAGCTCTGCTATGAATAATAATAATGAAAAACTGACGCATCATCACTCCACTAGCATATTCGCGCTACATCACCGATTTTGATCCCGTCCAAAAAGTCATTTTAAACCCGGAAGATGAAATTAGTTGACAAAAGCTCAAAATTATCCAGGTTTTTCCACAATTAAAGTTGACTAGTGCTAACATTGTCTTAACTGATGTTCAAAACACAAAGTTCTTAAGTATCTTGAACCTTTATGGTCCTGTGCATTAAGTCATTCTATTTGGCATCTAAAAATAAAAACCTGCCTGAGACATTCAGATGTTCTCAGATGTTCTCCTCTCTCATCTTATCTTAGACTCTGAAGAAGAGAAGAAGGTAAAGACCAAAAAGAGCACTAAAGAGACTTCTATCCCCACAGAGAAGAAACACCCAGTAACTTATGTGTCTGATTCTGGTAAGTCATCAAATAAATTTCATCCTGCAATATCAGTTGGTTTTCAGCATTATATTATACCTGCGCATAATAATTTTTCCTCTCTCTGTATATTTGTTCAGATTCGGATGGAACATTTGAGACTCTGAAAAAGCCCAAACCTAAAGAGAATGGAACGGCTAAAGGCAAGAAGGAATCAGATTCAGGAAAAGCAAAACAAGTGAAAGTCTCCTCCAGCAAATCCCCAGTCAAATCCCCCAGCACGGTGAAGGGAGGGGTGAAGAGTTCTCAACCCACCGTTTCCCCTAAGGTGGCACCAACCCCACCAAAACAGATGCCCACATCAGTAATGGCTTTTTTTGGGAGTTCAAGTGTTCAGAGGTCGGAGAAGAAAATGGTGGCCAGTAGCAGCACTAAGAGGAAGGCAGTGAGTACAGAGAATGTAAATTGTTTGTGTTTGCTTGCTTAAAATTGGGGCTGGGACAACAAATCAATGCATTGCAAATCGAGAAATGATTCTGCATCAATTCTTTGACTTTCTGATTGCGTTTTGATTCTCTCTTAAATCAATTCTGAGCTTAGTATTTACTGCCAGATTAGTGCTTTTTTTTATCAAACAGTCATACTTTACCAGTCCTTAGGGCTGGTACACACTGGTACATTCACATGTATGCGACGGGTAGTAAGCGGAAGGGCTAAGGTGTAGAATTAAAACTGGCCCTAAGTTTATGGAGAGTGTGGATACGAAGGCCTGACATCAGTAGCAAACAGCCAACCAGCAGGATTTGAAAAACATTGTCTTTGGTGGGTGTGTCAAAAATGTCAGCATAGCAGCAACATGTATGTAAACAATGTGCACAGCTCACAAATGAGTTCAAGTAAAGTTGCAGTAAAGTCACTGCAGCTATGTACACAAAACAATTGGAGGTATTTTAGTTTTTTAGTAGGAGTTCTATAGTAGCAATATAGCATATCAACACGGTGTAGCTTTTTTTATTTTATATAGTAAGTTTATATACCAAATTTCATAAACTAATTATTTTGGTATGTAAATATTTTTGGTATTTGGCTATGTAATTTTTACTGATAGGGGCAACAAAGGCATAGTTTGATGACTGCGACTGAGTGTGGAATGACAGGAGTCTTCATTACATCCTATGGGACTGCTGATTTAGACTCTGATATAGAAAACCCACCAGTGTGAAAGCACCAACAAATACGTAAATGTCACGTTTGCTTTGAAAATACCTAATTTTTGATACTGTGATTCACTTTTGCAGTCAATGTGATTCACTCACATATTAAAAGATTCAAAATCCTGAATGTAAAGAGATTCAACTCTTTATCTACCGATTCTAAAGCTTATCTATATTACATTCTATGCATATACACTTACCAGCCACGTTTTTAGATACACCTTACTAGTACCGGGTTGGACCCCTTTTACCTTCAGAACTGCTTTTGTCTTTCAAGGCATATATTCAATAAGGTACTGGAAATATTCCTCTGAGATTTTGCTCCATATTGACATGGTAGCATCACATAGTTGCTGCAGATTTGCCAGCTGCTCATTCATGATGCGAATCTCCCGTTCCACCACATCTCAAAGGTGCTCTATTGGATTGAGATCTGATCACTGTGGAGCCATTTAAGTACAGTTAACTTATTGTTATATTTAAGAAACCAGTCTGAGATTCGTGCTTAATGACATGGTGCATTATTCTACTGGAAGTAGCCATCAGAAGATGGGTACACTGTGGTCATAAAGGCATGGACATGGTCAGCAACAATACTCAGGTTGGCTGTGGTGTTGACACGATGCTCTATTAGTACTAATGGGCCCAAAGTGTGCCAAGAAAATAACCCCCCACATTGATACATGGCAGGATGGATCCATGGTTTCATGTTGTTGACACCAAATTCTGACCCTACCATCTGAATGTCACAGCAGAAATCGAGACACATCAGACCAGGCAACGTTTCTCCAATATTCTTCTTAATTTGGGGAGCCTGTGCTAATTGTAGCCTCAGTTTCCTGTTCTTAGCTGACAGGAGTGGCAACCAGTGTGGTCTTCTGCAGCTGTTGCCCATTCACCTCAAGGTTCGATGTGTTTGCATTCAGAGATGCTCTTCTGCATACCTCGATTTTAACAGCAATGATTATTTGGCCATTCTCTGGTCATTCTCCTCCAACCTGGCACCAACAACCATTCAAAGTTCAAAGTCACTTAAATCACCTTTCTTCCCTATTCTGATGGTTGTTTGCAGCAGATCGTCTTGACCATGTCTACATGTATAAATGCATTGAGTTGCTGCCATGTGATTGCCTGATTAGAAATTTGCATTAATGAGTAGTTGACAGGTGTACCTAATAAGGTAGTCGGTAAATGTATATTTATGCTGTTTTGAACTAAAACCTTAACCTATATTGGATTAGGGATATAATAATTAGACATATGTAAAATAATTATAATAAATATTTTTTTCTTTGCTAAATGCCACATGTTTATTTTTTTAAATGGTTCACCGTCAGAGCAACATTTAATTTGGAGCAAGAGAAACTAGGAAAGTCTCTTTATTGTGTAAGAGATGTGTCAGCTTGCACACACTTGCTTTGTTATATCTATATTTAAGTTCTCCAAACCAAAACTTAACCTGCCCTGGGGCAGGCTAGCCATGGAGCGCAAGTTGTTATAGCTTTGACCACTGCTGAAAGACAAATAAATTTCATGGTCACTTTAGTCCAGACTAAACTGAAACTTACCTGGCTAACCAGCTTCATGGTAAAGGCCCTGGAGCTGTTTGGTTTGTGTTGTTGACTGTACAAAAATACTGCAAAAGCAGACACATTTTTTATATACTTCCAAATAGTGAAGCTTTTATAGGTAGAAGAATAAAGAGGAATTACACACTTATACATTCTCATCTGCAATATGTGTCAAACTAAAGCCCCACTGCTCAATGTATGATTGCAATGGTGGTTGATCAGCTACTTCTAATGGAATCATTGTTGGACTTTGGTTTCAATGAATGCAGTTCATGCATCACTGTTATTACTGTTTGAATTATGTGTGTAAAAGTGATGTAGAAGAAACTTCTAGAACTGAAATTCCCATGTGGGGATATAAGAAGTTTGTTTAAAATGTCAGGCTCACTTTTGGCAGAAAAAAAGTTCTAACTTTGTTTAATCTTGTCCAGCCACTGGAAACTGATGAGTCACTCAGTGATGAAGCCATTGCAAAAGAACTTCAGATGGATGAAGACAAGGAGGTTGGTTCAGGACCATCTGCACTTTTATGATTGCACAATATTGATTATATAATAATCAAAATTTGATTATGTAAAATTGTAGTTTTTTCATTAATAAAAACACAAGCATCTGCAAAAGAAATTTCAATGAGTGTTTGACCAGTTATCTAGGAATATTCCTATGTCATGTCATGCTACACAGCATGATGTATATGTTTTTCTTAGCTTTTTTGTTTTCATGCAAAAATCATAATGTGAAACGTGTGTGTGTGTGTGTGTGTGTGTGTGTGTGTGTGTGTGTGTGTGTGTGTGTGTGTTTTTATATTAGCTGGAAAAGCAGATTCATGATGATGAGGAATTTGCTAGGACATTAGCCATGCTGGATGATGCTCCCTTACCAAAAAAGGTTGGTGAGCAGCATATCCGTCTAGAGTTATTATGCATAATTTTTGCTATGTAACCCTTTTTTAAATCTATCCATTAGACTAAAATCCGTTTCTATAACGACGAAAACAATATTTAGCAAGAAAGTACATTGCTTTTATACTTGTCTCTTATTGTTTTTTAGGCTCGGGTAGACTCTATCTCCCCATCCAAGAGCAGCTCTCAGGCGATTGCCTCGGACATCAAGCCCAAAAAGGACTTGTCCCCTAAAACAAGTCCTGTGAAGACCAGCTCCAAACTGGCTCAAATGAAAAGACGCCAAGAAGAACGGGACGAGCAAGGGAAAAAAGACAAAGGTGAAAAGCAGATTAAGATCTCTCCTAAGAAAGAGCCCATCTCTCCGACTAGCTCAGAGCGTGCAGCTACGCCAAAAACAGCAAGTGCTTCTGCAGGAATGGCAAAATCAAGAAATTTGTCCACACCTAAAAGTGAAAGTGTCCCCAGTAAAACCTCACCAACCAAACCAGAGGTATGTCTTTTGCAAATGTTGCTTAATTAAGTATTACATAAGAGCAACGGTTCCTAATCCTGTTCCTCGCATCTCCTCTGTTCTACACATTTTACATGGCAGTTTCTCAGTATACGTTGTTTAGTGTTCTTGCGTTCCTGTGTTCTCGTGTAACATCATCATCAACAGTCAAAGTTCAGTTCCAAAACTCAAGAATGCAAGAATAGAGGACATTGTATGAATGCTGTAATTTTTAAAAATGTTTTCATAAAAAACACGTAAAGATAATGTGACCATGCAATGCAGCATCTAATTTCTCACAGGACGATTTGTGTTCTTGTCATTGCCCAAGTTCGTTCTTCCAATGTGACCTTGCAAGAATGGTCTCCGTGAGAACACAAGTCCGTTCTCTGCATTCTTGTAATTGAGAAACAGCCCAGGTCTTTTTTTTAACACACCTGATTTACAGTGCATCCGAAAAGTATTCATAGCGCTTCACTTTTTCCAGCCTTATTTCAAAATGCATTAAATTCATTTATTTCCTCAAAATTCTACACACAATAGCCCATAATAACAATGTAAAAAATTATTTTTTGAAATGGTTGCAAATTTATTAATAATAAAAAACCTGAAAAATCACATGTACAAAAGTATTCAGCCTTTGCTCAATACTTTGTTGATGGCAGCAATTACAGCCTCAAGTCTTTTTAAATATGATTCTACAAGCTTGTACAGCCATCTTCATATCTCTCCAGAGATGTTCAATAGGTTTTGGGTCTGGGCTCTGGCTGGGCCACTCAAGGACATTCACTGAGTTGTTGTGAAGCCACTCCATTGATATTTTGGCGATGTGTTTTGGGTCATTGTCCTGCTATAAGATGAACCGTTGCCCCAGTCTGAGGTCAAGAGCACTCTGAAGCAGGTTTTCATTCAGGGTGTCTCTGTACATTGATGCACTCATCTTATCCTCTATCCTGACTAGACTTCCTGCTGAAAATCATCCCACAGCATGATGCTGCCACCACCATGCATCACTGTAGGGATGGTATTAACCTGGTGATGAGCGGTGCCTGGTTTTCTCCAAACGTAATGCCTGGCAATCACTCCAAAGAGTTAAATTTTAGTCTCATCTGACCAGAGAATTTAATTTCTTATGGTCTGAGAGTCCGTCTGGCCACTCTACCATACAAGCCTGATTGGTGGATTGCTGAACAGATGGTTGTTCTCCTGTAAGGTTCTCCTCTCTCCACAGAATAACGCTGGAGCTCAGACTGAGTGACCTCCCTAACTAAGGCCCTTCTCCCCCATTCATTCAGCTTAGATGGCCGGCCAGCCCTAGTAAGAGTCCTGGTGGTTCCAAACATCTTCCACTCACACATGATGGCCACTGTGCTCATTGAATCTTTCAGAGCAGCAGACATTTTTCTGTAACCCCAGCCTTGTGTCTCGAGACAATCCTGTCTAGGCGGTCTACAGACAATTCCTTTGTCTTCATGCTTGGTTTGTGCTTTGACATGCATTGTCAACCCTGGGACCTTATATAGAAGGGGTTTGCCATTTCAAATCATGTCCAATCAACTGAATTTACCACAGGTAAACTCCAATCAAGCTGCTGATACATCTCAAGAATGATCACAGAATGTGTCTGAGCTCAATTTAGAGCTTCACAGCAAAGTCTGTCAATACCTATGTACATGTGATTTATTTATTTATTTTATTTTATTTTTTATAAATTTGCTACAATTTAAAAAAAAAACTTTTTTCACATTGTCATTATGGGGTATTGTGTGTAGAATTTTGAGGGAAAAAAAATTAATTGAATCCATTTTGGAATAAGGCTGTAAAATATAAAAATGTAGAAAAAGTGGAGCACTATGAATACTTTCCAAATGCACTGTAGATAACCAGCTCATTAGAATAGAGGTCCATGAAGAAACTGTTTTACAGTTGAACTTTACTTAACTTAAAAACAAAGATTTGCACTACACAGTTTACAGCATGTTCAGTTGGAAATTATTCTGGAACTGTAAGGGGTCATTTTTCTATAATCATGATTTTGCATAAGTCCCTTAACCCCTTAAATTAAACACACTTCTTTTAAACTGGAATCACGGTTGAATATATTGTGATGTCTGTTAAATGAAAACTCAGAAACAGGGAGAGAGAAATACAAATATACAAATCATGGTGTGGTGAGGACCACAATTGACAACTGCTGTGTTAGAAGATACTTAAAAGGTCAATGTTTGCTTTACAACAGTGTTATTTTAGTATTATATTAGTATATGGTTTGATTCCATATAAAACTTTTTACAGTTTGTGTGGTCAAAGGAGATTTGCTAAAAATCGGGATATTAATCCTCTAGTAAGCAAACCAAATCTTCCCTTGAATTTCAGAATACAAGTCCAGATGACCTGGAGAAAAAACGGGCAAATTCATCAGCCTACCGTAGCTATCTGAACAGAGAAGGACCACGAGCTCTGGGCTCTAAAGACATACCACAGGTAAAAACACCTAAATACCTCATGTTGATGGTTTAAGTGACATTCCTATTTATGATTCTGATTTCAGGAATCAAATTGTACTTGTCCTCTAAACTGCTCAACCGCTTTTATGTGTGTTTTAGGGCGAAGAGAACTGTCTGGAGGGCTGTGTGTTTGTGTTGACTGGTGTTTTGGAGTCTATGGAGAGGGATGAGGCTAAATCACTAATAGAGCGATATGGCGGGAAAGTGACAGGAAACGTCAGCCGTAAAACCACTTACCTTGTTCTGGGACGAGACAGCGGAGTCTCAAAGACTGAGAAGGTTCTAATTTTTTATTATGTCTTCAACATGTTGTTGCTTCTTTTTATTTTAACATTAGTGTTTCAATTTCAATTATATTCCAGCTTATCTTTTTGTTTTTGTAACCTAATGTGTTCGTTCACACAACTTCAATGTCTGTAGGCGGAAAGTTTCGGCACCAAGATTATTAATGAAGATGAGTTATTGGATCTCATAAGAACCAAACCAGGCAAGAAGTCTAAATATGAGATTGCAGCAGAAGCAGAGGTGAGGCTGTTCATATACATGCGCTTTCATTTGCACTCCATTGCACACTGTTCAGTTGAATATATTGCAAAATACAAGATTTAATGTCTATAAATTAACAAGCTAAAACCTAAATGCCAGCGTTGTTTTTAACAGGGAAATCTGCATGTCTTACTATTTCATATTAAAAAGAAAAATCATATTGCAGTCATGGTGAATGGGTCGGAAACAGTATAAGCCTGTTTGTTTATTTGAACGGTGATGATGCTTAATTGTTTTTAATTTAGTCCTGTAAAGAGTGAAAGTAGTTTCAACACTTAGGTTTAATCCTGCCATGCAAGGCTGGTTTGCAGGCACAAAGTCCTTAGAGTCCTTTTTCATGGTTTTGAAATAAATATATATTTTTGATGCACTCCCTTGAATTCTTGGCAGTCATTTTGGGCTCATTAATTGCTCTCAGAGTGTAGCTCTATCCTACACTCTGAGTCCTCATTTTGCTATATATATATATATATTACAGGAAAGTAATCAAAAGTGTTTTGCTCAGCCTAGTGCATCCACAAGTATTTGGTGCATTGATGATCTGTCTGTATGCTCTATATTGTAGAATAAATCCTCTAAAACAAGGACTCCAGACTCCAGAGGCAAAGTCGCTTCTTCAGCCAAGAAGGCCACACCACAAGGGCCAAGCCCAAATAAGAGAAGCTCTTCAGGGGGAAAGTCTAAGCCTGGATCTGCCTCTAAATCTGGAGCCCGTGGGGCCTCTTGTTCAGAGGTCAAAAAGAGCTTGAGCTTTGATCAAACAAAGACAGCATCCCCTGTATCCCACTCTGCCCCAGAGAATGATGGAAGCAGCCTGTTGTGGGTGGATAAGTACCGTCCACGCAGTCTAAAAAACCTGATTGGACAGCAGGGGGATCAGAGTTGCGCTAACAAGCTCTTACGTTGGCTACAGAGCTGGCATAAACACCACAGTGGCAATGCAAAAGCACCAGGTCAGTGCTTTCACTGTATGGGCAATTGTTATTTTGCCAGCTAATGTAATAGTCTCTGATCATAATTTTCAAAATTATTCATCTGCGCTGATTTAAAATGGCCCCATAATATGACAAATGTATTTTTAAATATACTTTGTAATAGTTTGCCAATTAATAAGGTAATGAAGCACTAAAAGTGTAAGGAAAAAGTTATAAGTTCTAATAGCTGTACAATGCCTTGCATAAATGAGTACACCCACTTTTGCAAATGTATTTTTGTATCCATTTTCCAGAGTGTATAGCCAATAATGTTTGGTGCCTTTTCAACAAAGCAGTTTTAGAAATCAGTTATATCTATTAAAAAAGCTTAGTCACCTAAAACTTTAAGAATAGAATATTAAAATGTATATTAAAAATGTATTTAATATTTTCCCCATGAAATTAATTTGAGTGTTATAATTTTTTTTTCTTAAATTAATTCCAGTTTTGGTACTGACTGATATAATTTTATAAAGCATCCTAAAATATTAAAAATATTAAAAAAAAAATCTGTGAGGGGTACTTTTTTATGCTGAGCACTGTATATAGAGTTTAGCATATACTGCTTAGTTTTTGCTAATTTTCACCCATATATAGAACGGCATGTTATGGTATGACATGGTACAAGTTCTATATCAGGAGTGTCCAAACTCGGTCAACCTGCTTTAACACACCTGCCAGGACGTTTCTAGTGTATCTAGTGAGAGCTTGATTGGCTGGTTCAGGTGTGTTTGATTAGGGTTAGAGCTAAACTCCAGTACTGATGTTAAGTCCCACTTCACATACTTATACCATGGCCTAAAGCAGGGGTCACCAAACTTGTTCCTGGAGGGCCGGTGTCCTGCAGATTTTAGCTCCAACCCTAAACAAACGCACCTGAACAAGCTAATTAAGGTCTTAGTAGGTATACTTGAAACATCCAGACAGGTGTGTTGAAGTAAGTTGGAGCTAAACCCTGCAGGGACACCGGCCCTCCAGGACTGAGATTGGTGACCCCTGCCCTAAAAGTATGTACTTTTCTTATGAAGGAAAAATATGTACTGTTGAGTGTGTGACAGAAGAGTTTGTAAGCTTTGGGACACACTACTTCCTTGTTAACAGATCATTGTGTTGCTTAGTTATGAGCCCTGTCAATCATCCACATATCATTCACATTTCTGTAATGTTTAATTGCCTACCTTTTTGGAGAAGCAGCTGCAGACTAATTCATAATTCACACGTCTTTCATGCAGAGATATCTACTCCGGTCCAAACAGTTCTTTATATAAGTTCAGTATTGTTGTTGCCAATGAAATATAACACAGAAAACAAGACTGAAACATGTTCCAGATGGCTAGTTATTAATTAACAGTCATACAAACATCTTTACCGAAACCTCTCTACGGTTTGTCTTGCGCATTCATCAGGTTTGTAGTTTATTTACACTTTTCACTCGTGTTTGTCAATCGAATTAACAGCCAACGCACAATGTACTGTGGGCAATAACAGCGGTTAAAGTATGGACGGTTCTACAAATTTAAAATTTTTTACCGGGAATAGTAAACCATCTGGGAACCATGGGACGGACTAACTCTGTTTTCAAAAACTATTTAGGACGGATAGTATGCGAATTGAAACGCAGCATGAGTTTGGACACCCCTGTTCTTTATTAATTTACTGGGGCTGCCCTATAGTAAAAGTATTCAATAGTCAAATACTATTAGCCGAAGAAAAGAGGTTTTAGCCACCAAGATTTTTGATTAGCTTAGTCGCAGGATTTATTTAAAAAAAATCCACAGATTATATTGAAGTGTAAAGACTCTAGGTTTAGTTGTGTGAATTTACAATAGCAACAAAATCATTGTGCTTTCATAAAATAATGAAAACAAACTCAATGTACTTTTTTCTAACAAAGCACTAGTTTTTCCTTAAATTGTTAATGTTTAAGATGCAGTCTTTTATTTGTCTTTTACTATGGTGACCACACGTTCTGTCTTCAAACAACTCCTGTAAGCTGTACTAGTTTCTAACTGCAATGTAGTCAGAGTATTGATATGGAACTTTACTGCAGTCAAAACTGCCTGGTACTACTTTAATTGTGATTCCATTAAAATATTATAGCACACCTTATTGTTTATCAGATAATCAGAGCCAAGCTTTCAACAGCTGTGTAAGACAAGTAATACATGTGATCAGTCGACACGTGGCTAAAAAATGAAAGACTTCTGTTTGACCAAAAAAATATTTTGTCGATGGCATCCCTAGAATTAAATACGGCATGAATGCCCCTCTATATTTTCTTGATAATGTCACAGACGCACAATCATCATGTTAGACTGGGGGTTTTTATGTGTATATTTTTATAAATGTAAATCTAACATGCTTTTGACTTGAATGCAATCATACACACCACATTTGTTCTCAAAGGTGCCTCCTTTTTTTAATGCTTTTTATTTTTTTTAAATAAACCTTATAAAAATTCATAAACTTCATGGTAAAATTGATGAAATGCTGTTTATAACTTGGGCATAATGTTTTATATATCATTTTTAAAAAGTAGTGTATAGTATATGTAGTGTATCATTTTCTTTGTTTCTTATTCTGTGTTTGCGTGTGTGTTTGTCTGTGTGTGTAGCACCCAAATTTGGTAAATTTGGGAGTAAAGATGACGGTTCTGGATTTAAGGCTGCATTGTTATCTGGACCCCCTGGTGTTGGGAAGACCACTACTGCTGCTCTCGTTTGTGAGGTCAGTTCATTCTCACATATAAACAACTTTTACATCTTGTTTGACTATTTCAAAACAAGTGTGTGTGTGTGTGTGTACGCTTTAAAAATGTTTATGAATTAAATCATTAGCTGCACTGGCACAGTGTGTCTGTTTCTGCAGTTTTGTTGCTTTTGTTAATGCGTTAACAGTTTCCACATGTGCTTGCAGGAGTTGGGTTACAGCTATGTGGAGATGAATGCGAGCTGCACCCGCAGTAAGAACAGCTTAAAGGAGGTCATCGCAGAATCACTTAACAACACCAGCATTAAGAACTTCTACACCGGTAATTACCTTAATTAATACACAATAAATCAGATTACATCTGCAAAATGGTTTTCAGTTGAACTGTGGTGATTATAATATAAACACTTTGGTTCTGTGTTTAATGGTGTCAGGTGCATCACAGACAGTGAGCAGTAAACACGTTCTTATAATGGACGAGGTGGACGGCATGGCAGGAAATGAAGACAGAGGAGGAATACAGGTAGACACACAGTACATGCCACTGCATTCTCTCTCTTAACCAAAGGTGGTGCTCAAGCAACACAAATAGACTAGATGGTGTTTCAGAGTTCAGTGGCTGTGTGTGAAATAGAGTGCTGGTTCAGTCATACAATTGACATTGTCAACTTAAAACTGTGAAGTTTTGTGATAAGGGCCATTTGTATTCAAAAATGTAGTTCATTTGCGTTTAGAAGAGTCTAATTCCTTCAAATTAATTAAATATATTTCCCAGAGATGGGTTGCGGCTGGAAGGGCATTCGCTGCGTAAAAACTTGCTGGATAAGTTGGCTGTTTATTCCGCTGTGGTGACCCCGGATTATTAAAGGGGTTAAGCCGAAAAAGAAAATAAATGAAAGAATAATTAAATATATATTTTGAAATAGACTGCAGTAATTAAAGTTTTTTTTTTTTCACAGAACCTATTGAAATGCAGATCTGTGTCATTGTGGTTCTTGACTTTTTTCATTGTCTTTCGCCCACACAGGAGATGATTGGTCTGATAAAACAGTCAAAGATTCCCATCATCTGTATGTGTAATGACCGCAATCATCAGAAGATCCGCTCGCTGGCCAACTATTGCTATGACCTGCGCTTTCAGAGACCCCGCGTTGAGCAGATCAAGGTGACCGTCAGACAAATTCAGATATTTCGAGAGCATGATTAAATTCATGTGATTGCATGACCACTTTTGCTTATGTAAATGACCTCTAAGTGGTAGAAAAGATAACATTATGTATATATTTAAAAAAAGAATTTAAAATATACATAAAAAATGTTTACTATAAAAAACAGTGTTTTCATTGGTAAGTACTAGGGCTGTGCAATTTGGGGAAAATATCTAATTGCAATTTTTATTTATTGATTTTTTTGTATTTTATTTATTTTTTGACAGATTTTGCAATTTCGATGTTATTTGCGATTTTAAATTTTTTAGTCAAGCTTCAGCTCAATAAACTGTATTGTAGCTCCTTGCTACAAAAAATGCAGTGAGTGGAACTAAAAAGATATCAACTTATATTAGCAAACAACTCTGAAATTGTACATTGCTTGTTACTAGATTGAGCGTCACTGGCGATACTTTGTTGACTTTTTAGCAAGATACTCCTCATATAGCTGCCTGTGGTGCTTTTTTAGGTGCTGGTTGTTGTATTTCCTTGTGGTGTGGCAACAATTCTTTGACAGCTCTTGCAAATTACTTGGTTTTGCTTGGTGTCTGTGACTTTAAAAACCAAGATATTCCCATATAACTGACATGTTTCTTTTGCTTTGATATTAATTCGTCTATTAATGCTTCTGAAGCGGCAGACGCCATCATCCTATTCGTTTGCGCATTTCTGTATGTTTGTTTTTTTATTGTGGATGTTCCGTATAGTTTGGTTGCGCAATTCCAATTGGGCAGAACTAGGGTTGTAACAATATACCGGTATGACGGTTTACCACGATTTGAACGTGCACGATTATCATACCATGAACAATTGCATATCAACGGTTTTAACCCTTAAAGACCGAGACAGCCGCCCGCGGCTAAAAATAAGTATTGCTCTTAAATGTTTAATAACTTTTGATCCGCTGATCCGATTCATACAATTCAAAGATTGGCATAAAGAAGAGAATCTCAGCTTTCCAGTGCTGTATCACATAACATTCGCGGACTTTCAGAGGCTCCGGAATCAGTGCGGTTACGTCATCAACATTTGACAACGCTGATTTGACAAAGAAACGCTCGTCACTGTGTCTCCGGACAAATCAGACATGATACATTGATGCATTGTCCCTCCTCCATGCCCAGATTGGTTCAAACTCGCTATATCACAACCAATAAGCATAGGTTTCGCTTTTGTTTGTGGACCAAGCTTTTTGAACAACACGGAATAGGAGATAGGCATACATTTATGCGCGGCTAAATAAAACGCAAAAAAAAAAAGTTTTGCATGAAATAATTCTCATACTAAGTACTTTTGCATGCACAGCAGCACAGAAACATGACAAAACAGTGACACAGCAAAGACGAACTGCTGCTCTTGCTGTTTTCAAAAGACGCAAATGAAGATGCAGCTGTTTGTCTGCATTGCAGACAACCACATCCAAATCCATATCGATAGACAACCATATCCATGCTGGAACATAAAACCTAAGGATGTTCCATATTGAATCTAGTTTCGTTATGTAACTATTTATAGTAAAGTAAATATTTATATCTATTTTTTACTGAGGATTTGCACCATGTTTATTTGGACTTTGACACATTATTTATTATTTTCTTATTTTTTTATTTGTTCTTTGTAAGTGGTGTTGTTTATAGTAACTAAAAATATATTATTTGGAAAAAGTCAAATTTGCTTCACTGTTCTATTATTTTGTAACATTTGTAACATACCGTATACCGCGAAACCGTCAAACCGTGGTATTGTTTTAGACGATTATCATACCGTGAAAAATTCATACCGTTACAACCCTAGGCAGAACGAAAGTGTGCTCACTCAATTGGCTAGTAAGACTGTCACACACAGATGGCAGTCACGCATTTGCTCTGGGTTGGGGAAGTTAAATAATTTTTATTTCATATCGCAGCCTCTTGCAATTTAGCTAATCGCAATGTTTCAAATTGTGATTCGATTTCGATTAATGCCACAGCCCTAGTAAGTACACATACTTTAAAATATAGTTAATACCCTATAATTACATTAAACCTACTTAAATCTATAGTAAGGGCATGTTATTAGTTAACATTATCAATTGTACTGTAACAAACACATTTGAAGAGGGTAGTTCACACAAAAAGTAAATTTATTTACTCTCTTGTAAGTGGATATAACCCTTTATGAGTTTCTTTCTTTTGAAAACCTGTAACCATTGACTTCTATAGAAGGAGAAACAAATATTATGCTTCCATCGTATTTCTTTTTCCTACTATGGAAGTTAATGTTTAAAGGTTAGTACATACAGGGAAGTAAAACCTTTTTGGGTGAACTAATGTAACAATTTTATATACAAAATGTTCCTCTCTCTCCAATTAGGGAGCTATGATGTCTATAGCTTTTAAGGAGGGTTTGAAGATTCCACCCCCAGCACTTAATGAAGTCATCCTAGCATCCAATCAGGATATCCGACAGGTAAGATGTTAACAAATAAGCATGCTTTACTGTATTGCTCATCCAGCACATTTATCAGCCTGTGTATCGTACTCCAGTTGTTTTACACTGCAAGAGTATTATTATACATCACATCTGTTATTCTACATCTACTTCTAGGTGCTGCATAATCTGAGCATGTGGTCAGCTAAAGACAAAGTTATGACCTATGACCAGGCCAAAGCTGATGCTAACAATGCTAAGAAGGACATGAAACTAGTATGTGCACACTCTTAAATATGCTATTCACATTGTATATGAGCACAGGTGGCTTGATTGTATCAAAAGACTGCAAAGAATGACGGTATTTGTGTGTTCACATTTGCAGGGTCCATTTGATGTTTGTCGAAAGGTGTTTGCTTTAGGAGAGGAAACAGCTCACATGTCTTTGATCGACAAATCAGACCTTTTCTTTCATGATTACTCTTTAGCACCACTCTTTGTCCAAGAAAACTACCTGCATGTCCGACCAGCCGCTGCAGGGTGAGTTTTAGACATGCGTTTTAGAGTTGGCCAGTGTATATATTGTGTTTTATTCCATTTTTAAAAACTATTCTCATTGTATTTTAATTTTGGTGAATTTGCTATGGGATTATTTAAAAAGGTGACTTACTGTGCTCCCCATGAAACAGACATAACAGCAATACCAAACAGTTAAACATGCTATCTATATTTACATTGCTTAATTTAGTAGACACTTTTGCAAAACAAATGAGTAGAACAACAAGCAGTTCATTATATAGAGGCAAATATATTACAAGATGTGCCATAGTTACTCAAGTTTCACACCCAGAATATGAATGGATTAAGCTGAGTTTTAAAAAATGTTTTATTTATTAGAGACAACTTACTGCTTTTACCAAATCAACAAAACATTTAATCATATTTTACTACAAGTAATTCCTAAAATTGAAAATAATATGAAAAGAGCTAAGCGGTTAGCGTTTAATATGATGATGTTTCCTACCTTTGTCCTCATCAGTATTGAATAATTATCTCTAAAGTTTGATACATTCAATTGATAGTTCACTCAAAAATTTTAGTTATCATCAGTTACGCACCCTTTTTCTAAACATATTTGAATTTCGCTTTTGTGTTAGTTGCAGAAGAAGATGTTTTGAAGAAAGCTGGAAACCTGTAACCATTGACTTGCATAGTATTTATTTTATTTTTTCCTGCTGTGGAGGTAGTTGGTTACAGGTTTTCAACTTTCTTCAAAATATATTTTGTGTTCAACAAAGAAAGAAACTCTTGAGGGTATGTCGTTTGAATGAGATTTTCATTTGTGGGTAAATTATTCATTTAATTGATCAGCACATACTAAAGGCCACGGTTTACTGCAAACAAAACCAAAGAACAATGCCACATTTGTCAAAATCAGGTATCAATCTACTATATTAATACATGCCACGTGATTTTATAAGATGCTCTCTAAACTACATTTCTCACCACTGTAATTTTAGTTGTATTTTTTGTGAGGATATTTACACATCCTCCTAAATGCAGCAGTATGAGCTATGAGGTGTTTCTGTTGGGTACTGTGCTTTTTAGGTGTTTTGACCTTCCACACATAAACTAAGAACAAATTGAAAACACATTACTGTGAGTCAGGGCCTCAAGTTACAGTTGTACACTTAGGAAACATTAACTTGTGCTTAAAGTTTTGTTTAGAGTTCTTTTGAAAGTCAGTTGTAAAGTGTGATGGTTTCTCTGTGACAATCTCTGTTCATCAGGGGAAATCTGAAGAGTCATTTGGTGTTGCTGAGTAAAACGGCGGACAGCATTTGCGATGGAGATTTAGTGGACAGACAGATTCGCTCTAAACAGACTTGGTCTCTGCTTCCCACACAGGTAGCATACTTTTAATAGTCTTCTAATCCGTGTCCACAAACAAACCTACAGCTTTAACTGCTGTAGCGATGTTGATATAATCAGGCCTTGAAGTGGCCATTTTCAAATGAAGGCAGTAAAGCTTAATAAAATACTATTGCAGCACAACAGAAAGCTGGTTCCTGTAGTTCAGCCATTTCTGTATTTATCAGTGAAAACAAATCAGGCTTTTTCATGTATCTGTGGGCATTTATTCCCAGGCGATCTATGCAAGCGTGTTGCCAGGGGAACTGATGCGTGGTTACATGAGTCAGTTCCCAAACTTTCCAAGCTGGTTGGGCAAATTTTCCTCATCGGGCAAACACAGCCGCATCATACAGGAGCTGGCCTCACACATGAGCCTCAAGTGAGCTAACCCAAGAACTTCCTGTCTCACTCTACTCAAACTATGATGTCTCGATAAACCCTAAAATCTTCCTTATTTCACCCCTGCAGGACCTTAAGTAGTAAGGAAGCAGTAAATCTGGATTACCTGCCCTATTTGCGCTCAGCAGTATTAAAACCTCTTCAGTCCCTAGGCTCAGAGGGAGCCAATCAGAGCGTGAAGCTCATGGATGATTATGACATCATTAAAGAGGATGTTGATAACATGATGGAGATCAGCACATGGGATGGACAGCCGGATCCGTACTCTAAACTAGACTCCAAGGTGTGTGTGTGTGTGTGTGTGTGTGTGTGTGTGTGTGTGTGTGCGTGTGATTTGCTGAGCATATTGTAGAGAAATCCTCCAGGACAAAAAAGCAGTGGTCCAGTTGACAGTTCATTGCTTTGACAGATGCCTGCTCCGTCTGAGTTAATTGTGTTTTAACTGTAAAACATCTGGAGGTGCTCTGCGCCACACTTTATCCCCATCAGCTCCATTTTTTTTTTCTTTTCCCCTTTTCGCAGGTGAAAGCTGCGTTTACAAGAGCCTACAACAAAGAATCTCATCTCACGCCATACTCCTTACAAGTGGTGAAGAAAAGTCGTAAAGGTGCAGTTGACCCTGAGCTTCTAGGAGAGCTTGACAATGAATCTCAGGTGCAGGAAGAGGAAGAAGATGATGGGCTTGGTGCAGATGCAATGATAAAGGTAGATCTCCAAATGGCAATCCAGCAGCTCTTGAGTTTTTCAGGCACATATCAACTGGAGGACAGTCGTTTAGACAAAAAATGTAAATGTAATGTCAAACACATTGGACTATTGTCCATTTCAAAAAACATTCTTTTGACCAAACAGATATCCATTTGTTGACAATCAGTATTTCCAGGGTGTCCGCGGGGTCTTAAAAAGTCTTAAATCTACTGAAATGTTGTGTTCTAGGTCTTAAATCTTTTTAAACAATTTCTTTTGGTCATGTATAGCCACCCAATCTGGCTATTAACACCCATACAGTCACCAACAATCCCAATCTCTATAAAACTTTTCAACGTTTTATTTACTGGGCGTTGCGGGCACTATTATACAATGGTTCAGATCTTACCTCACTGACAGATCATTCAGGGTGTCTTGGAGGGGTGAGGTGTCCAACCTACAGCATCTAAACACTGGGGTACCTCAAGGCTCTGTTCTTGGGCCACTTCTCTTCTCCATCTACACATCGTCTCTAGGACCAGTCATCCAGAGACATGGATTCTCCTACCACTGCTATGCTGATGATACCCAGCTATACCTCTCTTTTCATCCTGATGATCCCTCGGTTCCAGCTCGCATTTCAGCCTGCCTGTTGGATATTTCACACTGGATGAAAGATCCTCATCTTCAGCTGAACCTCGCAAAAACGGAAATGCTTGTAGTTTCTGCCAACTCGACTCTACACCATAACTTTTCAATCCAGATGGACGGGGCAACCATTACTGCATCCAAAATGGTGAAAAGCCTTGGAGTAACGATTGATGACCAACTAAACTTCTCTGACCACATCTCTAGAACTGCTCGATCGTGCAGATTCACACTCTATAACATCAGAAAGATCCGACCCTTCTTATCTGAACATGCAGCTCAACTCCTTGTTCAAGCTCTTGTTCTCTCCAAACTGGATTACTGTAACTCTCTACTAGCTGGGCTTCCAGCTAACTCTATCAAGCCTCTTCAACTGCTCCAGAATGCAGCAGCACGAGTGGTCTTCAATGAACCTAAACGAGCACATGTCACTCCGCTGCTACTCCGTTTGCACTGGCTGCCAGTTGCTGCTCGCATCAAATTCAAAACTCTGATGTTTGCCTACAAAGTGACTTCTGGCCTTGCTCCTTATCTGCTCTCGCTTCTGCAGATCTATGTGCCCTCCAGAAACTTGCGTTCTGTGAATGAACGTCGCCTCGTGGTTCCATCCCAAAGGGGGAAGAAATCACTTTCGCTCACGCTCACGCTCAATCTGCCCAGTTGGTGGAATTAACTCCCTAACTGCATCAGAACAGCAGAGTCACTCGCTACTTTCAAGAAACGACCAAAAACTCAACTATTTAGTCTCCACTACACTTCCTAATCTGTAATTGCCTCTCTGAATATCACACTAACTGTACAAAAAAATAAAAAAAAATAAAAAAAATACTAATACTACTAATACTTCCCTTCTTAGACTTTACAGACCTGAAACTTACTTATAGTACTTATTCATTGTTGCTCTTGGTTGTGTAAATTGCTTCCTTGTCCTCATTTGTAAGTCGCTTTGGATAAAAGCGTCTGCTAAATGACTAAATGTAAATGTAAATTTAAAAATAGCATTTAATTACTTTCCTTATGGTAACATTTGCCTAAAACGCTTTATTTTATTTATTTACTGCAAAAGATACTGACCTATATTTTTTATTATTAAATTATTATTATTGTAGACTAAAGTAAATTGCCAGCTATTTTTTGTTCTATTCTTGGTAAGGCTTAAATGATTTGTGAATGGATATATTTAAAATGAATAATAATACATTTAATTAATTTTGTTTGAAAATTTTAAAATCTTTTCTAACTAAAATATTTCAAACAATTCTTAACGTTTAGACCCATTTAAGTAAAAAATCTCATTCATAATGGTTTAAAAACATGTGTTAAAGTCTTAAATTAAACTTGGTGACACCTGCAGAAATCCTGTACTTCTAAAAGTTTTGATGATTAATTTATCATTAAGATGTACAGAATATTCAATACGAATAGAGTGATTTTGAAGTTTTCTGAAAAGACATGGCTTTATTTGATCTGTATCATAATCGTTGTTCATATGAGTACCTTCTAAAAGCACTATATGGTTTGAGATGAGGAGCTCAAGAAACAGATCTGTTTCATAATGTAACGTTTAAGGATAAAAGCTAATTTAAAACGACAGTTCACCCAAAAATGTAAACATCCAACATCCATTTGTTTTGAACTTATTTCACTTTCTTTGCCTGTTGAAAAATGTCAAGGGGTGGTGGTTTCCAACATTGTTCATAATATCTTGTTTGCATTAAGCAGAGTAAGAAATGCATAAAGTTTTGAACCATTTGACTGCAAGTAGTTGACAAAGAAACTTTGATTTGGGGTGAACTGTCCCTTTAAGGATAATTTTTGTGAAGCTTGAAATCTAATGTCTTCAATTTTAAACTTAGGCTAAGCTGTTTTTTTGTCTCTGTTATAAAATAATGCACTAGTTAAAATCATTCGTAGTGTAGTAGAGTGCAAATCTAAACTCAAGGCCTGTGGTCCTTTAACTCCTGACCTGATTGTGTTTATTTTTGTTACTGCTTGTGATTTATTTGTTTGTTCTTGTTGATCACTGACTATTTATTTTTCTTTAAATACTAACAATCTGAAGTAAAAACTAAAAACCTTTCAGAGTAGAGCTCTGTGTAGAGGGTCTCATTCAATCCTTCTGTCATAAAATAAACGTAAAAATAATTATAATTTTCAAACTCTGGCTCCACCAGTAATCTTCCATCAGGTTGTCGTTAAGAGAAAACCGGTGGTAACTCCAACTGTGGTTTATATTTTAAATATGGACAAACAGTACTGTCAGATTCCAGGTCTGATTTTTGTTATTTTTAAAGACGTGTTGCAGTGTTTTTTATGTTTTGTATATATGCGAGCCTTACTAAAGACAAATTTCTATCCCTAGTTGACAGAATACAAAGTTTTTTTTAATTGGAATTTCCCAAAGTCGAAGTCCTCTCTAAAAATGTAACCACATCGCAACTGCGCGTAGTGCAAGCTCTGTGACTGGTCAGCTTGGTAGCACTGATGAGTGTGAGCGGGGCCGAGAGCCACACGAGCCCGATGGAGCGATTGTTTACAAGTGTGGAGTTCTGTAAAGGAGCTCCGGATGGAATGTTTTGTTTTGTGTTTATCTTATGGTTAAATTTGTTGCATGTCCACCGGTTTCTGCCTCAAAATGAGCGAGTTTGAACGACTTGTACGTTAAGGAAGCGTTCAGTAGAACATTAACACCTCACTGCCAACTAGCGTTTCGGAAGTGTTATTACAGAGAAACAGAAACATCATGCAGAAGTATGAATGTACAGCTACGCACCCTGCATGCGCCGTCGGTCACCTAGATCATTTGACGCAGAGGTATAAACCAGGCTTAACTCAGGGTTATATACATTCCGGAAATGGAAGTCTCATTTCACCCTCAATACACTACAATTACTATAGTATAATGTAATGTAATGTAATGTAATGTGTATTTATATATCGCATTAATTGTGTATGGCCACACACCCAAAGCACTTCACAATCATGAGGGGGGGTCTCTCCACACCACCACCAGTGTGCAGCATCCACTTGGATGATGCGACGGCAGCCACAGACAACGGCGCCAGTGCACTCACTCACACACACACCAGCTACAGTATTGGTGGAGTGAAGAGACAGTGATAGAGCCAATTCGGTGGAAGGGGATGATTGGGAGGACGTGATCGTAAGGGCCGATAGAGGGACTTTGGCCAGGACACCGGGGTTACACCCCTGCTCTTTTACGAGAAGTGCCATGGGATTTTTAATGACCACAGAGAGTCAGGACCTCGGTTTAACGTCTCATCCTAAAGACGGCGCCCACTGACAGTATAGTGTACCCTTCACTTTTACTGGGGCATTAGGACTCACACAGACCACAGGTTGAGCGCCCCCTGCTAGCCTCACTAACACCACTTCCAACTGCAACCTAGTGTTCCCTAGTGGTCTCCCATCCAGGTACTGACCAGGCTCAGCCCTGCTTAGAAATAATATTAGAAATAATGCTGTTTTATCTTCTAAGGGCCTATTATGCGGTCTCTGTCACCATCTTGTGGATGGACAACGTCTTTGCTCTGCTTAGTGACAGGCTAATGGTAGCCGACACACTGTCTCTCAGAAATTAGAAATATTTAAAATAGGCTCTGTCCTTATAAATAAACTGCATAATCGCAATCTGAACAACTACATTCTCGACTAAAACAGCCTCAAAAGGGCATTGTGTTGTCCAACAGCAGTAATATTTGTCAGACTTGTCTGAGTGTCCTCTGCTTGATGCTGTAAGTGGGCGGAGTAATACACAAGGGTGAAGGCTTAAGAGTGCTGTTATTTGCAGATTATTGCAGGGCTACCAACCAATCAGATTCTAGAACCAGACAGAACTGTTGTGTTTGCAAAAAAAGATCATTAAAAGTGCAACACAATTTTTCTCCTGATTTTTTTTTTCTTCTATTTTTGCAGCAGAAAAAGTCCAAACCAGCAAAAGAAACCAAACCAGCAAAAGATGTTAAGAAAGAGAAACCAGGGCCTTCTGGGAAGGGGAAAGGCCGGGGTAAAGGAAAGACCAAGAACTGAGATAAACAGGAGGGACTGAGAGACAGAAAGGCCTCGTTTCCCCCTGTTTTCATAAAGATGTGAGTGGCTGAATGACATCAGCTCTATAAACAGAACTTTTGTATGTGTGAGTCATACTTGTGCACTTCCTTAAAGCCATCACTCAGCTTAAGCAGACGCTGGACCACACATTCTCCCACTCCACTTCTTATATTGTTCACAATTCATCAAGCATATCAGACTGAACGCATGCATCATACTGTTCACACATAGTGCTAAAGCTTTATTCGTCTCAAAGGTAAACCGTATATTAAGGGCACTTAATGTCATCTCACTCATGTAACCCTCATGACAAAAAACATGAGCATTTTAATGTGTTAGTGTCTGATTCTCGCAGCCTTTTCACTCACTAAACATGCCAATCCACTGTACTTGGTGACCACACATACAATGTAAATATCTGCCGTATTTCTTTGGATGTTACTTCTAATACTTGCAGATTTATAGATATATAAACGATCGCTTTCTTAGTGTTTTCTATGACAGCACTTTTGGATACAGTCTGATAGTGTGTGATATTAGCCTGAAGATTATTCTGTACATGACTTAATGTGTGTGATTCAATAATTAAAAGGGGAATTATGTCGTAGTGAAGCTCTGTGTTTGCTTGTTATAATCATCTTCGTGGCTCGTTCTGTTTGAAGATGCGGATCAGAGGTATTGATCATATGACGGGGACTCAAATAAAACAGATATTTTGTACAATAATTACTGCTATATATCAGGGTAAACAACTGAGTACATTGCTGAAACTATTTTTACAGCTGTTAAAATTGCTGTTTAATTTCAACGCATAGTTTATGGTCTAAATAAAGACTTCAGCAGGCAAATGATTTACAGCAATACAATGTATTTTGTATACAGGTACAATTTACAGTAGAAAAAGACTATGAGTTGATAAATGCTTAAGATCACAGTGACTTAACAGTAATACATCTGACAACATATGCTAACACGATGATTATGGGTCATTAAGTCAAAAAGTATTCCTTATATGACAGTATCACTTTAAATAGTCATTATTTTTAGTTTTGCATGCTTTGACAACCTAAATATGCAACTGAACCACACGACAAGTGAATGCATAATGGAAGCGCTCAGTGTTAGTGATGCCATTAGCTCTGTCAGTTATAGCTTTATATTCATATTTGAGACTCAAATTAAAATGCTACAAATTTGTAACACTACAAAAACAGCTGATGTGAAAAGAATCATGTCATGATCCTCAACTGTAGGACTTAAAGGCTCCAATATATACAGTTGAAGTCAGAATTATTAGCTCCCCTGAATTATTAGAACCCCTGTTTATTTTTTCGCCAATTTCTGTTTAACAGAGAGTAGATTTCTTCAACACATTTCTAAACATAATAGTTTTAATAACTCATCTCTAATAACTGATTTGTTTTATCTTTGTCATGATAACAGTAAATAATATTTTACTAGATTTTTTTTAAGAGACTTCTATACAGCTTAAAGTGACTTTTAAAGGCTTAACTAGGTTAATTAGGTTAACTAGGTGGGTAAGGCTAATTAGGCAAGTTATTGTATAAAGATGGTTTGGTCTGTAAACTATCGAAAAAAGTTAGCTTAAAGGGGCAACTAATTTTGTCCTTAAAATTGTGTTAAAAAAATTAATAACTGCTTTCATTTTAGCCGAAATAAGACTTTCTCCAGAAAAAATATTATCAGACATACTGTGAAAATTTCCTTGCTCTGTTAAATATAATATGGGAAATGTTTAAAAAAGCAACAAAAATTCAAAGGGGGGCTAATAATTCTGACTTCAACTGTATTCATTTCAGAAGATTTGGAACGTATAGGATTTGTAGTTATTGAAAAAATATACTTTTATTGTGCTTATTGTCCATATATACCAGGGGTGTCAAACTCAATTCCTGGAGGGCTGCAGCCCGCAAGAGTTTAGTTCCAGCCTTGCTTCAATGCACCTATCTGTAGGTATAAAACGAGCCTAAAGCACTCGGGTAGGGCTGGGCTATTAATCGAAAACGACATTCAGAAGCTAAAATTGATCAAATTTTTTCCATAGTGATTTTTTTCAATTACTTTCCATATGTGAGACGTGACCCCGCTCTGTTAAGGGCTGTGGCTGATTTCTTGTTACGTGGCACTTTGCAGCCACATCTAATCTCTGGTCAAGTAGGAAGATGGACCCATTCTTGAGCCTTAATTTGCACTACATTGACGATGATTGGAAGCTGAGCCAGAGATGCCTTTAGAAGACATAAAACTTGTCAGTGAACTAAAAGTATATAAAATTAAAACTGAGTACTGTAAAACCCAATGAGTAAAGGCAACTCGAACTGATTGCTACAAACCATTAGAGTTATACAAACTAATCTATATAGTACTGTGAACTTACTCCGTTTAAGTTGAATTAATGAAGGTATGTAATTAACTTATTGCCTTCAACATGGAGTTTAAAACTTTTCTAATGAGTAGAATTAACTTTGTCAATTTTAAGTTAACTACAATCATTTTAATTAATTAAGTTGGCTGTTGGGTTTAACAGTGAAGTAATCTTTCGTCAGGTGGTTGATTTAGAGCTCCACTGGCAAGAAAGAAAACTGGTAGTAACTCCAACTGCGATTCATATTCATATTTTAAATATGGACAATCAGTACTGTCAGATTCCAAGTATGATATTCATTATTTTTAAAGACGTGTTGTAGTATATATATATATATATATATATATATATATATATATATATATATATATATATATATATATATATATATATATATATATATATATTATATTAATATATATTTTATATAGTTAAAATGTTTAATTAATCAAGACTTTGATTTTAGGCCAAATCGCTCAGTCAGATGTGTTTAATTAGGGTTGGAACTAAACTGTGCAGAGCTGTGGCCTTCCAGGAACTGAGTTTGACACCTGTGATATATACGCACATTTCATGTACCTGCATTTATACAGTAGTCAACATTTAAAGTGGTTCAACGCATTTGATTGTCCTAAATCTATTGAATAACACTTATGCTTGTTTTAGGACAAGTTTGAACTGTTTCGATCGACTTTAAATGTTGACTATTGTAAACCTGCACCCAACTGCACTGAATCTGATTGCTTTAGAGGTCGTTCCAGGCCAGCCATCTAATATTGTTGTAGTATCACTACAATAACTGTTGTACAGTTTGTAACGCTCTCCTCAGAATTTTTCACTGTGGGTTTTTAGGTGACAATGTAGCAGTTTAAACGTGTGTTTGTGTTTGACTAATTTCTTCAACATCAGTGATCTAGCTGTGATTCACCATGACCAATTCTTACTGAATTTGATACTGGCTCTGGTGCCTTTATAATGGTTAAACAAGAGGTATAATTATTTATGCGTACAGTATGTCTAACAGGCCATCTTAATCTTGTGTTTTTGGATTTTTCTTCAAAAACTATATTTATTGAGACTAATAAGAGGATAATTATTTCAGTTTACCTTTAGGTTTTTTAAATCAACATATTAAACACGTCAATATTTCAGTAAAACAATGAAATCATCCTGCGGCCTCCTGGATGAGAACCACTGGTTTAGCACTAGTCTATTGGCTTCTCCCACTTTGCACAGCTTACTTCCACATTTTTTTCCTAGATATCCTTGCAATTAAATAGATATATTAAAAAACTACACATTCCAGGAGACATTTTTGAGAAATACAGCTGGTAGAAGCAGTCTCCATAACACATTTAACAATCCGTCATCTGCTCTGTGAGAATCTTCACGATGGGACCGTGTCATTGTGTGACATTATCAGCATGATGGTGGTCTTTTTGAGAGTACTTGTAGAATAACTGTCCCGCTGGTTTGTCTAAGGATCTCGACAGCCTCAGAATGAGTGACACCCTCCAGACTCTGTCCATTGACTGTCAGCAGCTGATCTCCACGCCGCAGACGCCCGTCCTCCACCGCAGCTCCCTGTGGAGAAACAGAACTGTAACACAAACACACATCTAGAGTTCCTTTCTCTGTCACGACTGTATGACACGGGTGGTGTCTGTGTGTGCACATGCTACAATTCATGCCAACGTCTATTTCTCTTTGTGTCCACAGAGCAGTCGAGAGATTTACACAACTAACATTTTTTCCCTTTCAGCCTTTTTCCTAGTGTACCTTGGGAAATATGTTCTTGACATAGATGGGCAAGTCACCATGGGAACTGCCAAATCCTCCTACGATGCTGAAGCCAAGCCCGGCGGAGCCACGTTCAAGAGTGATGGTCTGGTACTGAGGAGAACTTAAACACAGAAAGACAAATAGAATTTAACCCATTTTTCTTTATTCCAGAGACACCCTATTGGCAAACAGGGCAAAGATTAATCTCCTGGTAAAGTAAGAAAAGTGAAAAAAGGCAAGGCTAACACTTCTATTGAGCAGGGTGTGTGAATAGTCTGGCTGCCCTGGAGGGGAAGTCCTTTATCAGAGCTCCAGTGTGTAGATTTCTGCTGACTCTACTTTGGCTTTACAGAACTGCACATGCAGGCTTGCTCTCAAAAATCTACAAGCAGACGTTTCAGGACAAAAAAAAAAGTGCTATTTAAAATATTTGCTACTTAATGAAGTCATTGGATGCAGTGTTGGGATGAAACCAGTAATAAATCTTAAATGCAAGCATTAATTAGGGCCATTGTGAGCATACTGAACATCGTTCACTACGGTTCTGTATGATGACCTACTCTTTGGTTGCCAGTTTAAACTTTTCAGATGTGTAATAGTGAATATAATGTAAATGAGCCTGAGGGGCAGCTACATAAAATGACCTTCTAAATCAAATGGGGTTTTATAATTAGTAAACTACAGAAATGGTTATCTTGCTTTTCCAATATACTAGACAAGGTCATATATTCATTAATTGGAGAAAGCACGTCTGTGAGGATATCAATCTCTTATCAACAGTGTAAATCAAAAGTAACTAATTACAAATACTGAAATGACTGTAATGGAGTAGTTTTTCTAAGCAATTGAAATTTAAGTAGTTTATAAATACTTTTACTTTCCCTTGAGTACATTTTTAGTGCAGTATCGGTACTTTTACTCCACTACTTTCCTTCAACCTGAAGTCATTACTTTATATTTCTTGTCTATGGGCATTAGAAAAATCAGTCCTGTAATTCCTGTCCAATCAAATAACACATAGAAGTAAATCGCATAATAACAAACTACCTCGACTACCATTTATAGTTGCAGAAAACTGTTTGGAAGCATTAAAAGTGTCCAAGTAGATGTTCAAAATCATTACACGCATTGACCCAGAGACTCACGAGATTCAGGTCACTGATGAGAGGATGACGGATGTTTACTGTATGATGACCGAAACACTTAAACACCCAGCAGGCACAAGACGTCAACATGAAGTCAGATTGACATTATACCCCAGCTTTGTGGGGATGTTACATTTTGTTTGGAAATGAAAATCGGTTTGACATCAGAACTCAACGTCAGGCCAACGTCAATGTCCAACCTAAAATCAACCAAATATCAACGTCTACTGATGTTACAGCTTGCTGTTGTGTGGACTAACCACTATGATGTCTATCAGATGTTGGATTTTGGGTTTCCATACTTGACGAATAAATGTCTGTGTTTGGTGTAAACATGATGTTGGTTTAAGATAAAGGCTCGAATTTTGGTCATTTTCAAACCAACCTTAAACCAAATATCAATGTCATTTGACGTCGTTATTGAATCTCAAAATAAGATTGTCCTTAGATGCTGGCTAGACTGGAATTTTGGTCACCTGACATCACCATCTAAATCTAAACTTATATTAATATCTGATGACGTGTGCCTGCTGGGCAATAACTAAATGCACTACAGAATGTTACGTTTACACAATCACAAATTACATGTAAATGCATCAGCTTCTTACAGCGTAGTACTCACTACTCTGGAGTACTTTAAACAGGGCTACTGTTTACTCATACTTTGAGTAATATTCAAAAGAGTTACTTTTACTCTACTTGCACTACATTTCATTCATTCATTTTCTTGTCGGCTTAGTCCCTTTAATAATCCAGGGTCGCCACAGCGGAATGAACCACCAACTTATCCAGCAAGTTTTTACGCAGCGGATGCCCTTCCAGCTGCAACCCATCTCTGGGAAACATCCACACACTCATTCACACACACACACTATGGACAATTTAGCCTACCCAATTCACCTGTACCCCATGTCTTTGGACTGTGGGGGAAACCTACTGCACCACTGCCTCACCCTGCACTACATTTTTAGTCAAGTAATGGTACTTTAAGTATGATTTTTCAGTACTCTTTCCACGACTGCTTATCAATCATGATTGCATCTTGCTGGACTTCAGTGTTGCCTCTAATGCTTCTGACCACAACATCCTCTGGACTGCTTGAAAATGATTTTGGCATTAGAGGAACTGCATTAGGATTGTTGATAGTTTGTTTGTGGCCATTATCAATTTGTAGCAGTAAATGAAGCGGTTTTATATCCATCACTATTTCAGTATGAAATACGGCAAGGCGCAGTACTTGGACCATTACTTTTCACCTTATTCATGCTTCTTCAGGGGAGGTATTGCGTTGGCTGATGTATGCTGAATAATAGAATTGGTGACTTTTGCAGAGATGCGTATAACTCAAATGAACTTGTTTTAATTTGACGCCCATGCTGATATTAATCTGAAATTCTGATCTAACCTAAATAATGTCACTATTGCCTTTTAGAGCACAACACACATTGTCAACATTGTAGAGTTTCTTATTTTTTCCAGATATTTTCCTGTTGATCTCTGAAGCTGATTTTACAGCTTTTGAGCTGATTAATTAGTTTTATCAATCACTAACAAGCACTTACCCATACTTCAGATACTTTATCTAAACTCTTAACACAGACTCACACCTACAATACACAATTGTTCAACTGGATATTTTTCTTCTCAAAAATATATTTTGCTAAATATAAACTAACTCTTCTTTTCAAAAAAAGAACACATCTTTCTCTGCACACACTAACACTGGAAATCTGACTATTGTTGACTACAAAAACTGCAGAGATTTTAATGTTTCAATTTTACAGGTATTTGCATGCAAAACACACAATCCACCATTTTGACACTGAATTTCTTGGTTGGGAACTGTATTGTCCACATGTACAGGAATGTTTACATTCAACAGCATTCCAGCAACAAGCAAGTTTTTTCCTTTACTGTTTACGACAGGATGTACAGTAGAAACACGGTATGATAGAACAGAAACTTACAGTGAACAAAATATCCATAAAACACACAAGTGCATTGTGAAAAAAAAAAAAACAGCAAAAAGTCTAGATAAAAGGGGGTGTAAGGTGTCTAAAAAAGCACAAATGACTGTTTCTAATTGGCCCAATTTACCAGCAAAGATATATTTCTGAGATATATTAATATTGTTCTTGAACTGATATGATTGCAGAAGCAGAAGTTTATACTGTATCTAAGGTTTGGAATATTGTTTTTGCTGTTGTGGGATGTTGCTTGTTAACATTTGTAAATACTGCAAAAACAATCCATTTTGTTGGAAGTTATAGCTTGTCTGTTTAGAAAATGTAAGCATTGTTGAAATGTGTTCACTGACAGCATATTTGGTGAAAACAACATGAAATGTGTGAATATATGGCCACAAAAGACAAATGCTGTGCTAATTGTGTTTAGAGTTTTAAATGTTTAAAAACTGGTTGATCAAACACTTGGGGTCCGTTCTTCGTACCTCGCTTAAATGATCTAAGATGATTTGGCAGATCCTGGATCTTTTAACCTTGATAACTGATCTCTCGCTAATTTGGTTCTTCAAACAAGTTCGCGAATCAGATTAGAATGTCTGGATGAACTGATCTGAGATCGCTGCGTGTGTTATGAAGGACAGATCTATCGATCCTCGAATCATGATAAGCAATGCAACGATTGGCTGACGGCACAGCAGCGTAATGACATCATCTGATTAATATTCAATTATCCATGTGAGCAAAATTACATCAAATTAGCAGTAAACGGCTTGTTAAATATGACATGCAATAACCTTCCACATTTGTTGTGAGCTGCAGGCTTTACACTTTCATGTGTCAAGAGTATTCATCATGTTTTTCAATGCAAATCAATGTATTTAGTTCTACATTTAGAAAAGATTTCCTTTATTATAGTAGCCGTTTTTTTAAATCTGTGTAAAGAATAACTGGTTGTTTACAAAAGCATTTTGATATTGGTAAAGGCGTCTGCAACTTTTGTGAAGCATCAAATCACTGGCATATTAACTGTCAAAACATGTTTATGACTGCATAAATGTATTATTGCTTTAAAAAAGTCACATATTGTGCATTTCTATTATACACAAATTGTACTAAAGTGATCTAAAAAGTTCATATTAATAAGTTTTCTCTTTGCACCACCAGGTGGCAGTCTTTGTACTTTCATTTCGAGGGTGCAGATTGCATACATTTTATTAATATGTATAACTTAATTTATTTTATTAATGACTATAACTTTATATATATGGTTAAAAATATGTACCATTTTCCCAAGTGTATAACTACTACTGTAAGAAAATATCAGAATTCAGAACATACTTTCTGTATTATCTTTGCTTGAACTGAGCCAATCTAATCCTGTTTATATGAATTGAACCTGCTCCCGATCAGGTTTAAGCTAGCAGAACTGTTGCTATGACAACAACTCTCGGATCAGCTTTGAAGAACGCAACGATCCTGGATCGTGTTACAGTTTTTTACAATTGCTATGACACTTTTATCAATACATTTAACAAGTTTCCTAAACTCTTAACACAGTTAGCACAACATCCGTCTTTGTGGGCTATACAATTAACACATTTCTTGTTGTTTTGACACAAAATGCATCCAGTTAACACAAATTTAAAATGCTTTAACTTCTTTTACACACAAGCACAACCAAGACCAAAACAATGTAATTTTACAGTCAAATTTACAAATGCTTTAACACAGTATGTCAGAACAGATAACACCATGTTCTAAACAGAAATTATATAGGATAAAGTCAAAGTAAACAGCTGTTCTAATTGTGAATTGAAACACAAGTTTATTCCCTGTATTTTATTCAATTGCCAATGAGAAACAGCATATTGCGGTTATATAAATAAATAAATATATATATATATATATATATATATATATATATATATATATATATATATATATATATATATATATATATATATATATTTATATATATATAACAGCAATATGAGTCTCTCATATATATATATATATATATATATGACAGCTGGAAAAAGCACACTAGCCCATCTAGAAAGCCCATCTAGAAAGCACACTCATGTCTTGTTTTGGTTTTTCCAATCACATGATCATATGTTCTAATAGTTGACTCTTGAGGTTTTTGAAAGGAACAGTGAGCGCATCAAAGAACTCTGTCACTAATACGTCCATGTAAGATTATGCATTACAGTCATTACTGTACTATACACAGTGTGTTTTGCAGTAAACTACTCTTTAAACCTGGAGTTCATTGGTACATACAGTACATATACAGTACAGCATTTGCATACACTGTGTCTAATTACTTTCAGAGAGTCATGAAGTTAGAGGCCAATCAAGTACCACATGAAATTTTCAATGTTGACAAGGCTGGGGATGTCGCCGTAGGAAAAACATAATAGGCCAAAGGGCCACAGTTACCGTGCCGGGCCACAGAAGATATCAAGTATAATGTGGATGCGAACATGTGACAAAAGACTGGGCAGTATAGAAGATTACTTTGTTATTTTATTATAATTGTGGTGCTTTTTTCTGTTTGCAGTGATGTCCTTCTGCAAAAAAAGTCTGTACTGCAGAAATTCTGTGTCTGTATTTTTTTTACATAAACTGTAAATTTTATAAAGCAATTTTTTTTCTTCGTTTTGTATAGAATTGTTGCCGTAAACAAAAGAAAATGCCTGCTTTTACTTAACCCAACGAAACAAAACTGTAACGAGACTTCAAATATAAGGGCAGAGCTGACACATAAACTAATGGAGTTTCTGTAATGTCAGCTGATGATAGTGTTTTTATTGTTAGTGTGTTCTGATTGACTGAATGTTTATGTTGGAAGAGAACATGTGTTAGTGTTTTGAACAATAATTTCATTTTGAAACATGATTGCAGTGTTTTGTTAGACATGGTGTAGTGTGTTCGTTTATTATTGTATTTTGAAAAGTAGTTTAGAGGTTTAGTTTATAATGTGTGATTTTGAGCATAAAATTAACTGTTTTGCCAATTGTGTGTTTTAGGTGTGTTGCTGCGTTAAGAGTTTAGCAAACTTGTTAAATGTATTGAAAAAAGTGTCATAGCCATTGTAAAAAACTGTAAATCGTCAATATCCAAATCCAGCTAACTGAGTAATCCACGTACGAAGAACGGACCCCTGTTAGCTACTAAAAAACTGTAATAAAAATAAGATAAGAGCAGTATAATCAAATATCCATAAAGCTTTATGTAGAGCAAACTATAAATACCTCTGGTGGTTGTGAGTAGTGTAATTTTCTGAGAGTCCAGGTGAGGAGTGAATTAAAGATGACCGATCTGTACTTATACTGGCTCCATCTGCACATCCACTCGGCATTACCTTTAATGAAACACACGTGTGTGACGGAGAATGATTGAACATTTGCTTCTGTTTTGTGTCTAAGATGTCTTGTCTGAAGACACACACCTGCAGTGTCACTGCTCCGCTGCTGTTTTTCAGAAGGAAGCTTGCCTCAGCGACTGAGAGCCTTTCTGTTTGTGTCCCATTAATGCTGATGACTCTGGAACCCAGCTGAAAATTCAATTCACAAATTCATTTTGAAGGCGGTGGAGGTAGTCACCACTTTTCCATGAATGAGGTATTCAGTTAGGTGTCCTGTGATGTTTAGTGTATGTTTATTATTACTATTATTTTTTAAACTACTAGCACTATTAAAAAGCAAAATTGCATTAAACAAAACAGAAATGAACTATATATATATATATATATATATATATATATAAAATACATTTGTTAAAAATAATTACGAAATATGATTTAAAGGTGCCATAGAGAAGTGGGGGCTCGTGGGACGATGACAGAGGGTAGCTTGGTGATTTCCAAAAGTGAAATAAATTGTATTAAACTATTAGAATTACCATATTTTATCCGTAACCCACAGAAGATAAAAATGGTAGTTAATAGTTACATAAAAAACAACAACAAATGAAAAGAGATCAGCCTTTTAATAATTTTTTCCTAGCATTTGGTGCATTTACATTAGGTTAACAACACAGCAATAGCGTCAGCTGCAGCAGATTCTTATTAGGTGAGGTTAATATTAAATGAAGCAAATTAATAAATTACAATAAAAATTATATGGACTGTTTTTTGTGTTGTCAATATGCTTGTGTTTATTTAGGGCTGTCGTGCAATGTTTTTATATTTATAACCACCTCAGAGGAATTTGGGGCTTGCAAGTCACTGGCATTGTTATTTTGGGAGTCGCAGGCTAAAAAGTTAGTAAACTCCTGCCATAGAGTGCATTGATTTAATATCTTTAAATAGTACTCTGATATGTACATAGTAGGTTTGTGGCTTAGGTAAGTTCAAGCGTTCTTCAGAAATGGTTTTACATGTACATTTATAAGCACAGGATTTACCCCTTGAATGAAAAGCACGGTTTTGACCTTATTTGGAAGGATCATAAATATTAATGACTCTACTCTGACACTCAGCAGCTTGTGTCAGTTACTGCTGTCTCTCTCACAAACACAGTGAGTGTGAAGTAGTCTGACATACACGGATACAAAATAATCATAAAGTACTTCAGTTATCAAAGTGCCTTATCAAACGACAGATGTTTTAACTGAAGTGGAGGAAAGATTAAGGTTAGGAGTGGTTGAGTGAGTGAGTTGTCTGTGGGCGTACTCACAGTATGCATAGTTGCCTTGAACCTGGCCAAAGCACGCTTGTCCCCCCTCCCTTCTCCCCCGATGGCCCGCACTCAAATTAAATTCGGGCTTGGGTATGCTTACATCATCAATGATGCGCTGTTCAGTAAGCGCTCTCGCTCAGCACAGTGGAGATTTCTTTAGTTATATCGGTTTAGTTGCTTGTTATGCAGTGACACGCAGTCAAATATTTCGCTGAACAGATCAGCCACTTTTCACACTCATAAACAATCATAAAGTCCTTGAGCTGCATGAATTAGGATGGTTTGCTGAAGGTGCAGCTGTTGTGCAAGTGAGGGGCTTGCGTCTTTAATAAACTACGACAGTTTGCGTTCATTGAACAGTAAGAATGATTAATAAATCCATATCAAACAGTCCCTTAAAAGTCACGTCTCGCTTTCAGTTTTGAACTTAGGCACGTTTTGCACTCACACACAAGCGTACCGCGCCAAAGCCCAAGTGAACCACCTCTTCCAACCGGGCCAGGGCCGGCCAAGTGAACTGTGCCTGAGCCCGATTCAGAGCACTCACACTTCTCCGGGAAACGGGTCTGGGCATGGTTCGGATAGCATAGTGTAAGTAGGCCCTGCAGGAAACTAAGGCCCTGTCCACACAGTCTACTCTTCTACACCTGACATCAAACATTTTCAGCACATAAAAAAAGAAGCCTTTTTCCCCACCATTCTTTCTGTACCTGCAAAAGTCCTGAGCGTGCGGCCAGCGTGCTTGCGTCCAGCTTAGAGATGTACATTCCTGCATGTCCCAGCGTGTCTCTCACTCTCAGCTCCACAGAGTCACACTCATGCTGAGAGAGAATACAGTCACTGCTGGATTATACATTTACTGCAGCGGCATGCCTCACATTGCTGCTCTAAAAGTGCATACCAAATCAAACCTACCTTCTGAACAGTGACAGTTCTGATATCGACGTTCCCGTCCACAGCTGCAGAAAGATGAAAACACTGACTCACCGACTGCATGGATGAACACAACTGAACAGAGAATGAATGTGTGATGTGACAGTTTCTTACAATCGTGTGTGTTGAGACAGGAGAACAGAGGGACGTCCACTTCACCCACCTGCCACAAACACAGATACAAGCTGACTGTGTTCAGACATCTGAGATAAAAGTTGTGCTTCTGTGGTGTGCATACATGTATGTGTATAATATGTGTGCATAGCATGACAAGACTACCAGTGCATTTGAGGGTTCCCTACTATGTTGTATGCCAGCAGAGCAGTACTTGGACTACTGTACTCGGAAAACAGTAAGTGAGAAGTCCCTGGATGACCTGCTACTTCTGGCAAGATTCTGAAGAGTGCGTCTGATGGACCCTTTACTATTCCATTAGGCCACAGGAGAGCATTTAGGAATGTAAATGAGGCGAGGCAGCAGATGCATGTACAGTACAGTGATAATGTGATACTGATAACATGCTGTGTGTAACAGTCATACTACTCAAATTCATACTATATAGGTAGAGCTGGGTGAATTGGCCTAAAATATAAATCTGGATTATTTAAAAATTGAACTTGACTACGATTAATAAACGATTATTTTATTTATTTATTTTATTCTTTTGTTCTCATAGTTCACTAAGTTTTGCACAGTAAATATGTTCACATACAAGTGAGAGATTTCTGAATGAAGGGTGCATTACGTGAAGTTTATTTATAAACAAATTTCGAGAGGTTCACGTGCTTATGATTGTTCACAGCTGTTCCAACTTTAGCTAATGACTAATTAGCCTATCAGACGATCCTTAACTCACTATAAATAACTAGACTTTTCTCATCTCAATATCTTTGTCTTGAAGAAACCCCCCTCCCCCAACCCTACTTTCCCTCCTTTTAAACGGGCGACACGGTGGCCAGCGATTAGCGCTGTTGCCTCACAGCAAGAATGCCCCTGGTTTAACTCCCTTCCAAACCAGGCAACATTTCTGTGCAGAGTTTGCTCGTTTTACCCATGCTCACGTGGGTTTTCCACAGGTCCTCTGGTTTCCTCCCACAGTTCAAAAACAAGCACCCTAAACAATTAATCCAAAATATTTTAGCCAAGCTCTGAGTGCACCTTCTCAGCATCCATATCTGACACTTCGCTACAATAAGCAGGAGGGGGAGTCATCGAGATCTACCTGACCTCAAACTCCCCTCTCACCCTGCAACGGGAGTGAGCCCAGGGCTCGAGGATATTATAAGCTCAGGGCTCTCTCCCGGGACAGCACGCCAAACAAGCTTTATTATCAATCATCAGCTAAGTGTAAACTCTTGAATTGATTTTAAAATAATTGAAGGAAACACACACCATCTACTATCTATGATTATTTATTGAACATCAATGATAAACAACTGAAATTAAAACATACATTGCCTGAAACCAACAGTCACAATACCTTGCACTTTTGGAAACACCATTAATTATTTTCAATGTTGTTCATATTAAAAGACGAAAATTTTTCTAAATAAAATAACTCTTGTATAAATCCTGTAAATAATATTTTAGCATTTCTTGCATCTTCTGTAAACAAATATTTTCATATAAATAATATTTTTTAATAGAAAAAATTGCCATCTCAAGGCATCTCTAGTGCAGCTTCCAATCATCTTCAGTGTAGTGCAAACGTGTGACAAGTAGTTAAATGTTTTCATAGGTGTGTCAAAACACACCCGAGCATTAGACACAGAAGTTTAAATCAGCCTTAACAGAGCGGGGTCATGTGACCACACACGGTAGGGAAAGTAATTGAAAAAATTTATTCATAGGTTAAAATGATTGATTTATAGGTTAATATGATATTATGAATGTCGATTTCAATTAATCACCCATCCCTATATATAGGACACTTTTATAAAGCTTAAATTCAAATGTAGATCAGACAGTATGCAATACTGAATGCACTGTAAATCACAGCCACATACACTGCCATTCAAAAGTTGGAGAGGTGTTGGAAAAGTTTCAAGAAAAGTTTGAGAGATGTCTTACCATGTGCTCCATAAAGCTGCAATTAATGCATTTGCATACTCACGCTGTGAATTGTTATTACAGCTAAAAACCAATTTCTATTCTAATTTTTTTTAATATGAAATGTTTTCCTCTTACAGCTAAGTTGATTTTTCAGCAACATTACTTCAGATTGTCTCTTAATCGTTTTAATTTGCCTTTTTGGTCATCAAAAAACATTTCTTACATTTTCAATTGTGACCACTGTATTATTAGCATTGAACAGTTCTTCTGCTTATATGTTTTGTGGAAACCAATTAACCGAATAATTCAACAGAACAGCATTTGTTTAAAAAATAAATCTTATGCATTATTAATGTCATCATGTGACTTGCTTACTCACTCATTTTCTTTCATGCCAATTGTCTTTCCAGCCGCAACTTAGCACAGAAAATTCAACCCATACACTCTCACATTCACATACACATGCTCATACATTCATTTATTCATTTTCTTTTCAGCTTAGTCCCTTTATTAATCAGGGGTCGCTACAGCGGAATGAACCGGCAACTTATCCAGCATATGTTTTTACACAGCGAATGCCCTTCCAGCTGCAACCCATCACTGGGAAACATCCATACACACTCATTCACACACATACACTATGGACAATTTAGCTTACCCAATTCACCTATAGTGCAAGTCTTTGGACTTACGGGGGAAAGCAGAGGACCCGGAGGAAACTCCCACAAACAAGGGGAGAACATGCAAACTCCTCACAGAAATGCCAACTGACCCAATCGAGGCTTGAACCAGCAAACTTCTTGCTGTGAGGTTATCATGCTAACCACTGCGCCAACCCATTCAGCCCCCTTCCCCCTGTAATGTAATAATGTATCTCCTAATATAGAAACTGCACGCTTATTGCTTTCTTGGATGTATGCTTTTTTTCCTTTTCTTAATTTTAGTTACACGAATAAGGGTGCTCAACTCAATTCATCTTTATTTCTATAGCCCTTTTTACAATGTACATAGTGTCAAAGCAGCTTAACATAGATAAAGTTCTAGTCAATTGAGTTCTGTTGTCACAGTTGAAGTTGAGATGATGGAGGGGTAATGAGATGATGGAGGGGGTAACCACTTGAACCATCAAAAGCTACAGTATGTCCTGATATAATTTTCATTTCTTTTTTTCATTCATTCATTTTCTTTTTTCGGCCTAGTCCCTTTATTCATCAAGGGTCGCCACAGAGGAATGAACCATCAACTTATCCAGCATATGTTTTATACAGCGGATGCCCTTCCAGCTGCAACCCAACTCTGGGAAACACCCATACAGTCTTGCATTCACACACATACACTACGGCCAATTTAGTTTATTTAATTCACCAATACCATGTGTCTTTGGACTGTGGGGGAAACTAGAGCACCCAGAGGTAACCCATGAGAACATGCAAACAGAAATGCCAACTGAACCAGCTGAAACCAGTGACCTTCTTGATGTGAGGCAACATTGCTAACCACTGAGCCACCGTGTCGCCTTCTGACAGAGTTTCAAACCAAAGAAAATAAGCTCACTTGAGTGCTCATCGAACAGGATCAAGCTATTATTACACAACAGCAAATATTTATTCTATACATAATAAAAAATAATTAAAATAAAACTTAATTAAAAAAAAATTAAAAAAAAATAATTTTTAGTGGCACAGTAGGTAGTGCTGTCGCCTCACAGCAAGAAGGTTGCTGCTATTGTGGAGTTTGCATGTTCAGGTAGGCTTAACTGTCCATAGTGTATAAGTGTATAAGTGTAAATGAGTGTGTATGGATGTTTCTCAGAGATGGGTTGCAGCTGGAAGGGCATCCGCTGCATAAGTTGGCGGTTCATTCCGTTGTGGTGACCCCAGATTAATAAAGGGACTAAGCCGAAAAGAAAATGAATGAATGAAAATAAAATAAAATAAAAAAATCGTCTATCCCAGTTGATTGGGTGGTCACTTGAGTGGGCCAGTATACTGAACCTATTGCAGAGCATACTTTGAACCCTTTATAGAACATTCTCTTTAATTATAACGCATGCATATGTATTATTGTAGTTCAAAAGGACAGTACAACAGGAGTGATCCAGTTGCAGAGTATAATGTGTTTACCTGATCTCCATATGAGTAGTGGGATGAAGCTTTGAAGCGCGCCACCTCCAACAGCACAGACCCACTACACCTCTACCACACACGCACACACACAAGACCATAATTAGCTGTGTTATTATGATGATGATGATGATGATGAAGGGAATGCAGTAATGATGGAGTGTGTTTTTGTGCACCTGCAGCAGTGCGCTGGCGTGGTCCTGTGATGCGGCTCGGATGTCCTCTCCATTCACCGACAAAATCTGGTCACCTAGCAACAGTCTCCCATCCACATCTGCAGCCCCTCCCCTCGTTATCTCAGAAACAAAGATTCCAGTGTCATTCCTGCAAGACGTGCAGAAAAATATGAATTCGGGTGAATCATAAAGCAGCTCATTCTATGCATTATTCATGGCCTATAGCATGCGCTTCTGTATATAGCAGACTGACTCACATTTTACCCACAATGCAAAGTCCCAGTCCCTGTCTTGGTTGGAGGTTTAGCTCCACATTGAAGAGGTCCCACATGTCCTCAGGCGTGTGCTTCTGGCTCGTGTGTTTGGAGTGCTTTTCTGTCACATGGTCTCTGTAGATACTCAATCGTACCCGTTGCGGACTCAAGCGCAGGACACTCAAGGCCTCCTCGTGAGTGGCCATTCTCAGATCAATGCCGTTCACCTGGAGGAGAGAAGAGATGGAAATACACGAGAGCTATTCAAAGAAACATGAAAAGCAAAAGTTTAGAGACACTTTCTCTAAATTCCATCTTACAAGAACTCAATAAGGAAAATGATGTTTACTATACATGTAGGCTTCAACTTTAAATAACTCTTTAAATAACTCATTTTTTAAACATCTTTTGCACAATATTAAACCTTAAATATCTCTTGTGCACAATATCCTGCACAACATTGTTCAGTCTCATGTAAAAGTACTTGTATAGCCTGTCTCATATGTATAGTTACAGTGCATCCAGAAAGTATTCATAGCGCTTCACTTTTTCAACTTTTTTTAACGTTACAGCTTTATTGCAAAATGGATTAAATTAATTTATTTTCTCAAAATTTCACACACAAAACTCCATATTGACAATGTGATTTTTTTTTAATTGTTGCAAATTTATTAATAATAAAAAACCTGAAAAATCACATGTACATAAGTATTTACTGCCTTTGCTCAATACTTTGTTGATGCACTTTCGGCAGCAATTACAGCCTCAAGTCTTTTTGAATATGAGCTGAATAGTTTGGCACACCTGTCTTTGGAAGTTTTTGCCCATTCCTCTTTGCAGTACATCTCAAGCTCTATTAAGTTGGATGTGAAGTAACAGTATACAGCCATTTTCAGATCTCCCCAGAGATGTTCTAAAGTATTTAGGTCTGGACTCTGGCTGGGCCACTCAAGGATATTCACCAAGTTGTTGTGAAGCCACTCCATTGATATTTTAGCAGTTTGCTTTGGGTTATTGTCCTGCTGGAAGATGAACCATCGCCCCAGTCTGAGGTCAAGAGAACCCTGAAGCAGGTTTTCATTCAGGATGTCTCTGTACATTGCTGCATTCATCTTTCACTCTGTCATGACCAGTCTTCCAGCTCCAGCTGCTGTTGAAAAACATCTCTACAGCATGATGCTGTCAAACCCATGCTTCACTGTAGGGATAGTACTCGCCTGGTTTTCTCCAAACGTAAAGTCTGGCATTCATTCCAAAGAGTTCTATTTTATCCTCTTCATACCTAAGAATTTAGTTTCTTGTGGTCTGAGAGTCCTTCAGATGCCTTTTTGGCAAAGTCCAGGTGGGGCTTCCATCTGGCCCCTCTACCATACAGGCCTGATTGTTGAGATGGTTGTCCTTCTGTAAGGTTCTCTTCTCTCCACAGAAGAACACAGGAGCTCAGAGTGACCATCGAGTTATTGATCACCTCCCTGACTAAGGCCCTTCTCCCCCGGACACTCACTTTAGATTGCCGGCCAGCTCTAGGAAGAGTCCTGGTGGTTCCAAACATCTTCCACTTACAGATGATGGAGGCCACTGTGCTCATTGTAACTTTCAGAGCAGCAGAAATTTTTCTGTAACCTTCCCCAGCCTTGTCCCTCGAGACAATCCTTTCTCGGAGGTCTACAGACAATTAGTTTATCTTCATTTTATTTTGTGCTATGACATGCACCCTGGGACCTTTTATAGACAGGTGTAAGCCTTTTCAAATCATGTCCAATCAACTAAATTTACCACAGGTGAACTCCAATTAAGCTGCTGAATCATCTCAAGACTGATCAGTGAAAACAGAATTTACCTGAGCTCAAATTAGAGCTTCATGGCAAAGGCTGTCAATACTTTTGTACTTGTGATTTTTCAGGTTTTTTTATTTATAATAAATTTACAACAATTTCAAAAAATCTTTTTTTCACACTATCATTATGGGGGTTATAATTAAAAGTTTAATCCTGAAATGTTTAGTTTATTAAAATTAGGGTATAAATGTGTGTTTTATACACAAATTTGTAGATGTTCTATTTAAAGAGATCAAGAAACTATATTGTGTACTTTACTGGTGAATGCTGAAGCTTTTTACCTCTAGAATATGATCTCCTGCCCACAAACGACCATCTCTATGTGCTGCACCATCTTTATTCACTTCATGAATCACTATTACACCCTGAAAAAGAAAAAAGAGAGAAAGACAAATACTGGAGTGAAAAGTTGAATTAAAATGTTGACATTTTTTAATAAAATAATGCACTTAAGCTGTCATACACCTATTGGGGAAACATTTTTAGTAATCTTCAAATCTGTTCTTTGTTTGTTCATTCAAAATCCAAAGCTTTGTTTATTTCTACATAATTAAGCGCCAGATATGCAGAGAAATAAAAGAAAATCTTTTTCTCATTCTAATTTACAGTATTTTGATTCTGGGAAAATTTTTTTTGGGCTGTCATGGTGGCACAGTGGGTAGCACGATCGCCTCACAGCAAGAATGTCAGTGGTTCTGAATGTCATCTGTTCATTCTACTGTGGCGACCCCAGATTAATAACGGGACTAGGACGAAAAGAAAATGAATGAAAATTTTTAATTTGAGTTAAAAGCTGATGAGCCTTATGAACAGCAGAGCAGCTCTGGTTTTCTGTAAAATTCCACGTAAAAAAAATTAACAATAATTACAACTATTGAGCAAACATACTACAGAATAGAGCAAATGTTTAGATCACTTAACAGAATAAATAATAGGTGCTTCGTAAATAATACAAATAGCCTCATGCGTATTGTTTTGAGGTTTCAAATCCTTCATTTAACATTTCTGTCAACAAACGCATTAGCTGTAATCAGTAAGTAGTTTCTTTGTTTAAAACCGAGAAAAAGCTGAAATCTTCCTGTACATAACTCAGTTTTATTTGTTTTAATTTATTAAGAAAAAAAAAAACAATTTACAACAGTATCAGAAAGGAGGTCAATCAATAATACTTATCTGTTTCCTTTACAAAGATATTTCATGACTTGTATTTTCTTCTGAATGGGAAACTGTTATCCTGAACTGTTCAAACACTAAAACATACTATTAGCAATAGCAAAGGCTGGGGTTTGCTTGCCAAAATATATTTTTAAAACCTGTTTAAGGATTTTTTTTTTATGGGGGAGTGCGTCACGGTGGCTCAGTGGGTAGCACGATCTCCTCACAGTAAGAAGGTCACTTGGTTCTAGCCCCAACTGGGATAGTTGGCATTTCTGTGTGGACTTTGCACGTTTGCCCCATGTCTGCTTGGGTTTCCTCTGGGTGCTCCAGTTTCCCCCACAGACCGAAAACATGTGCTATAGGTGAATTGAATAAGCTAAATTGGCCGTACTGTATGTGTGTGAAAGCAAGAGTGTACGGGTGTTTCCCAGCATTGGGCTGATGCCCTTCCAGCTGCATGAAACATATGCTGGATAAGTGTGGCGACCCTTGATCAATAAAGGGTTTAAGCTGAAAAGAAAATGAATGAATGTTTTTTGGGGGAGCTAGACAGCCATAATCTAATCCAAGCATATTATATTACACCTGCGAATTGCAGACGAGATGATAAGTTTGAACTGGTTTGGAGTTTAAGTCTTGTCCACTGCAGCTAAACAGGGCTGAGCCTGACCAGAACCTGAATGGGAGACCACATGGGAAAAGTAGGTTGCTGATGGAAGTGGTGCTAGTGAGAGCAGCAGTGGGGCACTGTACTGTAGAAAGTGCCGATCTTTGGATGAGAGGTTAAAATGAGGTCCTGACCCTCCGTGGTCATTAAAAATCCCACAGCACTTCTCGATAAGAGTAGGGATGTAACCCCAGTTTCATGGCCAAATTCCCTCCATCAGCCCCTTCCCATCATAGCCTCCTAACAATCACCATCCACTGAATTAACTTTAGCACTCTCCTATTAATGGCCACGAAACTATGTGAATTAATGAATTAAATATTATATACACTTGATTTAGTTTCTTTTTTTTTTCGGTCATAAATGTAAATTATTTTTAAAATTGAGATTCATACTACATCACCTGAGAGCAGAATTCATAAACTTTCCTTTAAGGTTTGTTAGTATAGGACAATATCTCGGCTTTAAAATACTGACATCTGAGGGTTAAATCATTCATTCATTCATTTTCTTTTCGGCTTGGTCCCTTTATTAATCTGGGGTCGCCACAGCGGAATGAACCACCACCTTATTCAGCACATGTTTTATGCAGCGGATGCCATTCCAGCCGCAACCTATGACTGGTAAACAGTCATTTACACACTACGAACCATTTTAGCCGACCCAATTCAACCCTGCATGTCTTTGGACTTGTGGGGGAAACCGGAGCACCTAGAGGAAACCCATGTGAACATGGGGAGAACATGCAAACTCCACACAGAAATGCCAACTGACCCAGCCGAAGCTCAAACCAACGACCTTCTTGCCTTAAGTCGACAGCACTACCTACTGCGCCATCGCATTACCCAACTGAAGGATCAATAAAATCTAAATACTGAGAAAATCACCTTCAAAGTCATTCAGATTATGTTCTTAAATATATTTACATTAGAAAATCTACAAAATAGCTTCATGAAACATGATCTTTGATTAATAATCTGATGATTTTTGGTCTAAAAGAAAAATCTATAATTTTGACAATACATTATTTTCAATGTATTCAATTCTATTCAATTCAATTCAAGTTTATTTGCAGAGTAGGAGTTGTGTATATGTTGGACTGTATATAAACATAGTTAACCTGCAGTTATACAATAGTGTCCTTCCAAAAAGGAGATCTTTGTGTATAATACATGTTCAACGAAGTGTATTTGTCCTCGAAGGGAAATATATAAGTAAATGTAAAGTGAAAGTATATTCAAAAATACTTGTGTAACATAAGACTTATGTTATGGTTTAAGGTCACATATTTTTTCTAGAATGTTATACATCAGGAGCCATGGGTATCTATATTAGCAAAAAAAGAAAGTTAATTGCTACAGAATGTGGTATACGCACACTGACTTTTCATTTTCAGTCAACCCAAGCGCTGCCGTGTCATTACAAAATCACCATGTTAAGATTTGATTTCTTTAAAAATCATCACTGCCTGATTGAAATAGGATAAAAAGTGGCTTTCAGACCAGACAAGAAGCACTGCATTAAATTCCTTTTTTGCGCCATGTCTTTAAAATATGGAATTTTTTTTTACCCCAGTATTTTCAATGGAGTTTCTGTGCTAGCCTGCTGTTACTGACGACACTTGCATCTACCTGCCTAAATGAGTAAATGAATGCTTAAGTCTGTCTAATTGATATTTGTTAATTACATTGCAACATCTGTGCTGTAAAAGGAACCTCATGAAATAGAAAATAGTCACATAAAGCTCTCACCAGAACTTTATCTTTGGCTGAAAAACACTAGCAGTGCATATAGCCCGTTTCAACATTCTTCAGAATATCTTGAAAACAACATGACAACAGTTTATGTGAACAATGTGTTTAAGATGTTTAAGAGTTGATCCTGTAATTATACTTTCTAAAATTGCAGGGAAGGTCTTTTTTTTAGAAATGATTTTCTTTTGCTTTCTTTTTTGCTTTTTTGTTGGATGCATAAACCATTACACACTTTCTCATTACAAACTTGAGAATATATTTGATGCGTGATGCACTTTTTAATTTTGAGCAACTTAAACTCGCAGCACTTGCAGATGTATTTTGTTTTAAAACAATATTTACTGCAAACTGAGCTGCTCCACGATGCTGAAAACAGTTATCATGAGCTGCTCACATGAAAAGAAAACATTATGGTGTTACAAATCAGATTACATGTTTATACAATATGATTACAACACAGTCTTTGCAGTGAACCAATAATCAGGTTAAACCACATTACAGTCTCAGTCATTGTCAGAATTAATAAAAAGTTAGGGGCCAAGTTTAAGGCAATTCAGTTTTATATTCTCGCTAAGGCTTAGTTTTCTACTCTAACATATATACTGCTTATTTAGTGATAATTGTAGGGCCTGCTGACAGCAAGTGGTCACCTGGGCGAACTCACTGCAGTATTGCTGTTGTTAACATTGTATGTATTTGATAGTCAGGTTTGCATTAAAGTTTCCTTTACAGTTTCTCACCAGCAGTGTGTTGCAGCCTCCTACTATGCTGAGGCCAAGCCCCGTGGTGCCCTTGCAGATATCCACAGTATTAATACAGCCAGGTATGATGGGACATGTCAGCGGGTCAGAGCTCACAGAACACTGTGCCCGGTGAGAAGTGCTGTGAGGCCAGATGCGAGAGCTCTGATTGGCTGTGCTCTCATCTGCTGATGAAATGCCTGATGACTGAGGAGGAATGCAGCGGCTGATGGGCGTCTGACTGGCAGGATGACAGGACGCCTGATGATTGGATGTGGCATTGATTGGAGCAGGAAGACCAACGTTGAGGCTCTCTGAGGAGCGAGACTTCAGTTTATCTTCTCTGGTGATCCTTCCATCCTATCGACAAACAGAAACGTGAGGAGAATGGCAATGAGGCAGGCAGATGTTTGGTGTCGAACATTTGATCTCGCTGTTTTACCTGTGATAAAACTGAATGTTGATCTTCTGCGATCATATCAATATGCACGCTGGGATATATTTCAGGACAGCTGTCCATCTAAACAGATAAAACTTATATGAGATGTAGTAAGAGACAGAAGACTTGAAGCAATGCAGAAGGTTAATTTAAAATTATTAATAAAGTATAAATATAAAGTATAAAATAAAGAAATGAATGAATTTGTCAGAAACATCTAGCCTACAATGCAAATACACTGCCTGTCCAAAACAAAATGAAAAGATAAAAAACACCACGTGGATTTAATTAAGCAAATAAATAAGAGCCTCCCATTGGATAATTACTGCATAGAAGATTAACCGTTCACTAAACTCTAACTGACACAGAGAGTAACTTCTCATTTCTTAAAAAAAACATATCAGAAGAGTCATTCTGTGGTCATGGAAACTATATTAATCTGTTTCAAAAGGGTCAAACTATTGGCATGCACCAAGCAAAGAAAATAGCTTGCTGAAACTACTAAAACTGGGTTAAGATCTACCCAACGCATTATTATATACATCTAAAAGGATTGTCAGGAAGCACCCATTTTTAGAGAGAATCAAATAAATAAATCAAATAAGGAAATAAATAATTGAGTGAATAATTGAGATTGGCTTAATGTCTGATCCAATCAAATCGACAAAAAAAAAAAAAAAAAAAAACAACAACAGTAAAATATGCTTAATAGTGAATGTAAGATCATAGAGTCCAGACCTTAACCCTATTGAGAATCTTTAGTGTGTCTGAATGGTAATAAATATTGTGATATTGTACAGTATAAGCGCACTGAATTAATGCAATGACAAATGTGTCCCATAATTAAAGCTAAAAGCAGTTCCATGAAATACTATAGTATGACTTTTTTGGACAGGCGGGGTATATTGTAACAACTTGATTTGTTCATAATGAACATTTCTTGACCATGATTTGATTTGTTTATCGAGAATAGCTTTACTTTATAATTTACTGCTACGTGTTTTAAATTTAAATGAATGTGTGTGTGCGCATAGTGGAGGAATTTCCTTTAATGTAGGGTCAAAATGCCCACATGAGGGTAGTAACACTCTTTTATCAAACCTGTTATTTCCAAAAAATACTGTATAATCCTTTTCATGAGGATTTGGTTTAGGGTTACGGGATAGAATATACAGTACATTATGTACAATATGTATATATATATATAAAGTGTGACCCATATATATATATATATATATATATATATATATATATATATATATATATATATGGGTCACACTTTACAATAAGGTTCATTAGTTAATGTTAGTTAATGCATTTACTAACGGCAACAAACAATGAACAATACATCTACTACTGTATTTGTTCATATTAGTTCACGTTAGTTAATGAAAATACAGTAGTTCATTGTTAGTTCATGTTAACTCATGGTGCATTGACTAAGGTTAACAAGCATGGACTTGGATGTTAATAATGCATTAGTAAATGTTCAATATTGATTACTAAATGCTGTACATGTGTTGTTCATGATTAGTTCATGTTAGTAAATGCATTAACTAATGAACCTTATTGTAAAGTGTTACCAATATATGTGTATGCAAAGTCTCCATAAAACATGGAATCCCAAGATTTGTGTGTGTGTGTGTGTGTGTGTGTGTGTGTGTGTGTGTGTGTGTGTGTGTGTGTGTGTGTGTGTGTGTGTGTGTGTGTGTGTGTGTGTGTGTGTGTGTGTGTGTGTGTGTGTATCTGTGTTGGTGTGGCTCCATTGCCTCCTTTTCTGGCCCCGAAGTCATTTGTTTCTGCACAGCTTTATTCCTGATGAAAAAATAACATTTAACCATCAGAATATGTAGCATACACACACACACAAATATAGAACAGTAAAATGAAAAGGGTTGGAGACCCTTTTAAAAATGCTTCTAGTTAGATATCAAATTTCAAAATATTAATAATTATTACCATAAAATATGGGTAAATGCATTCAAACTGGTGTGAAATCTCTGTTTTAAATGTTTCAACATGCTATCTTTGTTCCTAACTAAATAAAAAAAATAATAATGGTAACACATATAAGCAATCTGTAATGTATTAATGTACACCTTTTGGAAAGCTGCTTTAGAACAATGATTATTGTGAACAGTGCTATACAAGTAAACTTGAATTGAATTGAACTGAAGACAGCCCATGTTTGTCTGCATGCACATCAAAATGTTTCACCTTGTGAGCAAAATTCGGACTTTAGCTGGAGCATTGTTGATGATAGCTGTTGCATTCTGATGACTGCGTCCATAAAGCACTTGCCCATTTATCTGCAAAATATTTGCATAAATAAGATGAAGATGAACGTTTGATAAACGACATACAGTTGAAGTCAGAATTATTATCCCCCTTTGAATTTTTTTTCTTTTTTAAATATTTCCCAAATTATGTTTAACAGAGCAAGAAAATTTTCAAAGTATGTCTGATAATATTTTTTCTTCTGAAGGAAGTCCTATTTGTTTTATTTCGGCTAGAATAAAAGCAGATTTAATTTATTTTTTTATCCGTTTTAAGGTCAAAATGATTAGCCCCCTTGAAGCTCTATTTTATTTTCAATAGTCTACAGAGCAAACCCTTGTTATACAATGGCTTGCCTAATTACCCTAACCTGCCTAGTTTACCTAATTAACGTAGGTAAGCCTTTAAATGTCACTTTAAGCTGTACAGATGTGTCTTGAAGAATATTTAGTCAAATATTATGTACTGTCATCATGGCAAAGATAAAATAAATCAGTTATTAGAAATGAGTTATTGTAACTATTATGTTTACAAATTTGTTGTTAAACAGAAATTGGGGAAAAAAACTTAAACGGTGGGGCTAATAATTCAGGGGAACTAATAATTCTGACTTTAACTGTATGTCACATTTTATTCTTTTGTTAAAAGATGAAGAGAATACATAATCATGCAGTAGTATCAAAAGTGTTACAAAAAAATCTGTATCTATTTCACGAACTTGAAAAAGTATTATTAATCATAAAAAGGACAAATGAATAAATGACCTAAATTAAAGTGTAAAACAACCATTGTGTTATTTCCGGTTAACAATAATAGTAGTTGACACATTTTATGAGGAACTAATTCCCTATAGTTGTCAACAGTGTACTTAAAACTATAAATTATGGTCATAAATTATGGTCATAATTTATAGTTCACCTCTTTGTCATGATCATATTCACTATTCACTAATAAATAATCTAGCTGATAAGCTTAAAACTGATATTTTCATTTTTTATTATTATTATTAATACAATAACTTGTAATCATTTACTGCTTTTGTGCAAACCTACAGTGGCTACCAGCATTAATATCTGTATTTTTATAGACTCTTATACAATAACATACTGGAAAAAAAGGAATACAAAAGCCTGAGTTTGAAAGCAGAAACGTTTGAAGAGCAGAAAAAAACAACATTGACAGCCCAATTTACAGCACTACACCGCCTCAACGTCTCTCGCGGATCATGAGAAATTAATAACCAACATGTACAGCATGGAGTCTTTCACTTTAATGATCAAATGAAATGTTGATGTTGTTCAGTCAGAGTTGCGGAGGTCGTTCTCACCTCCAGCAGTTCATCTCCTACTCTGACCCGACCATCTGCGGCAGCCGCCCCGTCTGCTGTGATCTCTGACACGAACACACTCATTCTGCCACGCGCTCCATCTCTGTTTCCTGACAAACACAAGCCCAGTCCAGAGCCGTGAGAGCTGCAGTCCAGATCAAACATGAGCAGCTCTCCAGGCAGACTGCCATACCTCTGCTGCATGCGGCCTACACACACACAAACATGTAACATCGTTTGGTATGTTTATTAAGCAGTTTTACTTCTAGGGATGGCGCAGTGTAATATATGAGATTTCAGCTTGGACTGTCTAAAGGGAACATTTATTTAGTTCACTTAATGCAGGCAAAACCTCCAACAGAGACAAACGTACTCCAGTATGAGGTCTGCTCCTGCCCGCTGTGATCATGTGAAGTCTCTTCTGGCAGTGGCGGTCTCTCTGGAAGCCTCTGCACTCCATCTGTTTGTGTCTCGTCTGGCCTACAGGGTAGTTTTAGGAGGGAAGGAGCTGAATGTGGAGGCTTCCCCAGCTTCCAGTCTTCTGTACGCTACAAAAATATATATAAAACCATAAAAACTGAAACCTAAAAACAGCATTTGCCACATCCTTTGCCATTATAGTACCACATTCCTAAAAATGCCAAAGTATGATTTTTTAATAAAATCCTGATTGGGGAATTAACTTTTTTTCTTTCTTCCTTTATTTTGTTATCTAACAGATCAAAAATGTGCACTTATTTCCTTTGAGCTTCGAAAGATCTGAAAGAAAAGCTGAAAAAACTATAATCATATAAAAAGAGCAGAATTTTACTTAATGTGCAAAAAGTGTGATGATAATAATACTGTAAATGCTTCAAAGTACATTTTTAAATTATGTTTAATAATCGTATGTCGCACTTGTACAATTTTGTTTTCAAACGTAGAGTGCTTGATTAAAATAATAGAAATAAAAAATAACGATAATAGCAATATATGTAATGAATATACACTAACTGGCCACTTTATTAGGTACACCTGTGCAACTCTTCGTTAACGCAAATTTCTAATCAGCCAATCACATGACAGCAACTCAACGCATTAAGGCATGTAGACATGGTCAAGATGATCTGCTGCAGTTCAAACCGAGCATCAGAATGGGGAGGAAAGATGATCTAAATGACTTTGAACATGGCATGATTGTTGGTGCCAGATGGGCACCAGCTCTAGGGTTTACAGAGAATGGTCTGAAAAAAAGGAAACATCCAGTGAGCGGCAGTACTGTGGGCACAAATGCCTTAAGGATGCCAGAGGTCAATGGCCAGACTGCTTCGAGCTGATACAAAGGCAACAGCAACTCGTTACAACACTCGTTACAACAGAGATCTGCAGAAAAGCATCTCTGAACACACAACATGTCCAAGCTTTAGGTGAATGGGCTACTGCAGAAGAAGATCATACCGGGTATTCCCTCCTGTCTGCTAAGAACAGACAACTGAGGCTACAGTTCGCACAGGCTCACCAAAATTGGACAAAAAAGATTGGAAAAACATTGCCCGATCTGATGAGTCTCGATTTCTGCTGTGACATTCGGATGGTAGGGTCAAAATTTGGCATCAACAAAATGAAAGCATGGATCCATCCTGCCTTGTATCAATGGTTCAGGTTGGTGGTTGTGGTATAATGGTGTAAGGAGTATTTTCATGTCACAATTTGGGTATATTAGCACCAATTGATCATTGTGTCAAAGCCACAGCCTACCTGAGCATTTTTGTTGACCATGTCCATCAGGATAACGTGCCATGTCATAAAGCGCAAATCATCTCAGACTGGTTTCTTGACAAAGAGTTTGCTGTGCTCAAATAGCCTCCACAGTCACCAGACTCAATGCAATAGAGCACCCTTGGGATGTGGTGGAACGGGAGATTCGCATAATGAATGTGCAGCTGAAAAATCTGCAGCAACTGCTTGATGCTATCATATTAATATGGACCACAATCTCTGAGGAATATTTACAGTACTTTGTTGAATATATGCCATGGAGGATTAAGGCATTTCTGAAGGCAAAAGGGGGTCGAAGCCATTACTAATAAGGTTTACCTAATAAAAGTGCACCTAATGGTCAGCGAGTATATGAAATATAATGTAATAATTTAATTATATTATAAAGTCATTATCAATTTAATTACCGCTCTAAATTTATACTTCAACTTCCAAATCACAAATGTATATAAATAAATAATAAATAAATAAATATATATGACTATAACATACGTTTACTAGAAATAACATTTGAATACTTTAGGTTTGCCATAAATGCTTATCAATGCATTTGCAGTACACAACTTTGGGATTTATAAATTCCTAATTTAAATAATTTATGTGGTGAAATATAGGATGACTATACTTTTTTGTCTTGCTCTAACACACAAACTACACACTCCCACTGGAAACGTATACGTTTTAAAATTTTTTTTATCATAGTTATTACACAATAATTGTATATAAAAATTTTAAGTATTAGCTAGTTGTGTTTCAGACTTCATGAATACTCATGATTAAAAAAGCTTGCTGTTTGGATTTGAGTAAGCAAATACTTAAAAGGCTAAGATACTTTTTAAAAAATTTTTCAAATCAAATCAAATCATTTTACTGTCACATCACCAGCAGCACGTGTGCTGTGATGAGTAAAGAGCTTAGGTGCTGGCTCCAGAGAGTGCAAAATACATATAGTGCAAATATAACAACAAACAACAGCATACTCCCAAAAAAAAAAACAGGACAATGTAAAATTGGCAGCATTGACAGCGATATGTACAATGAATAGGTGTACATTATATTTTGTTGCGGGATAAAATTCCTCAGGCACACATTGTGTCATTTTGCTTTATTTTCACACATGAATTCACCTTCAATTGACCTGAACATTGAACATTTTGGACTGGTTCTCCTCAGGGTCGGATTCTGGAAATGCTCGATATGTTACATCTCAGTTTAAAATGAATTCAGCTCTTGGTGGACATATACGTTATGACATTGCTTATGGATGCAGAAACAATGTCACAACAGATACCCACTGTTAGATGATCATAAACATGACCACTATCTGACCCTGAGGAGATCCACTCTGTAAAGTCTTCTTTAGCACAATACATTTAATGAAATTCAGGTCAAACGGTTATCAATTTGTGCATGAAATTGCAGCCATTTTTGTTTTGTCATTGTCATCCTGTAATATGACAATAAGATATCTACTCCAACTTGATTATTTAAGAAATAAAAAGCTAGACACTGCATCAGTTTGTGTTACAAGGATTGCTGCTAAACAAATAACATGCCAGAAACATTTATCACTGTAATAAATATCTTGTCATAAGCTACTAATATTTGCTGCTTAAACCCAAACAGTGCTTTTTGGCCAGGCAGTGTCTGTTATTTAGATTATCACTAGGCAAACACACACACACACACACACGCACGCACGCAAACATGCACGCACACACACACACACACAAACACACACACACACACACACACACACACACGTGCGTGCACACACACACTACAAACCTTGAAAGGAATGGGACTGAAGGGAAAGGTTGGGGAGAGATTATTGGGGATTTCAGATTCCTAAAGAGGAGATATACATTACATTTATATTAGTGTATACACCAAACAAACACTTAGGATACACAAAACAGCATCTGCAAAAACACACCTGATGATTTTGAGAATTTGTTTTCGAAATCCTGTCATCTTCTAGGTAGTTGTCTGGCTCTGAAAACTGGGTATTAAACAAAAAAAATAATAAATGTTTTATTGTTTCATTATAAAGTCAGAGCTGCCTCTTGAGTATGGGACAAATCATTATCATTTCGGTCATAATTGTAATCACGACTGATTAAAATAATTATTAATGATGACCAAAACACTTTGAAATGTAAATATATATTTGAAATATTCAGTTGAAGTCAGAATTATTAGCCTCCCTAAAATATTAGACCCCCTGTTTATTTTTTCCATCAATTTCTGTTTAACGGAAGATTTTTTCAACAGATTTCTAAACATAACAGTTTTAATCACTCGATTTATTTTATCTTTGCCATGATGACAGTAAATAATATTTTACTAGATATTTTTCAAGACACTTCTATAAAGCTTAAAGTGACATTTAAAGGCTTAACTAGGTTAATTAGGTTAACTAAGCAGGTTAGGGTAATTCGGTAAGTTATTGTATAATGATGGTTCGTTCTGTAGACTATTTAAAATAAATATAGCTTAAAGGTTCTAATAATTTTGACCTTAATTTTGATATATATATATATATATATATATATATATATATATATATATATATATATATATATATATATATATATATATATATATATATATATGAAATAATGGACTATATCTGAAGCATGAGACAAAAGTAAAAAACTAAAAGTTCTCATAATTTGATCATTTATTTGATCATTCAGTTGATCACCATAAGCTAAAAGATGACTTCACAAGTGTGTATTCTGCTGTAACCCTGTAACACTGCCAATGTCTCCCTTTGCATTGAATTTTGAGCATCTGGATGTTTTTTTATGTTCACACAGCTACATTAGCTCTATTGTTACATAAACCAAAGTTTAAAATATGATATTGTAGTGGACCAACCCTTTAATAGTTTGTTATTGGCCTGAATTGTGACTTAAAATAAATAAAGTGAAACTAAGTTTGCTTTTATAAAAATGTAAGACTTCTTGTTTTGTAATAAAAGAGCATTAATGTCCATCTCTAATTGCAACCATCAGATCATATGAAAAAATACATTCAATCAGTCCCTAATTCTCCAGAATCTAAAGCAGTTAAACTGCCCAAGACTTTGTTGGTTTGACACTGAAAATAAGTATTAATAAGTCATGTGCGTTATATGTGTGCATGTGTCTGAGTGTTACCTGAGGACTCTGCACTAGTAGTTCTACTCTGTCTCCTGCTCGACGAATCGCTTCAACGGCTTCTTCATGAGTAAAATCACTCACATCTATACCTTGAACCTGCAGACACACATTAAAAATGCAATACGTTTCGTTATTTTTCCAGAGTTTCTCATTCCTTTCAGTCTACTTCTACCTTCAAGTCAATCAGTCAACAGATTTTTCTTTAATCTAGTTTATTTAGGTCAGAGTGATGCATTAGCTTATTATGACCAGCAGATGGAGATCATCATACATCATCTAAATCTCATTACTGTGAATCAACACTAACTAGTCTCAGCCTCAGGCCATCTGATGTATATTCCACACATAAATAGCAAGAGCCAAGAAAAATCAGCATGTAAATCAATATATACATATCAAACTTGTATGACTTCTACGAAACACCAAAGCGGAATTCTTGAAGAATCTTCTGCCTGACCTTTTCCTTTAATGAAAGTTATTGAGAATGTATGCAAAAGAAAAAGAAAAAAAGAAAAGAAAAAGAAATCATAACCATTGTGCAAAAGAAGTACACATAGGCATGCCTTTAAAAATGGTACTTATGTGGGAAATAAATACATTAAAATAACATTCTTGTAAGTGTAAATGTAATGTAATGCTTTCAAACACTTATTAGCATGTTAAATAGCATAGTAGTTCATTAATAAATTATCTGCAGCCATATAGTTTTTGTTAAAATACACTTGTAAGAACATTTTGTAGCACCGGTGGGCAAAATTATTTGAACAATTTTTCATATTCCAGATTTGTTCAATTAGAATTTAACCATTTAGAGCCATAAAAGTCTACAAAGTCATCATTACGCTTTCTAAACCTTAAAATTGAGCTGTAAAAAAGAGATTTAGGTCATTTAAAAAAGCTAGGCTTATTTCACTGTTAATGTCACACAATCATGTTCATTCACAGAATTGAAAGGAAAGCCTTTAGCTTAAGTAACAGAAGGCATGGGATAACATTAGGGATGAAGCTCTTAGGAAATATATTTACACTAATTATTGAGGTAAAAAGGGGTTAAAACAACAACTTAATCATGTCTTGAAGACAAACAAAGGGCATACTTTACATAACATGGCAGTGAATCAGATCTGAATCAGTTTAGTAGATGTTCATTCTACTCTATTAATTATAAAATATTAATAATACTCTTTTGTTTTTGATTACGCTTATTATAAATTGTACATGTACTTATTATATTATTTATATTTACAAACAACCCTATGTTGAGGTACTTAAACACTATATTACGTAACCTGATCATAAGTATGCTATTACTTATTAGTCCTCATTTGTGCAATTATACAAACTACAAATTATTTGATTTTATGTTACAGTGTAAATGTACTTCTGATGAACTAAACATTATTACTAACATCATACTTGCTATAGGGTTTGTTTTCAGGAATTGCATGTAACTATGCATGAATTAGTTTTATTACTATAGTATGTACATGTAACTTACAAAAAGAGCACTGTAAAACAAAGTGTTACCAAATACAGTGCAACTTTTATTTACGTTTACAGTTGAAGTCATAATTATTAGCCCCCTTTGATTTTTTTTTTCTTTTTAATTATTTCAGAAATTATGTTTAACAGAGCAAAGAAATTTTAAGAGTATGTCTGGTAATATTTTTTCTTCTGGAGAAAGTTTTATTTGTTTTATTTTGGCTAGAATAAAAGCACTTTTTAATAATAATAATAAAAAAAACATTTTAAGGTCAAAATTATTAGCCCCTTTACGCTATATATTTTTAAAATATAGATAATCTACAAACCACCATTATACAATAACTTGCCTAATTACCATAACCTGGGTAACCTGATTAACCTTTTTTTAAGTTTTCTTTTTTTTTTTTTTAAATAAACAGGGGGGCTAATAATTCAGGGAGTTGGTACTTTGGAATTTGTTCTGCTCATAATTATTTTCTGCAAATTTTTGTACAAATAGTTGTCAAGACTGCTGTGTTATGATTCTGTTTTGTGTCATTTCAAACAGTATTTCCGTTGAAAGCCACCGCTCACACATAAGCAGAGCATGTTTTTTTTTTTTTTTTTTTTTACCTCAGCCAGGTTGGAGAATTACATACAGATAGAAGCAGCCACTCATACTGCATTAAAGCCACAGAACTGTGTCTGCTCAAAACACAGCTGAATTAACTTCAAAAGTGTATTTATATAAAATGAAATAAATGAATTCTATGTTTTACATTTACTCTAGGACAAAAAAACAAAAAACAAAAAACCATCATTGTGATTACTTGACCATTTCAAAGGCCTGTTTAAATGAACTTTCAATGCACTTTTATCATGTAATTTACATTTATACAGCTTGTTATATTTGAAGTCAGAATTTTTAGCCCTCCAGTTTAATTTAAATTCTTTTATATTTTTTTTTACCAATTTCTGTTTAACAGAGATTTTTTCAGTACATTTCTAAACATAATAGTTTTAATAACCTTTTAATACTTTTAATTTCTAATAATAATAATAATAATAATAATAATAATAATAATAATAATAATAATAATAATAATAATAATAACAATAATAACAATAATAATAATTAACCACACCCCACACACCAGCTAATTGGCGTAAAGGAGACAGAATGATGAAGCCAATTATGATACGGGGATGGTTAGGAGGCCATGATGGACAGAGGCAAGTGGGCAAATTTGGGGTTTTGGGTTTAAACCCCTACTCTTTTTCAAAAGGACATTAAGGGATTTTTAACAACCACAGAGAGTCAGAACCTCAGTTTAACATGCCATCCAAAAGACGGCACTTTCTGGGCTGTATAGTATCCCCGTCGCTATACTGGGGCATTAGGACCCACACAGACCACAGGTTGGGTGCCCCCTGCTAGCCTCACTAACACCACTTCCGGCAGCAACCTAGCTTTACCATGTAGTCTCCCATACAGGTACTGAGTGGGCGCAGCCCTGCTTAGCTTTAGTGGGCGACCATGTGAGAGTTGCAGAGAGCTAGCTACCGGCTATTTCTAATAACTGATTTAATTTATCTATGCCATGATGACAGAACATAATATTTTACTAGATATTTTTCAAGATAGTATTTGACTTATAGTGCAATTTAAATCCTTAACTACATTAATCAGGTTAACTAGGCAAGTTAGACAAATCAACATATAAAGATGGGTTGTTCTGTAACCAATTGAAAAAAAATTGCTTAAGGGGGCTAATAATATTGACCATAAAATGCTTCTAAAATTAAAAAAATTATTTATATTTGCTAAAATCAAACAAATAAGACTTTTTTTTCAGAGTAACAAACATATTACTGGAAATACAGTGAAAAAATTTCTTGCAGTCACACTTTATTTTGATGGTCCATTTGTTGAATTTAGGTTAAATTGCATTTGCATGCCAGCTAATTCTCATTAGATTATGAGTAGACTGTTAGATTGGGGTTAGGCTTAATGTAAGTTGACATGTACTTGCAAAGTTTCTTATAGTCAGTTAAATGTTGTTGAATGTCTGTATTAACAGATATTAAGCAGACAGTCTACTAATACTCAACTGGACCATCAAAAAAGTGTTACCTTCCTTGCTACAATAAATATCATTTGGAAAATATAAATAATAAAATATATAAAAAGAGGGCGAATAATATTGACCCAAACTGTATATAGTATGTGTGGAACAGTAAAAAGGAAACACAGTCGCATCTCAGTTCTGCCCAACATAAATTCGAGCATGTAACAGGCAGACAGCTCTTGGGCGAGAACACCTGAAAAGGTGACACAATGGATGACACTCGTGTGTACAGCACACAAGCTGTGGTTCAGCTGGGTGTGACAAACACTGCCTGTGTGAAAGCACAACAGGTGCCAAGTGTGAACACACTCAAAGAGGCAGATTTCTGGCTAGAGTGAGCGCTGAAGTAGAACAGATTTTATAGAACAGATAGTTCAGATCTACTATTTAATAAAGATATGCACACCTGAAGAATTCTGTCTCCTTCTTTCAGAGTGCTGTTGTGTGCGGCGGGACTGTCCTCTGCGATGTGTTTTATGAAAATGCCTCGTCTCATTTCTCCATTGCTCAGTCGACTGCCCATACCACGACCTCCGAAAACACTGAAGCCAAGACACGTTCCCCCGGCCCTGGATAATTTCACTCTAGGAAACAAACACCATGAGTATCACACTCAAAAAAAAATATGCTGCTTCTTCAAACTACGTATGCAAAATGAGCTGAAACAATTCTTGAGTTTTTTGGGGGAAAACTTAATTGTTTTATGTACCATCAGCATAATTTTTTTAAGTTAACTTAATGTATTTGGGTTGGAACAACATAAACGAAATGTGTGGATTTTTTTCAGTGTACTACATGAGAATGCTTCACTCAAAAAGTGCTATTTGTTCAAACTACTTATTTAAAATGAGCCGAGAGAACACAATTCTTGATTTTTGTTTTTGCGACAACTTAATTGTTCAATCCACTTAAATCTGTAAAACTTAATAAGTTAACTTAATTCATCTATGTTGTCCCAACACAGATCGATTGTGTGAAACCCATCATTTTTGTTAGCTCACCTCCTCGGCTGAGACCATGATGTATGATCCCTCCCGTGTGTCTCTTTTTCATCTCTTTGTCTGTCTTTTTCTCTCTCTTGTTCGTGTCTGTTCTCACTCTGTAAGGCCGGTTTTTCATTCTTCACCTTTTGGTCTCTGTCCAGTCTTTTACTATTCTCCCTTTGTTTTATTGGGCTGTGCTCATCAATTCTTTCGTTCTCTTCTTCAGCTTGAGTCTTTCCATTCACTCCTTTACCATCCACCACACTCTGCTGCTCTGAAATACATTCTCTAGCACAAAGCAAAGACGTATTAGCACGCCATATATGTCACCCTGGACCACAGAAGCAAGTTTATGTTGCACAGGTACACATTTATCAATAAGCACAAATACACTGAATGGGTCAAAATTGTAGATTTTTTTTTTTATTAAGAAAAGTCATTAGAAATAGCGTAATGATAATGATCCATAACAATATGTTGTAAATTACAATCAATTGTTGATTAGCAATGTTTTTCTGAACCCTCAGATTCCAGATTTTTAAATAGTTGTATCTCATCGCAATATTTTCATATCTTAAGACATTATACAACAATGGAAAGATTTAGAAATTAGATTCAATGTGATGTAGGGCTGCACAATATATCATTTTAGCATTGATATGGCAATGTGTGAAAACACAGTATCACATCGTAGGACAAGTAAAGTGGAGTCAGGATTATAGTTGATCATATAAAAGTGCAAAACACAAGAAAACTTGTGTTTTAAGGCCTGTGTAAACATTTTAAGCAGGTTTAAAGCTTTTGTCAACAAGGGTAATATTATGCTTGTAGCTTTAAAATGGATTGTCATTCATTCATTTTTTTTTGGCTTAGTCCCTTTATTAATCAGGGTTCGCCACAGCAGAATGAACCACCAACTTATCCAAAACATTTTTTACGCAGCGGATGCCCTTCCAGTCACAACCCTACACTAAGAAACAACCATACACTCTTGCATTCACACACACACACACACACACACACACACACACACACACACACACACACACACACACACACACACACACACCACTGCCAATTTAGCTTATTCAATTCACCTATAGTGCATGTCTTTGGATTGTGGGGTAAACCGGAACAACCGGAGGAAACCCATGCCAACAAGGAGAGAACATGCAAACTCTACACAGAAATGCCATCTGACCCAGCTGAGGCTCGAACCAGTGACCTTCTTGCTGTGAGGTGATTGTGCTAACCACTGGCCAGCCTTGTCACCTTTATTAATTGTATTTAATTATTTACACAATGAAGAACATAAAGCTTCATTGTATTTTATTTGATTTTTCATCAAATATCATTTGTATATTTGCTCTACTTGTAATTTGCTGATTATATTTTATGCAGTGCTTTTCAAAACTTATGCCAATTAATCTAAAATGATTAATTAAATTATTGCAGGAAATTTAAATATAGCAATGTACCTTTTTTGAATATTATGCAGCCCTAATGTGATGTATAATATAAATCTAATTTGAAAAAGGTTACACTAATGACTGTTTTTTTTTTTTTGTTGGTCCAGGGTGACATATTAAGGCACAAATGCAGTCACTTGTGTAGTACGTTTTTTTTTTCAAAAAGCTTATATTATCATTTATCCCTAAATAATGCATTTAAGCCCACTTTACATCTGGTATGCATTTTGGTCAATCAGATCACAAGTTAACAAAGCATTTATATCACCTTAAATCACTGAGGTCTGATTTACAAAAATTGTGTAGAAACCTTTCTAAAAGTGAACCTACACCAGAATACATGATGAGTTTATGTACAGCTGTTGTCCCGTAGTTTTTTATAGATTTGTAATGTGGACTTTTCCGCTCATATTTTTTGCTTATATGAGATCCCTGGTGTTTTAATCCATCTCTTTTGTTCTCTTAATTTATTTGCAGAAAAAAAGCACAATGTTCAATTACCAGTCCTGATTCCAACAAAAACACACAGTATTTAGTGCATATGGGTCCATATAATATTAAGTTTTGCTATTAGCAGATTAGCAATGTGCTATATACTGTTATTATTTAGGGGTGGATGAATGTGGCTAGTACACTTCAATGACAAGTCTACTTGAAGACAGGTAGTGGTCAGGGAGGAGGTGGGTTTTTATGGCTGTCCACTTGTTATGGAACTGAAAAATTGTAATACAAGGTGTATAGAAAGTTTATTACCTAGGTACATTTTAGCACCTAAAATGCACTATAATCAATTATTAACTAAAACCATATTTGTACCTTTTGAACTATGACAGTTTCTGTAATGATTTTTTAAGGGAAGTGTCAAATCAAAAATGCTCAGATTCCTTACAGTGGTTTAAAAGGCAGGTTCTGTGAGTGTCTGTGTTGGACAGCAGCAGGTGTGTGTATTTCCATTTCCTCCTTTGATTTGGAATAACTGGCTCTGTGCAAGTCCAGGAAGGCAGCAGGTACATACATCACACTGACACACCAAAAGCACAAGAGAAAAATAAAATCATGGATTTGCCCTCAAAAAAGAGACTTAAGATCTTTTTAAAAGTCCAATTAATGCAACCAGTGAAATGTGAATATAATCTTTTTTTCTTTAAAATTGCTTAATTTTCGTTTATTTTATATTATTTAATAACTTTACATGAAAATATTTATAAAGACTGAAGTCAGCATGTCTAATGTTTGTAATCAGAAAAAATCATTTGATCAAATGTGTATAGTAGAAGACATTTATACAGTTATAAAAAAAATTTTAATAAATGTTTTTCTTTAATGCACAACAAAATGAATGGTTATTGGCAACTTTGAATAACTGATCATTTAAAATATTCAATCTGAAAACAGCTCAGTTTAAACTATAATATTTCAGTTACCCCAGGCCTTCTTTTAAAAAGCATAAACATGCTCCTGACCCCAAACATTTGTAATATTAATAAAAATCTCTGTTAATACTAAATATTCTGTATTTTTCTCTTTATTATTTCTCTATTTGTTCATAGAGTATTAAACTATTATTTCAATGGGGTGTCTCCATAAAACATGAAAACCCAGTGTGTTTGTGAGCACCTGAGATCTGGTCCGATCAGTGAATGTCTGCGCAGCATGGCTCTGGCTTGTGCGTTGGTCAGGTTGGTGGTGGATTCTCCATTGAGGGCAACTATTCCGTCCCCCACTGCCAGTCTCCCATCTTTACTAATCGACCCGCCATGAACCACAGAGCGGATTATTATGCCTGAACCATCCCTTAAAGCACTCACTGTCATTCCTACACACACAGACACACTCCTGTCATGCACACAATTGTCCCAGGGCATGTGATTGTTCTGTCACAAGAGATTATTGTATTTTGTAATTTGTAATATCCCTAACCTATAAAATTCTGGCTGATTATTAACTGTTTTACAGTAAAACATTGTAAATAGTTTAACTCAGTTGTTTGTCTTGTCATAAGCACTCATAGTGAAAAAAGCTAATTTTGTGTTCAATAAACAAACAATAACAGTGGAAATGTTCAAATGCTTTTTTATAGCCACAGCTTTACATTATTTGCTTGTACAGAATTAGTCTGGTCCACAAAACCGTATGTTGCATCAGCATGTTTCTGACAAGTGTTAAAAGTATTTCAAAAGTCTAGATTTTCTGTCAAATATGTCATGTTTCATAAAGACTGTAAATATATCAAACATATTTTCGATGCATTACAAAGATCTTTTTTCAACATTTGTATTTTTGCATCCTTTACAGGTTTCTAAATAGCTGTATTTATGCAAAATATTGTCCCATTCTAACAAATGACACAATAATGGAAAGCATACTTATTCGATATATACAGTTAAAGTCAGATTAGCCCCCTTTGAATTTTTTTAATATTTCACAAAAGATGTTTTAAGGTCAAAATTATTAGCCCCTCTAAGCTATATATTTTTTCGATAAAACAAACCATCGTTATACAACAATTTGCCTAATTAGCCTAACCTGTCCAATTTACCTATAGTTAAGCTTTTAAATGACATTTAGAGCTGTATAGAAGTGTCTTGAAAAATATCTACTAAAATAATATTTACTGTCATCGTAAAGACGAAAAAAAATCTTAGAAATTATTATGTTATTAGAAATGAGTTATTAAAACTATTATGTTTAGAAATGTATTGAAAAAAACTCTCTGTTAAACAGAAATTGGGGAAAAAATAAACAGGGGGCTAATAATTCAGGTGTGCCAATAATTCTGACTTCAGCTCTATATACACACAATTCCAATTACAATGCATAAAATCATCTTCTTCAACTTTGACATTAAACAGAATGGAGAATCATTTTAATTAAACTTATGTCAACATGATGATGTAATTTGGAGACTATGCAAAAGTTTGAACTATTGTTCTTTAGTTCTATTATAGATTGATATATTGCCAGCATACTGTCAAATGTTTGTTCAAATTTCTGCATTGATTGAACATCCCAGATCTTTCTGCCAAACATCTAGGATTGCCCCATTATTAACTTTTGCTCCAAGCAGCAAAGCTTCATAACAACGCTTTATCATTGATTTCAATCTATTATCGAGGAGCACCTGTTTTGTTGGGGTAGGATAATAAGAGAATCCAGGGACAATATGTTACTGCACAAAATGTCTAATTTGTAAATATTAAAACAATTATTTGGGGGTAATTTATTTGTAGTTTTCAGCTGTTCAAATCATAATACCTCCTTTTCAAATGAATCTTTTATAGTGGTTATACCAGCATCTCTCTACAATGTAAAACCATCGTCCATAATTGCAGGTTAAAAATATAAATTTCCTTGTATTGGCGCTATAGGGACATTTTTTTCTGCTTTCATTTTTTGTTAATTCGTTAAAACAAGCGGTAGCCTGGCAAATGAAATTGGTGGGCCATCACTTAAGGTTAAATGATTCAATGTCTTACCAGACAGAATATGGATCATTTCTTACTCATTCAAAAAGATATCGAAATTGGGTGGACAACATACAACCTAATATCCGGAACTGCAAGACCTTCTTTATTTCCAGGAAGATTTTTATTCTTGATTTCTTTCAGTTCCAAATGAAGGAACTGATATCTCTGAGCACCTACCATTTGTGATAACTGATGCTACTGGACTTTCATACATTATCCTAACCCATCGTAAAAAGGATTCACCCACCTCGAAACAATTCAATGTATAAAACAAAAAGTCCCAGGTCAAATGCCTTTTCAGCATCCAGGGAGATTATCATACTATTGAGGTTTTGATGTTGTAATAATTGAATAATATTAAGCAACCTTCCCGTATTATCACTAGAATTTGATCAACTTGATTGATTGCAACATTTCAACTTGATTGATTGCAATGATTGATTTCAACATTTTTTTCTAATGTCAAAGCTAAGCATACTTATTCCAGTGATTTGAGGCTTAATAGTGATTTCTTGGTCCAGGGTCTCATAAAGCTTATCAGATCACCATTCCCAGCTAAAGTGTGTCTTAAAGGGAGGAAGTTTAACCATATCAGATATTCCTCTTTTTCAAAAGGACCAATTGGAATATCATCTTCCATTTATTGGCGTTTATACACTCCATGAAGCCCTTGGCCTCCTTTTCAAAGCAAATGTGTGACTGTTCCTAAGCAGCAATAAAATTGTCAACGCACCACGTAGAGTCAGTGTGTTTGAGAGGGTCTTTAAACCCCTCACTCACCTTCATGGTATATTAAGTGGTGGCTTTGACTCCGAGTTGTATTAAAATCACAGCGTGTGCCTTCAACAGTTCATTTTACGAGAATTACGCTTAGCTTATTCTCTACATAATGAACTTCAAACCGTGCCGTTGACATCATTGTGGGTGTAAAGTGACTGGCTGGCTTTGTAGCGTTTCGAGCTGTTATAAATCTGTCTAAATTGCTCTCCGCTTGAATAAAACACCCTGCGAGCCTATTTTAAATATAAAATGCAGCTGATATGAATAATTAGGAGTTCGTGCAAAGAGATAAGGCATGCGTTGTAAATACACACGAGAGTTAACATGCAAGGAAACACACAGCAAACACAGAAAGAACACTATGGTCGTAAAGAATTTGAGATTCAGTGCAGTTTTTATTTTCAATTCGATCAACCATTTATCACGCTTCTTGTTGGAACAGTCAAATTACAGTACAATCATAGTGCGCTAGTTACAGCAGTGCACATCTGACCATGTAAAGCACAGCACACAAGACAGAAATGACACAAGAGAACAAAAGACACACAGCACATCACGATTTATAATCTCTAGCCCATCGTCCAACAGAAAGAACAAACAGTCTCGTAAATAACTAACAGTTCAAAATAAAGAAAAGAGAAAATGCTGGAATTGAAGAATTAAATAGCACTCATGCAGAGCTTTGTGTCCAAATGGATGAATATTCATCTAAATAAATACTTGATCAAAGAGCAAGCTCAAGTTTTAATGGGAAGCTCAGTATTTTTAAGATTTTGTGAGCGAGTGAGATGCTGTAGTTGCATAAACACACAGCGCAGGATGAGCTGAGGCCACTGGAAGAGCTTCAGGCCAGTAGACAGCACTGTCACTTACTCTATTGGCTCTCTGATGCATTCATCAGAATCACCAGTGGGAAGTTACAGTAGCTTGCGTAGATAAAGTTTTGCTAAACTTGAGAGTGATTTGTGAAGATCGTACATGCAGAGACAGTATCAGATATACTTTATGATTAAATATCTTAAGAGTGAATTTTTAAGTAGCTTTTCTGCTATCATGATGCTGGTGAATTGCAGAGTTTGTGCAAAAATTTCTTCACTGCTGCTTTCACACTGCTGTCATTTTTCTTTTTTGTCAATTTTGTTATGAAGAGGAAGATGCACATGACATATTTACAGTGCATATGGAAAGTATTCATAGCACTTCACTTTATCCATGTTTTTATGTTACAACCTTATTCCAAAATGGATTGAATTAATTTATTTCCTCAAAATTCTTCAAACAGTACCCATAATGACAATGTGAAACAACATTTTTTTTTAAATTGTTGCAAATATATTACAAATAAAAAATCTGAAAAATCCCATGTACATATGCATTTACAGCCTTTGTTGATGCACCTTTGGCAGCAATTACAGCCTCAAGTCTCTTTGAATATGATGCACATTCCTCTTTGCAGTACCTCTCAAGCTCTATTAGGTTGTATGGGAAGTAATTAAGTAAGTAAGTAAGTAAAGGTTTATTTATGTAGCACCTTTCCCAGACATTGAGTCATAAAGTGCTTTACAATAAGAGAAAACAAGTAAAAGAACACATGACAATAAAAGAAGGCATGTTAAAACAAATTAAAACTAATTAAAAATTCAAATACAGAAACACTAATGCTATTAATTAAAATCTTGACCAAAAAGGTGTGTCTTTAAATGCTTTTTAAAAAGTTCAACTGATCCCAGAGTTCTCAGTGCAAGCACGGTCATCTTTAGTCTTAAGACGAGTTCTGGGAATGGCTAAAAGGTCTTTGCCAGACGACCTCATAGGTCTGCTACATGAGTGACAATGTACAGCAATTTTCAGATCTCTCCAAAGATATTCAATAGGATTTAGGTCTGGCAAGGTCTTATTAAGGATGCATTGCTGCATTCATCTTTCCCTCTATCCTGACTAGTATTCCAGTTCCTGCTGCTGAAAAACATTCCCACAGAATGATGCTGCCACCACCATGCTTCACTGTAGGGATGGTATTAGCCTGGTGATCAGTAATGCCTGGTTTCTCCAAACGCAACACCTGGCATTCACTTCAAAGAGTTTAATTTTAGTGTCATCAGACCAGAAAATTTAGTTTCAGATGCCTTTTGACAAATTCCAGACTGCTATGTGTCCTTTACTAAAGAGTGGTTTCCTTCTGGCCACTCTACCATACAGGCCTGATGGGTGGATTGCTGCACAGATGGTTGTCCTTCTGTAAGGTTCTCCTCTCTTCACAGAAGAACGCTGAAGCTCAAACAGAGTGACCATCTGGCTATTGATCACCTCCCTGACTAAGCCCCTTCTCCCCCGATCACTCAGCTTAGATGGCCGGCCAGCTCTAGGAAGTGTCCTGGTGGTTCCAAACATCTTTCACTTATGGATGATGGGACCACTGTGCTCAATAAAACTTTAAGAGCAGCAGACATTTTTTTCTGTAACAGTACCCAGCCTTGTGCCAGGCGACAATCATGTCTCAGAGGTCTACAGACAATTCCTTTGTCTTCATGCTTGGTTTGTGCTTTGACATGCACTGTCAACCCTGGGACCTTATATAGACAGGTGTCAGCCTTTACAAATCATGTTTAATCAACTAAATTTACCACAGGTGAACTCCAATTAAGCTGCTGAATCATCTCAAGAATGATCAGTGGAAACAGAATGTACCTAAGCTCAAATTAGAGCTTCACGGCAAAGGCTGTCAATACTTATGTATATGTGATTTTTTTATTTTTTATTTTTAATAAATTTACAACAATTTGAACAAATTTTCACATTGTCATTATGGGGTATTGTGTGTAGAATTTTGAGAAAATAAATTAATTTAATCCATTTTGAAATAAGGCTGTGACAAAAATTGCGGAAAAAGTGAAGCGCTATGAATACTTTCCAGATGTACTGTACCTCTGGATGTTCATTATTAGGTGTTTCCAAATTATTTCATGAAAAACCTTTGTGGCAAATAAATCAAGGTACTGAATCACGTTCAGATTATTGTATGTGTGTACAGGTGCAAATGAGTAAAATGTTGCAGGCTGCAGTTCCAGAAATGGCCAGCAGTGTTGCTAATAACAAAGATTTCTGAAATAAGCCACTTTAAGCGCATTTAAGGATTTACAGGTGTCAGTGTTTAAATACTTTGATAATGATTAATTATTTTACTTATAATGAAGTTCATATACTTAATAGTTTGGTGTTGGTAAGGTTTTTAAAAGCATTTTTTTTTCAATATATATATATATTTTTTATATAATAGGAAAATAAATAAATTTAGCGCTAGGGGCAGTAAAAAACAAAGAGTGCAAATCTAACTTATTAGCCTGACATGGCCAGCAAGAAAGAAAGAAATACTGTGCCATTTACATATTTGTTATGTTTTAAGAAAACACTAATATTAACAACACACATACAAGTACATAATAATTAGCAAAAAAGATATGTGAAACATTATATTATATACTAATACAAAATTTCACATCCCTACATAACATTAAACACGCGTAGTTTCATCTGAAAGGGAGTCAACACCCAGAACTTTAGCACACAAACACACATAAAACATCTACACACGTACAAACACACATTTTACAGCTCTCTCACAGAGTTCATATCTCTGTGAAATATACTGAGGATGTATAAGAAGACAGACAGGATGAACGTAACGAACAGTGTTAACATACCCAGACTGGAGTTTCCCCTGACTACAGTTATGGTTCTCTCATAGCCACTAGAGGGAATAGAGACGGGCTCAGCCTCCATCTTGCTCTTCTGAGAGTGGGAATTTGTCTGGAACACAAACAGAGAAAAGCATCAGGCATCTTTAATCAGTGAAATGGCCTATTTTCGTTGCGTTTGCAGTAAACGGAAAGTGAAAGATCTCTGGAGCTGCTAAGAACCATTTTAAACATCTGTCCTGCAGCAATGCTTCATTTCCAGTGTTGAAAGTGTTTATTTAGTGCACAGGCATCCAGTTCTCGAGAGACATCCCAGGCGAGTCGGTGCCAGCGAATGTGTGACTGAATGACATTCACAGCAACAAGAACAATCCTCTGATGAGCAATTTCTTGAGCTTTTTTTAAAGTTGTCAGCGGATGATGTCAAATACAGTACTGGTTGTCAAGACAAGAAAATGCAATTTTCTAATGTTCTCAAGTGTCTTCCAAATCCTGACCCAATTTATCAGACAGACAGGGTCCAAAGTGACCTAGTGTCAAAGGCCAAATTTGGGAAAAATGCATACAGTTAGTTTATACATCGCCATTGAAAAACTCTTGTTTTTTTACTGTTTTTCTGGGGTGTGAGATTCCTAACACAAGATAATTATATACGCACAGACATCAAACTCACACGTGAGCTGCTGCTGTTTATATATAATAGAGAGGGAAGATGTGTTGTATTGTTTACCATAATGGTTTTATTTTTGTGCTTATGCTGGATGCTGAAACTTGTATAAAAATAGTTGTAAGCAAACAGTGTTAGCTAAAACAACAACAAACGTCATTATACCATGGGAAGCTTGTTCTCAAGACTGTAATGAATATGCTCAGGATTGTTTACTAAGGCTGTGTATTAAAAGTATACATCAAACATTCTCAAAGTGCTACCTGTCGTTTACTTGCATTTTATGAATCACCAAAGACCATTTTTGAGCTATAAACTTTTTCACTAGACAAAAGGCACCTTCATCTTGGATGGCCTGAGAGTGGAGCTTAAAATTCATTTAGTGCTGAAGTAATAAGCATTCATTCGTTTTCTTTCTGGCTTAGTCCTTTTATTCATTAGTGGTCGCCACAGCGGAAAGAACCACCAACTTATCCAGCATATGTTTTACGCAGCGGATACCCTTTCAGCTTCAACCCATCACTGGGAAACATCTATACACACTTATTCACATACATACTCTACGGACAATTTAGCTTACCCAATTCACCTGTCCCACATGTTTTTGGGCCTATGGGGGAAACCAGAGCACCCGGAGGAAACTCACGCAAACATGGGGAGAACATGCAAACTCCACACAGAAACGCAAACTGACCCAGCCATGGCTTGAACCAGAGACCTTTTTGCTGTTAGGCGAACGTGCAACCCACTGCACCACCGTGTAGAATATAAACTACCTGTCAAAAGTTTGAGGTCAGTTTTTTTTTTTTTTTTAAGAAAATGATTCTGGTCATCAAGGCAGCGTTTATTAAATGTGAAAAAATTGTTAAATATTTATTAAAATTTTAAATAACAGCTTTCTTACTGTATCTAGTTTTAAATGAATATATTACTTCTATCATAATTGTTTTTGTTACTATTACCAATAATAACAACAATAATAATAATAATAATAATAATAATAATAATAATAATGGGCGAAGCATTGGCGCAGTAGGTAGTGCTGTCGCCTCACAGCAAGAAGGTCGCTGGGTCGCTGGTTTGAGCCTCGGCTCAGTTGGCGTTTCTGTGTGGAGTTTGCATGTTCTCCCTGCGTTCGCGTGGGGGTGCTCCGGTTTCCCCACAGTCCAAAGACATGCGGTACAAGTGAATTGGGTATGCTAAATTGTGTGTATTGTATGAGTGTGTGTGTGAGTGAATGTGTGTGGATGTTTCCCAGAGATGGGTCACGGCTGGAAGGGCATTCGCTGCATAAAAACATGTGCTGGATAAGTTGGCGGTTCATTCCGCTGTGGCGACCCTGGATTAATAAAGAGACTAAGCCGAAAAGAAAATTAATGGCTCAAACCAGTGACCTTCATTCCGTGTTCTTGCTTAATATCAGAAGGATTTCAGAAAGATCATGAGTTTCTAAAGACCGGAGTAATAAAGCAAAAAAATAAATAAATAAAAAATCGTCTTTTAAAATCACTGGAAAAAATGATTAAATTAAATTATAGATTTAAATTATATATATATATATATATATATATATATATATATATATATATATATATATATATATATATATATATATAAAATATAGTTTAAATTATAAACTACATTTGAACAGTTATTTTATAGTGCAATAACATTTCACAATATGTACTGTATTTTTGATTAAATAAATGCAGCCGTGGTGAGCAGAATACGCTTATTTTAAAACATTTAAAAACCCTACTGACCCCAAACTTATGACTGGTAGTGTATGTAAAAAAAAAAAAACCTGGAATAATGCTACCTACAAAATCATATGAGGTTTTATATTAACGTGAAAGTGTAATAAGTTTGATAGGACTTTTCTACTTATATTGAATATTGAGCTTTTCTTCTTTGTACTTACACAAAGTACATATTGTACATATTGTACTTTTATTGTATCTTATATAACCTTCTTCTGCAATGTAGAAGTGTGCTCATTTCTGTGATTGCTTTAGAACTTCTGATTCAGTTGCCATTAGAAAGAAATTACTTAGAATAGTAAATGGCATAAAAAAGTCTAACTTGCTCTACAAACAAGTGTGTTCACATCTATACATAAAAATTAAATAATATTATTACAAAACATCAGTTGCAACATCAAGCAGCATAATGAGATGTTTTTATGGCTAAAAATGAATGGAAGCAAATGATCTGTTCACACTGCAAATCTGATATTGGCCACATTTATAAGAGCAGTGTGAACAGCCATGCAAAAAAAATCAGATTTGAGCAGTAAGCCTCGCAGTGTGAACATAGCAGTCTTGAGCCAATAAGGTTCAAATGCCCACTCGTGAAGAATGAGGTCTATACAGGGCGATTATGAATGCTTATTATTGCCCAGCTCCTTGCCATCTTCACCTGTAGAAATGTGATAGCGGTTTACTTCTTTTAAAACCACTACTTTTCATTATCTTGACTAGGCTGAATTAATGAAAGTATTCTTGTTCTACAGCATCAGCAGCGTAGCAGATCTCTCCACCAAAATCAAGCTTATATACACTGTAAAATTCTTAAATCAAATGAACTTTTCTTGTCATCTTTACTTATATCAATCAAACTAACTAAAAATATTAAGTGAAACTTTGCATAACTTAAAATATATAGTTGAAACCAAAAAAAACGCAGCTAATTATTACATTCTCAAGGAATAACAATTTTTGTATATTTTATGAAATGTTTTGTTCACCATTAGCAGTGTCAAAAAGTTCATCATTTAATTTAATTTCATTTTCCTTTAGCTTAGATCCCTTTATTAATCAGGAATCACCACAGTGGAATAAACCGCCAACTTATCCAGCATATGTTTTATGCAGCGGATGCCCTTCCAGCTGCAACCCAGTATAAGGAAACACCCAAACACTCTCATTCACACATACATAAACTATGGGCAATTTAGTTTTCAATTCACCTATAGCGCATGTCTTTGGACCGTGGAGTAAACCGGAACACCCAGAGGAAACCCACACATACATCGGGAGAACATGCAAACTCCACACAGAAATGCCAACTGACCCAGCCACGACTCGAACCAGCGAGTTCTTGCTGTGAGGCGACATTGCTAACCACTGAGCCACCATGTCGCCCACAAAAAGTGAATTATTAACAAAAAAAAAAAGGAATGTGTTCTCAACAAGCCAATCAGATGGTGAGCTCCGTACATACTTGTGGTCTTGAGAAAACCAAAACCCTCATGTGAATAAGAGATGATGTCACACAAATCCCGTCAACAAATATCCTCCCCAGTTAAACCCTGGCAGCTAGAATGACCACACTAAATTAGGTCAGTGGAAAAAAAACAACACTTTCTCTTTGGCCTACTCACTGCTTGAGTGGAACTAGTTGAAAACATAGACTGTTTACATAATCAACTGCTGCAGGACACCACAAAAGTCATTCCCTTTCTACATCTACATTTTAGATTGTGCCTAAAACAACCAAAAAATCCAAGTTTATGCTTGAACACCCCCACACACATGTCAAGAGTTTGAAAAGCAGTGTACTACACCACACTTTAACAAAAAATAAAAATCACATTAGCATTAGAATATTGAAAACATTGTATATGCAGCCTACCTGGAAAGTGCTGTGCTGGTGGTTATGTTCTGAGTGGCAGTTGCCTGTTATTTCAGCTCCTGTGTCCTGGATGTCATTTTCCTACCAGTGACAAAAGCTGCATTAAGTCTCCTACTCAAAAACTCTTGTCCAACTCCAGCCTCTGTCAGGACACAATCACATATGCAGTCCACGACTCTCAACTTCACTAAGAAAAAGGAAAAATGTGTCTACAGGACTAGCTAAACTCGATTTCAGAGCTGTGGGACACATAAACACAAACGCACCACTTGTTTTAGCAGCCTGGTGTTAGAATTCAAGAGACATTAATTATTCAAAGATTCCAGTAACCAGAAACCCACGAGCCACAGTTACTGAGACCCGTTCACCAAATACAGTCTAAAACCAAAGACCACCACCAGACCAAGTGGACTTGCAAAATATACAATGTGACACAGGTAACACAAATTTAAACAATTAAGCAAATCCTGCTTTGGATCTTTTGGATCTGAAGTTTTAATTTGCTAACCATGTTCAATATTGCATACATATGAACAGAATACAAATTCTTTCATCCTTTCCAGAACAAAAGTCATTTTAACCAAACCTCAAATTACCTTTCAAGTTGTAAAAGGGTGATTAAAATGAAAATAGGATTTAAATTATAATTGTTTTTTACTAGGTGAATTTCAAAGCTAGCATTTTGCATGTTACACACACATAATAAACAATTAAAGGTGCAGTAGGTGATTCTCTTCAGAAATATTTTTGTTGTGCTGGTTAAACGTCTCTTCACATTCCAATTGTAATGATTAAAGTAAATGATCTAAATGTAGGGCGTCATGGTCGAGGCAGTGGGTAGCACGATTCCCTCACAGCAAAAAAAGTTGCTGGTTCGAGCCCTGGCTGGGTCAGTTGGCATTTCTGTGTGGAGTTTGCATGTTCTCCACTTGTTTAAGTGGGTTTTCTGTGGGTTTTCTGGTTTCCCCGGAAGACATGCGCTGTAGGTGAATTAATTTTAGTGTATGTGTGTGAATGCAAAAGTGTATGGGTGTTCCCAGAATTGGGTTGCGGCTGAAAGGGAATCCGCTGCATAAAACTTATGCTGGATAAGTTGACGGTTCATTCTGCTGTGACGACCCCTGAATGACTAAGCCAAATAGAAGATGAATGAATGAATGATCTAAATGTGTTTATATGTATTTTATTATCAGGTTGACGCATACGACTAAGAAATGTGTATCTAATTAAAAATTATTGGGCTGACAAATAACTAATTTACGACAGGTAACTCAAACTGTCCATCAACAAATTTAAATGTGTATTTCTGTGCAGTCTCTTTACGCAGATAGATCAGTCATTTGCTCGTGCACGTTAAGCATGGCCACCTACATCTGACAAAGAGAGACATCAGGCAAACTCTGTATCAAATTGAAAGATTTCTTTCTGAAAGACCAGCGTGACCTTGTATCCATGAAAACAAATTTTATGTTTGGCTTCAGCCAAGATTGCAAAATCAAAACTTTTCTAAATCACGAATCAATATCAAAATTACTTTTGCACATTGGAGGGAAATGGCGTTAAGCAGTTCAAAACCACGATCTGAAGGATGACACCATGGTTGAAATATTACGTTTAGACACGTATGTTTTAAAACTATTTTAGTCACACAAAGCTGATGTAGATTTTGTTCTTGTTCATGAATGGGTTTATATGCACAGAGATGTTTTTTAGCCACTGAAAATGTCTGATGCTGTCATCGAAATATTACATTACAGCATCTATAATATAGTTGGTTAAATACACCTAAGCATTCGTTTAGTTGTTCAAGTGTAAAAGGAGATGAAAACAAGCAATGTACGTGAGGCTCAGCGAGCACAATTGAAAATGAAAAGTACGTCACTCGTTGACTTGGTAACGTAAGTGTAATGTAAAACAGTGACAGGATATTTCTGTTTTTATTTCTGTCCTTTGGTGAAGTTTGATTCATATTCAAACATTCGTTCATTTTTGAACTGTGAAAACTTGTGACATGCTCCTACTCTAATGTTACTTTGAATATTGGGTCTGAAATAGCGTGTAAATATGACTTCAAAACAAATTTATAGCACTATTTAATAGTGAACTGTGAACAATGTTGTATTTTAATCATTGGCTGATTATATGTGAAAAATACCTGAATTAAATTATATTATTAAGGAGAAAGATCGAATGTGCGAAAATAAAACCAACTTCACCCCAATGCCATTTTTGGAGAAATATAATTTCAGGACCTGTTGGCCTGTCAACTACAAAGTGCGTATCTCCATAGAGTTTTCTAACTGGTGAATCACATAATCTAATGTTATATAAGGTTGTCTATCATCATCTATTCAGCGCACATTCACACATTCATGACTTAAGGAGGCGTAGCTTTTGACAGCAGAGGAGGGATGTAAATTCCCTGTAAAATAAAGCTAGTATGCTAACGCTAGCAGATCAGCTAATGCACCTTTAATACTAATTAGAGCTTTATTTTTAAATAAACAATACCAATAAAATATGTTTTATATGACTTCTAAAAGAAAATCTAATAAAGAAATTCTAACAAAACCTTTATCTGTGTGGTGTGGAGGGGTAATATTAAAATACTTTGACATCATTACTATTTATAGATTATACACTCTTATTATTATTGTATTGTCAAATTTTATATTATTACATTTTTAAAAGTTACAAATATTGTTCAATATATGTAAAATTGTTATGTAATGTAATGGACACAACTGTTGACCTAATTTATTTCTTTTTTAAATTTTTTATTTTTTTATTTGCTTACTTAGATTCCTCTTTTTATTGTTATGTATTTTACAATAATAAATAGCATCAATGAACTTTTATGAATGTCTAATTTAAATATATCTGAAATCTAATATTAAAAAAACGTGTTGAAAACATGTCACAAATCACTAAGAACAATGGAACCGCATGCAAATGTCGTTACAGTAGCTGAAATTGTAATATTCCAGCAAGCATTTTTTGTTTTTAGAAGATGTCTAATAGACCTCTAAACATAGTCATCTGGGCTAAAACAAGGTTAAACTTGGGCTGTCAGTAAAAAAACTAATAGAAGTCTAAGAATAGGCCAAAACTAGACTAGTCATCAAATAAACAGAAATGAATGACTACACATATAAAGTCTGTTTAATTTAGGGATGTCCAAACTCAGTCCTAGAGAGCTGGTGTCCTGCAGATTTTAGCTACAACTTGCCTCAACACACCTGCAAGGATGTTTCTAGAAAGCCTAGTAAGAGCTTGATTAGCTAGCGCAGGTGTGTCTGATTGGGGTTGGAACTAAACTTTGCAGGACACGGGCCCTCCAGGACCGAGTTTGGGCACCCCTGGTCTAATCTGTCTATATGACGACTAGTCTAGTTTTGGTCTATTCTTATATGTCTATTAGATTTTCACTGACAGCCCAAGTTTAGCCTTGTTTTAGCCAAACTGTCTATGTTTAGTTGTCTATTAGACTTCTATTAAACACAAAATTGGTTGTTGGGATATTAGCAGTCAGAGAATTAGCCATTAATGACACTAATTGATGAACATACCTACTTATATCGCTGCAATCATACATGCTAACTTTGTATAGACTGAGCTGAGCTCTACTAAATAAAACTTCATCTGATATTCTCAGATGACCTGAGTAATTTACATTTACACATATACAATATGAATGGAGGTATTTACCGGTAAAGGTTTGGTAACTCCAATGCGTACAGTTCCCAAAGCAGTGCTCTTGAGAACATGAACGGCCTGAGCCAGACTCGCGTGGCTTAAATCAGTCTGGTTCACGAACATCAAGCGGTCGCCTGGCAACAAGCGCCCATCTCTATCTGCCAAGCCGCCTGGTACAAGAGAGCGGATCACTATCACAGTACGGCCTGGGTTCACAGGGTCCTGAGAGAGTTTCAGAAAGTGACAGCACAGGGGAGAAAGGCAAGAATAGTAATAAATTAGGAGACATTGCTGCCATGTTTGTAGAGGCAGTTCAAACCAACTGGGACTCCCCGAACCAACTCATGTGCAGCTCAAACTCTGCTGCTCTTATGTTGTTGGGAGTACTGGTAAATAAACACTCACACACCTGGTAGTCTAGTATACTGAATCCCAAGCCAGAATCGCCTTTCTGCAGCTCATAAACTTCAATCTCGTTCTCCCACATGGCCTGATGGGACAGAACAGGAGCCTCTGACTTCAGATCCTCCTCTCTGAGAGCAAAGACGCTCCCAAATATGTTCTGCTCTGCCTGTGAGAAAATGTGATGAGTATTATTCTGCAACATATTTTAGCTCATTTAGAAAGACAAGCAAATGTCTATTATGTAATTTTACATTCTTCACGTTGCTACATGTTTCTTTGAGAATATATGATTGCCAAAAACAACTTGTTGTTAGTACCAGTTGTATGGCAATTTAAATGTGTTTTATACATTACAAGAACTTGTATGTACATTACAATTATTCTTGTATTCACCAGCTCCTTTAATTTTCACCCTCTTTATGTTTCAAGGAGGAAAATCAACCATATGAGTAGGGCCAGATGGAATCTGCGCAGAATTGTGTTAAAATCTGCTGATTTTTGCGAAATTATTTTGGGAGTATCATAACTAAAAACTTATAATAATACCTTTTTAACTTGTAATTAATGTTTGCAATGCAAATCCAATTAGATCCGCTGTATTTGGTAAACAAAGTAAGTCTCTCATATAATATCTCTACTAAAAGACAGAAAATATTACTTGACAAACTGCACTGTAAAAAAATCATATGAATAGTTTTGTATTAACCAATAAAATTACTATAATTAATTTAAAAACTAAATAAATATATAGTTTACACACATTTACACAAGTAAATAAACAGAATCAGTGATGGGCTAAAAATCTGTGGAAATTAAGCGGAATTCTGCACCTGCAGATTCTGTGTGGGCCTACATATGAGTTTATTGGAGAATGAAAATATGGGAGAATAAATACTCTTGGACTTTTAAAGACTTTTAAAATTGTACTTGTTATGAAAAAAAAAAACTTTAAAAGACTATAATTAGGTTTGTGGACATATAATTGCATGTCAACTACAGTGAAATTAAAAGGTATTGTTTTTAAATTTATATTAAATGCAACAGGTCCTAGTTTAAAGTCTTTTTATAATTGGCAAAATTGTCTTAGAATCATATCTTGACAAGCATTTATGGTTTATGACATTTAAAGTAAGCTTTTATGTAATTTCCACTGATACATGTTTGTCATGAGTTTAATTACATCTGTAAATTCACATTTGCATAGAAAATTATCATCTATAAAATAATGTTATAATTATAACTATTTTAGTAAATCCATTATTTTCCTCAGAAATCTATAACGTGCCACAATGATAATCTGCAAATCTTCGCTAATTAAAAAAAAGACAAAATAACAATGATAAATCACATGTACATAAGTATCCTCAGACTTTCTCAGGTTTTTGTTTAAGCAGCAATTGCAGCAATTACAGTCCCAAATGTTTTTGGGTGTTGCAAACTTGGCACATTGTTGGATAGTTACTCCTATTTTTTCTTTGCAGGACCTCTCAATCTCCATCAGTTTGGGTGGAAGCCTTTGTTCATAGCCATTTTCATATCTCGCCATAGGTGTTCAATCAGGTTTAAGTCTGGGCTCTGGGTGGGTCACTCAAAGACACTCACAGAGTTGTCCCATAGCACTTCTTTTGCCATCCTGGCTGTGGTGCACAAATTTTCAATCTTTGTTTTATCAGACCAGAGAATTTAGTTTATCATGGTCTGAGAGTCCTTCAGGTGTCTTTTGGCAAACTCAAGGTGAACTGTCAATTGGCTTTTTAAAAATTATATCGGACACAGGCTCATTGGGGATATGTGTTTTGGGCTACAATTTTGGAAACTGTGAAATATGTGCCCGGGGCTATGTTTAGCTGCATTGTATAAACCTCTGTTCTTTTTCGCACTACTGCTGAATGTTTACCTCCGTATGGACAGCTTTTCCAGAGCAAAAACTTTGCTCTGTATCTCCACTCATACATCATCAGACTTGGGGCAGAGGATGCTTCTAGAACCAAATTGCTCCCCCCCACAAAAAAATGTGTGAAATCATGATTAATTATGCACCCTTGACAGCTTTTCTTTTCAAGTTTGCGTTAGAAAAGACTATTGGTTGGGTTTAAAGAAGGGGGTGACTGAGTCAGTCAATAGCATGCTGATATATGCAATGCAAACCGGCATTTCTCATTGACGTGAGCAAGAAGGACATTGGGATTGGCAGAAATGTACATAGTCGCCCCTAGGTGGATTCATGAGTAGGATGTGTAAATGGCACATGTAAGAAAACGTGGGAGTAGGGGGGGCTATGGGACAGGTGTCGCGGACAAACGTGAAGAGAGTTGTGGAGTCACGGATGACAGTGAGAAACGGGACGTGTGAGGAGAGGGATCTGTAAAATGCCGGATAAGATTTCAAAGTTGCCGGATCTGATTTGTTCTGGCACAAATGAAACAAATGAAATGAGCAAGTACAGTTGAAGTCAGAATTATTAGCCCCCCATTTTTTTTTTTTTTTTTTTTAAAATATTTTCCAAAAGATGTTTAACAGAGCAATGAAATGTTCACAGTATGTCTGATGATATTTTTTCTTCTGGAGAAAGTCTTATTTGTTTTATTTTGGCTAGAATAAAAGCAGTTTTTAATTTTTTAAAAGCCATAATAATGTCAAAATTATTAGCCCCATTGAGCTATTTTTTTCGAAAGTCTACAGAACAAACCATCGTTATACAATAACCTGCCTAATTACCCTAACTTGCCTAGTTAACCTAATTAACCTTGTTAAGCCTTTAAATGTCGCTTTAAGCTGAATAGGAGTGTCTTAAAAATATTTAGTAAAATATTATTTACTGTCATCATGGCAAAGATATAATAAATCAATTATTAGAAATTAGTTATTAAAACTATTGTCTTGAAATGTGTTGAAAAACATTTTTCTGACTTCAACTGTATCTCCAATGTTGATAATGTTTTTCTGAGCCCTTGCCCAGATCTGTGCTTTGATACAATTTTGTCTTGAAGGTCAACCTTAAGCTTCATGGCTTGGTTTGTGCACTAAAATTCAATTTTAATTGTATAGAGATTTGTGTGCCTTTCCAAATCATGTGCGATCCACTAGTCAACCATGGGTGGACTCCAGTAAAGTTGTAGAAACATCTCAAGGAGGATCAGTGAAAACAGGACATACCTGAGCTCTATGGTTACATGGATGTAATTTTTCTTTTAAACATCATAATGCAAAGATACAAAGTAAACCTTTTCATTAAATTCTGCAAGTAGCTCCTTAAGTGTGAGCTGAACATCATCATCTTCTTCCTCACTGACTCTGGGTGGGATGAGACGACTGCAAACCACACAAACATTCATAGGCAGTTCCTTAAGCAAGCTCACCACCTCCTTGTGTGTCTCACCAATCAGAGAAAAGCCGTTCACCTACAGACAGAACAAACACATCAAGTCGCTCATTCTGCTGAACTGATCCTCTGGGCTTTTCTACTGACAGGAAGGAAGGGCTATTTTTAAATAGCTGTCATGATTGATATTCATGTGCAGTCAGCACTGAATAAAGTGCTATGCATAAAAAAGCAGAATGCAGAAAGAAAGATGAGCCCTTTCTGCTATTATGCATGCATGCGTTAGCAGGGTTTATGATAAGGGATTACAACAGCATAATCTATAAACAACAGTATTATCTGTATGTAATGCTTGTTTGACTTTCAAGTATAACCAAATACAATGTTTTCATTAGCTTATTTTCTCAGGTATATGAATTCAGTAGTGTTAATAGAAATATAAATACTACTTGAGAGAACCTCTATCAGTTCATCTCCAGGATGTATGATTCCTGTTTGTCCTAATGGACCCTCTGGCAGTATTGAGCAGATATAGTGATGACCTTCTTTAGCCTCCAAGCTCACACCAAGACCACTGCTCTCAATGAATTTCTCTACCTGGGTCACCTGCACATAAACGCAATGCAAATCCAAAATAAATATAAACATAGTAGCATCTACATATTAATATACATCAGAAACAAAATGGCATATGAAAAGACACACAATGAACATAAACATGCTGACACATGCTCTGAAATCTCAGCCATGGAAAATAACAGTCAGCTAAACAGGACAGAATACAAATGAGACGCACCAGGACTTCATACTGAGGACCCAGTTTGCTTTGCCACTTTTCCTTCAGTGATTTCTCCTCATCGTCAGACAGTTTGCAGCCTGAAATCAAATTTCAAAAGCATCACACAGCTAATAACTACACGAAAAGACTGAGGTGACTATATTTTTTTATTTTTATTTTGCCAGTCAAATTTGTGATAGAGTCAACTACATATCTACTCACATCTATTTCAGAAATTATCAAGCAAACAAGAGACATCTTAAAGAAATATTTTGGATTATTTACAGTTTAGAGAGCCAATTTATCTCAGAATGAAAAATAAAAATAATTTCTCACCCCAAGTTGTTATGACCCCAACTTATGTGAAATAAGTGTCTTATCTCTTTACTCAGAATGCTGAGTAAAGATGAAAGCATTTTCAATTTAAGGGAACTGACCTTTTAATGTTTTTGGGCAGCATTTGCGACTTGTCAATTATCTGTAACTTTTTAATGTAAATAATTAAAACGTTAGTTTTATAATGGTGTTGTGTCTTTATTTTGGTCAGGGCACCCTGTTTTTTTATTGTTTAAAATTTTCCTGAGGCCAAATCCAATTATATCCCAAATCTAAAAATCTTTATTAAACTGTTGAGGGGTAAAGAAATACATTTTTAAATATTTGTTGACATTCTTAAAGGTGCTGTATGTAGGTTTTTGACACTTCTAAAGCATAAAAATAAAATAATATGTTTGTAGATATTTAAGAAACACGTTAAATGAACATTCTTGTTTATCTGAAAAACTGTATACATGCTGGATTATTTGTCTTTGTTTCGGTTCTTTTAAACCAGTCCAATGCCACTTGAGCCAATTATATTTCAGCACCCAGGGTTGACTTGGTTGAAAACTGCGTATTTCATTTATTTATTCATTCCTTTATTTATTCAGAAAGGCTCTTAAAGCATGCGTCTGTGACTGAAATGCGACCTCTGGTGGACAGTAGCAGACTCCTAAATGAGACGCAAATTCAGAGTTCCACTTTAGGTAATTAATTAGCAAATTATATAAATATTACGTAACGTAAACATTAGGTGAGCAGATTATATTGTAACCCTGTCTTCTAATATCACACTATGTGACTAGATTTGCAATGATAAGCAATTTGGCTGTTTCCTGCAGACGAAACATGACAGAAATTTAAATAAGGCCTTTCAGCAGCTAATTAATACATATTAAACATCTTTAACATTACAAAATGTACATACTGAATCACTGATATGTGTTTTGTTCTAAAGTTCAGTTTCAAAAGGTTTATTTTCTTTCAAGATCTCAGGTGAACTATCTGCTGCTGCTTTCAGTAGTATGGCAAGAAATGTCATGTTAAATGGCATTCAAACCCACATTGTTAGCATTTCACACTGAATAAAGCACATGCGTTGTACCTGAGGTGTTTACTGTCAGTTTATCCTGTTGTTCAGCTCCAAGAAACAAAAACCGTTTTAAATATATCAATTCAAGGTGTTGGTTAGAAAAAAAATTACTTTTAATATGGAAATTATTCTTTCTATTGCATGCCATTGCTTTTATGTAGAATACGATTTATTGATAGTTAAGACTCGCTCCTCTTGGCCCACTGGGTGTCAAATTTACATACTGCACCTTTTAGTATTATTCAAATCATTATTTTAAATGTAACAACAATAAATAGTTATCCAGTAAATTCCTAAAAACTGCTACGTCTTGGGGCCTCTGAAATATTGCAGAAAATAGGGGGGGCATGGAATCTTAAAGGTCAGAACCACTGACCTAGATATTAAACACAAGTTAACTTTGGGTTTAGCACATTTGCTTGGCCCTGCTTGCTCCTAATATCAGATGCCATACTTACAGGTTCTGCTAATTTCAGTATTAAAATTATTGCAAAATACATGATTTGAAGCAGTGATCTGAAATATTTCAATAAACTAGACAATTATCAGTGCACTAACAAACCTGAGACATGAGTGATGAATGAATACAGAAGAAATTAAACTGTAAATAACCGAGAACATCCCTTTAATATGATGTGTCGTGTTCTTACATGAGGACTTGTGGTTTCTACTCTCCGTCTTGGACAGTAAACAGCAGGTTTGCGATGATCTAACTGAGGTCAAAGAGTGAACAAACAGAAACAGAAGCTGTTATTAGAATCACAGTTATTGAGACTTCACACAGAGAACAGGCCAAAGTGAAGCAAAAGTCATGAATCAAGCACAGTGTGAATGGATGTAAATAAACCTAAGTGACGAGTTTCACTAACAGCACTCTTTGTTGAAGTTGAAGTCCAGGCGTTCAGTGTAGAAAACTTTCCCTGGGGGCAGAACTGGCTTTTGCTCTGGCAGACGTGGAGGCAGCGGCGGGGGGAGGAGACCCAAAGGGGTCAAGGGTCTCTGGAAGTTTGTGGACGTTGAGGGGGTTGTTTGGGTTTCACATGGTGAGCACTTTTTCGGAAGATGGAGCTCCACTTGTTGGCCAGTTATAAGCAGAATTTCCTCTGGATTTCGTTTACTGCAGTCATGTTGAATTTTACCATCCACCTACACACACACGGACATGTTAAATAATATTAATACAGTAATCAAATATTACATACAGTTTTTATTATACAATACTACTTCTACTGCTACTCCTACTACTACTACTAATAATAGGAAGAAGAAGAAGGACTATTCATTTTCAAATTCCAAATCACACTTCTATAATTTATTCATATTCATATATTAAAACTACATTGCTTTTTTTTTTTTTTATAATTGACTGTATTTATGATAAATACAAGTATTTTTTTTATGCTGACTTTGAGTGGCAATATGTCATAGCTTCCACAAACAAACAATTTGATAACAATTGTTAACAATTTTGGCTCTTAAAAAATGAAAATCAAGAAAATCAGTGCTACTGTTTGTTGTTGGTTTTGTTTATTTTCATGGCTTTGCCCCCTGGCTCTAACTTAAGATTCACTCTGTGTTTAGAGCTCAGAACGATTCCTTTCATGATCAGATAGATCAAGCTAAATTTAGATCTGGTTTCCAGAATTTCACATTTAAATTTTCCTTAAAAGAGACACAGAGAGATTGAGGATAACAAATACAAAACGTTTCATTTGTCTAACAGAGATAAAGACATTTTTAAACATATTTCAATGTCAAAGCTCAGGATAAAATAAGCCTTGGATAAAAAAATACACTAAACCATCTGTTACACAAAGTATAAACAAAAGATATTATTAAATGAAAACTGCTGGGTTTATAGCTACTGCAAACATTTTAACAAAGTATTTACACCATCCATGCATGAATAATATGTCACTGATTGATGAAGGTTCCAATACTGAATATTTTTTCCAAAATCTGACCACTAAGAAAGGATGCTTTCTCTAAAGACACATTCCTCGTTGGAATGGAAGAACATTAATTCATATAAGCTGTGTGAACATGATCACTGTACAATGTTGTGTTCACTTTAAGCATACATCCAGTTTGCCATGCTTAGCACTCACATTTATCAAAACCCAACCCAAAGTCTGGGAGTTTTCCTAGGCTTATCAGGGGCTCAGGTTGAGTAGCAGACATCTGAGCAACTCCCCCATGCTTCTTTGAAACAATGTAGCGCCATCTGGAAAATCTTCAGTCTTTCTCAGGAGGAGGAACATGTTTTATGGCCTCCTTGCCCATTTCTTGCTCCATTCTCAAAAGCCAGCTCAAGGTTGCCCACTGTAAGCAAGACCCCGATCAACTGACCCTTCACAAACATTGCCTGCACTTCTCTTTGTCCAACTTTTGCTTTTGTGTTCTCCCAAAGGAAATAGGGAGTAATGTCTGGAAAAATACATTCTGATTTCAGACAGAAGCAGGCATAAAAACTGCAATATGCAAACAAGGTGTATGTTCAGGATGCCACAATAACTCGAAATGAATATAAAAAAAATGATTGAAGATAAAGCCTACAATCTCCTGATGATGGGTTTGTATCCTTTGAATATAGTTAAAATGTTCCATGTTGGATCCATAACATAATTCACAAACACACACATACTGTACGGGGCATCTCGAAAAAGACAAAACTATAATGCATCTATGAAACTATTAGAGACAGTAAAGATTAATTCATTGTGTATCTGGGTCTCCAGGCTATTCAGTTAGCTCATCTCACTTGTTATCTTCTGACTTCTTAGCTAGTTAACTGTTGTTGTTATTTTACCAAATCACAAACCCCATTTCCATAAACTAAAGTTACGTGCACTGTCCCAGTTCCCTACTAAAAATGATTAGTTCATTTGTCTCGAGTCCTCGCATTTTAAGTCATTTGTTCAGCAGTAGTGACAGCACTGTAGATTGACAGTTGATGGTAATCCATCTATTTCTCCAGGTTTCAGTAAAGATTCAATTTTATATTGCCCATACGTTCAGTGTACCTGCTGTGTGCATTGAAAGTCTCATAAAAAGAACAATGTCACCATCTTTCAATTTAATTGCCAATGTTACCTTACTCCGACGCCTGTCGGACAACATGGTGGACAGTAACGGGGGCACATACTACTGCTATTATAGTTGACTGGATCACCTTTCTATCAAAACGCTGTGAAAGGGTCAATTGAAGAAGAGAAGAATAAAACTTCTACTGTCAGCAGGACAGAAACTAAGCTACACTTAACAGATATGATGCTGATTGATGATCCAGCAAAGAAACCAGCCTCTCGAGACTAGTCTCTGGCATTTATAGGGCCCTAAAGTGGACAAACACGGAAGAACTGAAGGGACTATTCATGAGCACTCCTTCGAGAGGACGAGCCTCTTGGTGCTGCAGCGTTCTTGGTTAGTCTCTGAAATATGAACTCACTGGGAACCACTGAACACTACAGTGATGCAGAGAGCTGCAGAGATGGCTTCAAAACTTATTGAGGACTTGGGTAACAGCACTGCAAAAGAGGCCAGGAGGTGAATGTTTGGAACATTTTTCTGACTTTTTGGAAAAAAGAGAGAAATCACTGTGACTTGGTGGTAGGGAAATAGTACTGTTTTACTAGACAGTGCTGTGTTTAGCTATTTGTGTGACATCACATGAAAGGACAGTAAACTCTCTATTAAGTATTTCTCTTACAACCCCAAATCAGAAAACGTTGGGACAGTATGAAAAATGTGAATAAAAGTGAAAGTAGGGATTTCCATATTTATTTTGACTTGTATGTCATTGCAGACAATATGAACACATAATATTTCATGTTTTGTCTGGTCAAATTAATATAATTTGTAAAACTACACCCTTTCTTGTCCTTCAGACCGGCAACATATTTAAAAAAAAAAGGGACAGGAGCAATTTAGGGCTAATGATCAGGTAAATTGGTTAAATAATGATGTGATTTAAAACAGGTGATGTCAACAGGTGATTGTAATTATGATTTGGTACAACCGCAGCAAAGATTGAAAGACATTTTTATATTTCACCTTTAACATGACATAACCTAATTAAAAGGTTCAGGAAATCTGGAGGAATTTCAGTGTGCAAAGGACAGCAGTGCAAGCCCAAGCTGAACAACTATGACAACTGCGGTTGTGGTGAGCTCTTTTATTAAGGCAAGTCACCTCTGTTGCTCCCCGCCAAGCAGTTAGCACTCGGGCAGGCCTGAGGGTTACAGTGTGGGCTATTTCGTCGCCTTTGGGTCCGCAGAATTTTCAAAAGAGCAGTTTCCTCTCTCTCCGGATGCGCAAACCCGAGCACTGCCAGCCTGGGACGCTTTGCCTTCCACCTCGCAGCACCGGGACTCTTCACATCAGGCCCTCAGAGTGCAGCAGAACAGACTCCTTTCTCTCACTCCTGCCTCACCGCGCGATCCAGGGAGAAAGGTAAGAGAAATTCTTTTATTTTTAGCTCTTCCTCGGGACGCACTGCTTCCTGGGATGAGCACTCCCATCCTGAGCTGCGCCTCCACTGGCACGTCAGCGATCACTCCGATGGTGCCATTAGTGCGCGCTCTGCTGGCCTGGGAAGCGCCGCTTAGTGTGTCACGGTGGCTCATACGGATGGTCAGACTCGGCTGTGCGATTCAGTTCACTGTCCTCCCAAGTTCATGGGTGTCCTTTTCACAAGGGTTATTCCCGAGAGAGTCCTGCTGGCGAAGGATGCAATCGAGCAGGTCCCTTCAGCCGAGATGAGGTCCGGGTTTTACAACCTGTATTTCATCGTGCCCAAAAAGAGTGGGGGGTTAAGGCCAATCCTAAATCTGCGCAGACTGAACTGTCATTTAAACAAAATGCCTTTCAGAATGCTTACGCAGAAACGCTTGCTTCAGAGCGTCTGTCCACAGGATTGGTTTGCAGCCATAGACCTGAAGGACGCAAATTTTCACGTCTCAATTCTTCCACGCCACCGCCCTTTTCTCTGGTTTGTGTTTGAAGGATGGCAATACAAAGTCCTGCCCTTCGGGCTCTCTCTGTCTCCGTGTTTTTTCACCAAGCTCGCGGAGAGTACTCTATCGCCACTGCGGCTTGCCGCATCCGCATACTCAACTATCTCGACTACTAGTTAGTTGATTTTGCATAGAGACAAAGTGCTTTGGCGTCTCGATCAGTTGGGGTTTCAGGTCAACCGAGAAAAGAGCAAACATTGCCCTGTGCAGAGGATCTCTTATCTCGGGCTGGAGCTGGATCGGTCGCTATAGTTGCGCGCCTCTCCGAGGAGAGCGCCAGGCTAATGCTTTCCTGTGTAAACAAGCTCGACAGGAAAATAGTGGTCCCACTGAAACATTTTCAGAGGCTCCTGGGACACATGGCATCCTCAGCCGCAGTCACGCCACTCGGTTTGCTCCATATGAGACCACTTTAGCGTTGCTTCGCGATCGAGTTCCCAGACTGGCATGGCACACGGGCACCCACCAGGTGCATATCACTCCGCTGTGTCTCCACACCCTCAGCCCCTGGACGGATATGGCTTTCTACGGGCCGGAGTGCCCCTAGAGCTAGTATCCAGGCATGTTGTCATAACAACAGATGCCTCCAGCTCAGGCTGGGGGGCTGTGTGCAATGAGCATGCAGCCGTGGGTTCGTGGTCCGGAGCTCACCTGCATTGGCATATCAACTGCCTGGAGCTGTTGGCAGTGTATCTGGCTCTCCGCTGCTTTTTACCGGTGCTGGAGCAGAAACACGTGCTGGTCAGGACGTATAGCATGGCGATGGTGACTTATATCAACCGTATGGGGGGTATACGCTCTCGCCGCATGTCTTAGCTCACTCATCGTCTGCTACTTTGGAGTCACACTCGGCTGAAATCGCTGCCTGCCATTCACATTCCGGGCGAGCTCAACAGTTCAGCTGATGCAGTCTCATGGCAGCTAGTGTCCCAAGGACAGTGGAGACTCCACCCCGGTTTGGTCCAGCTGATATGGGCGCGCTTTGAGGAAGCCCAGATCGATCTGTTTGCTTCCACCAAGAACGCACATTGCCGGCTGTTTTATTCCCTGACCGAGGCCCCCTTTGGCACGGATGCACTGGCTCACAGCTGGCCATCGGGCACGCACAAATATGCGTTTCCCCCAGTGAGCCTAATCGCACAAAATTTTTGCAAATTCAGGGAGGACGAGGAGCAGGTCTTTTTTGTTTTTCCCCTCTGGCCCAATCGGACATGGGTTTCGAAGCTCACACTCCTCTTGGCGGCCCCTCCTTGGTGCATTCCTCTAAGGGAGGATCTCCTCTCTCAGGGATGGGGTACCATCTTGCATCCACACCCAGACTTCTGGAACCTCCATGTGTGGTCTATAGATAGAGCGCGGAAGCCTTAGGTGACTTACCGCCCGCGGTACTTAACACCATCACTCAGGCTAGAGCACCCTCAATGAGGCAAGCCTACGCCCTGAAGTGTAGTCTATTCTCTAAGTGGTGCGCTTCTCGCCGAGAAGACCCCGAACTTGACAGATTAGCATTGTGTTATCCTTCCTTCAGGATAAGCAGGAGCGTAGGCTGTCACACTGAAGGTTTACGTGGCTGCGAGCTCCGCTCATCATGACGCGGTGGATGATATATATATATATATATATAGTCCGTAATGTACTTTCTATAGATATTCTGTAGTTATGTAATAATATATGTAATATAATGTAGTTGTTTAGATTGCAACTATGCAGTTTATTTTCTGTCTGATCTCATATCAAGTAAAGGCCCAATATGTCAGATATTAAGTAGAAATAATAGCTTTGAGGGTAAAATGGTCAATTAGAGTCATTTAAAATTACATTTGACAGCCATCTTTTACTATCTAATGAGTATAAACTGCTAATGTTTTAGTTCATCATTAGCAATCATTTAAGAAGATGTCTAATCTTATCTTTTTTTTCTGCACAAAACCCATTATAATATTACTTTATTACAGTTTTACATATGGCTTCATCTTCAATTAGTGTGAGACAGCTCCAAATGAGATTTTTCAGCGCTTCTGTGTGTTAAGATAAATTGTTTTAAACCTAAACAACCACTTTCTAAACGCCCTTTATTCTTTTGAACCCTAATCATTACAGCTTGAGTTATGCATTTATTTTTATGCTAAATAACTCTGGCTACAACATTTCTATTGAAAACATTGACACTTCACAAACAATCTGTCTATGCATGCTTTAATTTTTGGAGAAACTGGTATACATTCTAGTATTATTGTATGAGGTCAACTTGACCTTGGTAAAAACACAATAAAAGAAATGACAATAAACAACTGACAAAAGTGTGTTTCTGCAGTGTGAGCACTAGTCAGAAAATCTCTTTAATGTTTTATGGATTATTTAATGTTTGATATCTGAGGTCTTTAAAACCCCAAACATAGCTAATGCAATATTTTATCGAAAGACGTTTGAAGTGTGTTATGTAATTCTCTTTATAATAAGCTCTGATTGGAAATGTCATGAAGTATTAACCTGACAATTCGATGTTAAGTACATTTTTTAAGATTCCAAAATGGCTTTGAGTTCTCTGCGACCCTAAACAGAACACGAGGGTTGGCTAATGACAGATTTACACAAATGCAAACACAGAACAAGCAGCAATGCTATTAGTCATACATGACCATTCAGCCTTAAAAAAAACACTATAATAAAAATAATCTGCCACACAACACTCTCTCACACATACATTTCATGGAGACTTTCTATGGATATAAGATTTTTTGTACATTACGGACTATATATTCTGTCTACTTACCCCAAATCCCAAACATCACTCCAACACCCAATAAACACTCATAGAAAATATTTAGCCAAATTAAAAAGATAAAATATACTTCAATCTCTATGATTTTAAGCTGTTTTCCTTATGGGGTAAAAAAGCTTTACAATTAAAACTTATACTAGTACATTTGAAACATACACACACACACACACACACACACACACACACACACACACACACACACACACACACACACACACACACACACACACACACACACACACATCTAATGCTACAGTTTACTTCACATGTCCATGCAAGGTAAGCAAAAAGAACCATGGAAGAAAAAATAAATATCTGTATTTTACTTACGCTAATAATGTGACCTCCAATGCCAATATGTCCATCCTTATCCACTGTGTTCCCTTTTTTCCACTTTTGCTCAACTGTATCCTGTAGAAAGATAATGCTTCATTTATTATGATTCAACACACAATTTTCAGTTTAAAAACATAATACAGTGAAGTGAATTATATAATAATGAATTAGTTTTCATGTTTGAATTTTTTTCGTTGCTGTTTTTGATTTATCCCTTTTTTAATTTACACTGTACATTCACCTTCATGTTATTACAAATGTATATGTTTGTTCTTTTTATTAAAATCCAAAATAAGATTTTTTTATTTGAATTTATTCTCAATTCAAACACAACAGAACATATTTTGAAGAATATTAATTATAAAACATTTTTCAGATACTACTGATTTAATTTATTTAAATTAACAGAATAGAAGAGAAAATAAAACATTTAGTTCAAAATATTTAGTTTTGTATTCCAAAAGCAAAGAAGGCCTCACAGGTCTGGGACAACATGAGGTTTTAAATTTTGACATTTTTGGATGGACTAGGGGTGTTTGGCTCTGGGTTTTTTGGAGTCAACTCCAAATCTTGACTTCTAATTTTTGAGTCGGTGGAATCGACTCCATTTACATCACTTAAAATAGAGCAAGGATTAAACTTGCTGTATCATATCCCGCTTTAAACAATACTACTGCATCAATTGCAGCTTTACATTGTGCAGTTCTCAGAATATAGCAGCAGCCACTAGCCTAACATTACATCATCATTTTACCTGCAGTACTAATTTAAGACATCAATCCGATCCACTCAAAATTCACACAGATATCCTATATCTGATTTTTAACACAGCAAGCTTGACATTGCAGGCAGATCCAAACCAAAATGCTTTAAAACCGAAATGGAAAAAAAGCTGTAAGTGCTTTATAGGAATTTGAAAACGAATGCAAACTTCATCTCGCAGCAGTATTTAATCACCTAGAGTGCTTATATTCACGAAATTCAAAAGCAAAAGCATTATAACTTTAGAATGTAACTGATTCATTCAGGAGGATTTGAAAAAACAGACTCGACTCAGAGTCGATTTCTGTCCTGGAGTCGACTCCGGTACTTAGTCCATTGAGAGTCGAGGGATCGACTCTTTTGGAGTTGACTCCCCATCCCTAGGATTGACTATTTCTTAATTATGGTTGGTAACACATACAGTTGAAGCCAGAATTAATAACCCTCCTCAATTATTAGCCCCGGTACATTTTTTTCATCAATTTCTGTTTAATGGAAAGTTTTTGTCAACACATTTCTGAGCATAATAGTTTAATAACTCATTGATAATAACTTCTTTTATCTTTGCTACGAGGACAGTAAATAATATTTTACTAAATATTTTTCAAGATACTATTATTCAGCCTAAAGTGACATTCATTCATCTATTCATTCATTTTCTTGTCGGCTTAGTCCTTTTATTAATCTGGGGTCGCCACAGCGGAATGAACCACCAACTTATCCAGCAAGTTTTTACGCAGCAGATGCCCTTCCAGCCGCAACCCATCTCTGGGAAACATCCACACACACATTGCCTAAAGTGACATTTAAAGGCTTAAGGTTAAGTCATTGTATAACAATGGTTTGTTCTAGACAATCTAAAAATATATATAGCTTAAATTGGTTAATGATAGTGACCTTAAATCTTTTTGAAAGATTGTCAAACTGCTTTGATTTTAGCCGAAATAAAACAAAAAAGAGTTTATCCAGAGGAACAAATATTATCGTAAATACTGTGAAAAATTCCTTGCTCTGTTGAACAACATTTGGTAAATATTTAAAAAATAATTATAATTATTAATAATTAGTTAATAATTTGCTGTATCTTAGATAACTGTATCTGTTTTTAATAACAGTTTGGTGATCTGTCAATCAAGTATAAAAAGCATGAAAATACCATAAAAGTAACAAACACGGCAGAAACAGACTGTAGTTTTCTACATTCTACTGGTTTCACAAAAAAAATACGTCGAAAGGGTTGCAAAACAATGAAAGTGAGTATGTGAAAAACCTTTTTGAGTGACCAATTCATACCACAGTTTATACAAACAAACTCAAAAATAAAGACATACATACAAATTTTAAGAGAAACACTTTTGTACTATTTAGGTATTAATATGTAACTTTGAGGTTAATTAATATGGACCTTTTAGGTACAAATTTGTAACTTTTAAAAAGGTACCACGCCAGTGACAGCTCGTGTACCTTTATTTCTGAGAGTGTAGATACAAACACACCCATACTCATACCCACCCACACACATACCCTCATTCGCACCTGTTTTTTCTGAGTATCCTGTTGCAGTGCAGAGGCAGGTAAGGGGTCACTATCAGTGATTTCTCTGGCAATGATGAGTCTCACATGGGTACCAGCGACACGGAGCTCATGAGCCACTTCCTCACTGCCCATTTCAGACACATCCACATCCCCGATACTGAGAAGAAGATCACCACTGCGCAACCTCCCGTCCTTTATGAGCAAACACAATAACACACGTCAAGTAATTTGGGCACTCTTCATGAAGCTGAATCTGCTTGCATCCATAAATTAAATTCTATTGTATATGAATCCATTGTCGCAAATAGTACCTTTCCAGCTACACCGTCAGGTATGATGGTTTTGACCATGGTACCTGTACTCCGTCCTCCAATAATGCCAAATCCCAGGCCTGATCCATCATTCTCCAACTCAACGTGATAAATTTGTCGAGGCTGGGGAACCAAATTTAAAATATGGGTCATGACTGTGAGGAAATGCCTTATTTTTAGATACAACCCCAAACTCAATTACTGAACATTTCCAGAATTTCCACCATTAACATAGCATGTCCTACTGTGTAATAAAAATGTTTGGCGACTTGGCTCAAAACCTCGAAGTTGAGACACCTTCATTCTATGAAAACTAGCTAATCTATCCTAATATAACATCACATACAAAAAAAAAAATCCTTATTAGATGAATGACAAAGAAATAATGGGTGACACAGTGGTGCAGTAGGTAGCATTGTCACCTCACAGCAAGAAGGTTGCTGGTTAAGTTGGCGGTTCATTCCGCTGTGGCGACCCTTGATTAATAAAGGAACTAAGCCAAAAAGAAAATGAATAAATTAACAAAAAATAATGTAAAATATATGTATTATTCCTCCACATTTTCAAAACCTTCCTTTAGTTAAATTCAACTTTAAATCAGATTTTCTGAGATTTCCAAATATTTAATTTCAGACTTTTTAACAAGTTGCAAAGTAACAAGTAGTACAGTGAAGGCTTTTATATTATTGAAAATGATTTCTATTCCAAACGAACACGTTACAAATGTTCTTTTGTGAAAGATCAAGTGACACCAACATCTGCTGTCATGCATGTTAAAAATTTCAGTTTTGCCATTACACGTGAAACTAAAGTGTTCAGCATATATAAGTAGTACGCTCCTCACAAACATTCATTCATTCATTTTCTTTTCAGCTTAGTCCCTTTTTTTTTGTAGTCGCCACAGGGGAATGAACTGCCGACGTATCCAGCATGTTTTATGCAGCGAATGCCCTTTCAGCTGCAACCCATCACTGGGAAGCATCCATACACATTCCTTAACACAAATACACTACGGGCAATATAGCCAACACAATTTACCTATGCCACATGTCTTTGGACTTGTGTGGGAAACCGGAGCACCTGGAGGAAACCCACGCAAACACAGGGAGAAAATGCAAACATGCATTCACACAGAAATGCCAGCCGAAGCTCGAACCAGTGACCTTCTTGCTGTAAGGTGTCCCACTGTGCCACTGTACAACCCCCTTACAAATCTATCTTTTTAAGAGTTCACACTTAGCTGATGATTGGTAAAAAAGCTGGTTTGGCATGCTGTCCTGGGATAGAGAACAGAGCTCGTAAGATCCTCAAGCCCGGGGCTCCCTCCCGTTTGCAGGGCTTTTGAGCTTTGAGGAGTTTGAGCTCAGGTAGGTCTCGAGAACCCCCCCCCCCCCCCCATTCCCCCCCTTGCTGCTTAGGGATTGCTATGAGAGTGTGCTGCATTGAATATAGTGCTGATTTGGTTAGGTCAATTTACTTATGTCTCATGTTTTGGACTGTGGGAGGAAACCGGAGGACCCGGGGAAAACCCACACGAGCATGGGGAGAACATGAACTCCGCACAGAAATGCCAACTGGCTGGGTAGAGACCCGAACCAGAGGCATTCTTGCTGTGAGACCACAGTGCTAGCCTCTAGGCCGCCGTGCTGCCCTATAGAGGAAAAAGGAGGAGAGGGGGTGGAAGGGGGGATTCTTTAAGACGAAGATGGCTAAGGTAAAATCCTTTGGTTATTTATACTAAGTTAGTAATCATCTGATTGGTACAAATACAAATTTAAATTAAAGGAAAAATCAAGAGAAGTAAAACGATAGAAAAAAATTGTTGAATATTATAAGTTGTAATTTATTTTGCAATATTTTGCTTGAATTTAATTGTATTATCATTCAATTTCAAAATATGTTTGTTTACTAAAATATTATTTTAATAAATGTATCTGTTTAATAAATCTGTTTTCTTTAAATGCACCAAAATACATTGCCTATATTCACTGAGAAATGGATAAAAATATTTATTTTCAAAATGGGGTGTACTCAATTATGCTGAGGACTGCACATTTTAAAATGTATTAAAATTGAATTGTTGTTTTATTTTGTTTACAGACTTTCTGAACAAATAAACACATTACTGAGCCTAAAAGAATTCTTCCAAAAACAAAGAAAATCTAAGCCAAACTTTTGGACAGCAATGCATTGAAATAGTCTTGCTAAATGTGGAAGCTACATTTTATATTAATGGACAGAATATCACCATTAAGATGAAGTCTTTCAGTGGAGACGCAGGAGACTTTGCTTTCAAAGCACACACCAAGCCTAACAACCTCACATAAAAAGCTCTAACACTTCAAATGTTAGATGTACTGTGTTTGCGGTAATGTAATCAAATTACTGCTGAGCTGTAACGGATTTAAGCTGCATGTTAAAGTGAGGCAGCTATAAGGCATAAGACATAACAGTATAAAATATAAGGTAAAATATGATTCAGCTCACTTCAGAGGGACATTTAACAGTCTCAACAGGCCTTTGTACACATTATTTAAGGCATATTTTAGAAAGATGAGTTATAATGAGATTAAAATAAAAGGAAGCTTTAAAATGAATTGTTCATAAAGGCCGGAGCATGGCTCACCTTTGGAGTGCTGAATGATGGAGTTGGTTCTCTGGCTATAGTTAATGTTACCACAGAAGCAGCTTCCTGAAGAATCTGGACAGCCTGATCGTGAGTTACAGAGGAATCAAACACCTTGTCGTTCACTGCTAGAATCTGATCACCTTCATGGAGACGCCCGTCACTAACAGATGGGGTAAAAAATTGTTTCAAATTAACCTGTGCTCATTTTGAAAAATGTGCTTTAATCAGTAAAGTTCTGCTGCGCTGTACTTCATCAATGTCAGTTTATACCTGTAAGCAACAGAGTCTGTCTGAATCTCCTTTATGAAGATACCATGACCTCCAGTGCTTTCAATCGCCAGGTTAACAATGCTGACACCTAAAGCGCTTTCACCCTTCTCCAGGTCAAAGCTGAGCACAGTGTGACCCTGAGAAACAGCAATAAATGCAAAAAAGTAACAAAGAATGGACACAAACTGTTACTTTTGAAAGGTGTAGTTGCAGTATTTATTAATTTCACATAAATATTATGTTAAGTGTTTTGAGGTACCTTTGCCATGGACTGCAGTACAGAAATGTCCTCTGTGATGTAATGGGCAAAAGTCACATGACTGGCTGTTCGACTACGTTCACTACGCCGCTGTGCTGAGAGGTAAGAGTCTCTGTACCTCAGAGTGCAGGAGGGTTGAGACGAGTTCAGGACATCTCTGTCATCACACATAGACTGAGGAGGAGCAGACGATGTTCTGGGAGAAACCTGTACTGACACAAAACATTCACATTACGGAATTATAGCAATACAAAGCAATACAATAAACACAAACTCAACAATAATAATATTAACCCAATAAAATATTTTCTAGTATTTTAAGAAACTTTAAACCATTAACAATATCTTTCTTGTCCACTCATCAGGGAGCATATTTTGCCCAGAGTCAGCAGAGCAACACACAAGTTGCATAGCCTATTGCCTGTAGTAAACACTCACTCTCATGACCTGATGAGAAAGAGAAGACAATGATGAACTTAGTTATTTTACAGTCATTTAAAAAAATTTGGCTCATAGAAGAGTTTTTGAAGGTTCGCATAATTTCAGTTTTCAGCTTCCAGTTTTTGACATATTTTTGTTTTCTTTTCTAAACTTTGAACAACTCATGATGACCCTTGCAGTCAGTCTGGAGGACGGGAGAGCTCTCAAATCTAAAATATTTTAATCTGTGTTCTAAAAAAACATAAGGAAGAAGGTCTCGGGGTATTGCAACGTCAATAGGGTGAGTAATTAATAACATAATTTCAGTTTGGGGTAAACTAAGCTTTTAAATTGCTCAAAATCATAAGTGAAGAAATGCATAATAATACAAACAACTTTATTCAAAATAAATGTTGATATTTCTGTTTTTAAATAATTCTGAGAAGAATTAAAGGTTCAAGATCCTGGAGTACTTTTAAAAAAAATGAACAAATTTGTGTGTGTTGAGCATTAGTTAAGACAACATTAGTACCTGTTAGCTTTAATTGTGGGGAAAACTTAATAATTTTGAGCTTTTGTCAGCTAATTTCATCTTCCGGGTTTAAAATAATTTTTGGGGTGGGATCAAAATCAGGGACGTAGTGTGAATCTGCTAGTGGAGTGATGAAACGTAGGTTTCTCATTATTAATCATAGCATAGTTTTCTTATCATTTGAGAAGACCCTCCTTCTTAATAATTCATGAGAGCACGTGCTTTTCGATGACAGATCTGCCAAGCTGTAAGATTCAATGGGTGAGACCACGTCCGCTCCGGTCATATGTGTTTGTTTCAATGATCCACAGGGTTTGTAGCATGTTTTTCCCGCAATGCTATCAAGGCCAATACAGCAAAGCTGTTGGTTTGCAGCAAGCATTTGTCAGGTGTCCGCAGGCCCGGATTGGCTAATCGGGAGGACCGGGAGAATTCCCGGTGGGCCGGTCTGTTTTTTGGCCGCGAGGGCCGGTGTCCCTAGCTCCAGAATCTGTTGCTCTCAGCAATCACACTTTTTAAATTTATTTATTTACTTGACCACAGCCTTTTTATTCATTATTATACCGCAACTCTTCTCTTTTGATCTATTTTAATGATGATAAAACTCAGTTGTGTCATCATTCATAAAACAGTTGTTGTGGTCGAGCGGATAGCACGTTAGGTTAAGACGCCGCGGACCCGGGTTCGATCCTCGTTAGAGTAATTTAGTGTTTTCATTTTTATTGATAAGACATATAATACTGTTAGGATTGTTGAACATTTGAAGTTCTAAAGCAGCTGTTTTCTCAAAAAAAAACAAAGACGTGATAGTGTCATTAGAAACTGATTTGGAAATATTTATTTATTTACTTATTTTAATATAGTCAGTCGTGAACTGAGGTGGGCCGGTCTGAGGCTTGAAACTCCAGAGCTGAAAAGGTGTCCCACTCCGGCCCTGGGTGTCCGCATTCAGACTCGGGGATTGAGGAGGAGAGATGTCCTCCTCATTTATTGTGTTTATATAAGCACGATTATCTTATACGATATAGCAAATTGTGGTTATGGATATATGAAATTCCGAATAACAAATGTAGCAGGACATTAAATTACTTACTGTTTATTTCTTTACATTTTAACTTTGTAAACTATAAAATATCATGGTTCTCATGGTTTGTCTCTCATTTTGTGAGCCAACTGACAACAGTTGTTCGCTTCTTTCTTTTCCCCTGCTTTGCTGGCCAGCCCAATCCTCCCTTTGCCCGTAGCGCTTAACAGTGCTCCCATCTCGGAGCATTTTATGAATAGTTTCTGAGGTAGACTTGAACCAAAAGAAGGGGGTTTAATGGTGCTTTAATGAAACTAATTTTGATTTCTCAAATCAAAAGAATTTAATGATAATAGGAAATCATCATCAACAAATCAAATAAATTCAAAGGGGTGCTAATAATTCTGACTTTAACTGTATATCCATTTAATGCAGAGCCAGTTACAGCTCCGTTATCCTCATAATGGTTTCTCATAAAATAAAAACAAGTTTAAATGTGGTCATGGCGATATATGTCTAAATGATTGAAGTCTATCAAGTAAAACATTAGCTCATTGTTAGAATTCAGCCAGTCTGCCAGCCAACTGTTTATGCAAATCTGGCCAAGAGCTTACATTTATATTTAGTTTAAATGTGGTGCTACATTTCAGTTTTTCAAGTTTGATGGCAAAACACACAAATATGTGCAATTAAGGGTCTAAATAGTTTTTTTTTTCCACAGAGTATTTGTGTGTGTCTGTCACTTTCTGTTTGGTACATGATGACCAGGTTTAAAATACTAAACAACCTTAATTCAAATATAAAAATGCAGAAAGGTTTCCACAAGGGTCAGGTTTAAAGGTAGGGAAACAAAAATCCTTTACTAAGTCAGTGTAAAAACAACAGAAGTGAATGGAAAGTCTCCACCATAACAAAAGTGAGTGTGTGACTTGCTGACCCCTGTCTCTCTCCTTTCAGCACAGATTAAGTGGTCAGCTCAGGTAAGTAGCTTATACGGCCTCCGTTTCGTCCCTGCTGCTGTTTTCAAAGAATCATCTTTCTAAATGCATCACACACATTATACACAAACACAAATGCACACACCAAGGATATGTCAAGCAGTTTGACCTATTCTTACATAATATGCAAATATACAAAGCTGAATTTTGATTCAGAATGCTGATCTGCATCCACTGCATATTTTAAATAATATTTTTATTAATTTTTACTTTCCCCAAAAGAGGACACTTGTTTAACATATAATTTGTGAAAAGAATCGGCTAAATTGGCATACACTGTAAAAAAAATCTGAAATTTTACGGTTTATTTCCGGTAGCTGGGGTGCTGGGAAAAAACCCTGTAAAATAACGGCCGTTAAATGATAGAAATTTCATGTAAAATAGCGGACATTAATTAACAGAAATTTCCTTAAATTAAAATTTCTGGTACATTTTTCTAATTCAACCTCTGTTATTTTACAGTAAATTTATAGAATTTAATGCCCGTTATTTTATGTTTTTTTTTTCCCAGCACCCCAGCGACCGGAAATAAACCGTAAAACTACAATTTTTTTTTTACAATGTACTACTATTTATGCTGGTGGTTCATTCCGCTGTGGCGATCCCTGATAAATAATTGACTAAGCTGAGGGAAAGTGAATTAATGCATATTTATGCTCATTCTTTTACTGATAAAAGATCTAAAAGTACCAAAAGACGCAGCCCTTTCATGTGTATTGAAAACATTAATTTAATTGAGATGTTGAGGATATGGGGAGACACTTACTAAAATTTTTGCTCTGCAATCAAAATACTAATTAACACAGTTTTTATGAAGATAATTCTGAAGAATGATAAAAACAATCGGATAAATATAGAGGTCTATAATGGCAGACCATATGCCACAACAGCAGGCTAACAGCACAGCTGGCTACTCTTGTTTTTGTTCCTGCTCATTGAAACCGATTATTAAAACAAGCACTTGAAAATAAATCTACTTGATGTTTGATTTCAACAACTTTCCTTAAAGATCTCGCTACATTTGTTCACAGAAGTCTATTACATCACAGAATGTGACAGGAAGTCATAAGCTTGATTAAACCATGACTCATATAAACAACTTATTATTAAGCTTGTGATTATCCATGCCAAGTGGCCTGACCGATGCACAATGAGCGCAGGGATTATCTGAGATATAGGTTTGCTGAAGTAGCTACATCTTGTCATTTTGGTACACCCATAAACATGCAGTTTTTCACGACAATCAGGCATTTACTGGAGTCGCTGATGTCATGTGGCATCTGCTGATCCTCTCATTTTGGCCTGCTAGAAGATTCTAACACAATCAGTTGTGGCTCTACTGAATAAATCAGAATGTAGCATATACTGTGTCTATTTTATGAGGATATCCGAGGAGCTGAATTACCTGAGCTGCTCTTTGAAAGCCTGGGCTAACACAGGCCATTTTCAGAAGAGCATTTCCCATCACTACTCTGTCTGTCTGACTGTGTCATAATGCGCGCACACACACACACACACACACACACACACACACACACACACACACACACACACACACACACACACACACACACACACACAAACACACACACAAACACACACACAAACACACGTGAGCCCAGACCACCTCTGAGACACTTTACCCTGTTATCCTTGAATAACCTCTCATTCCTCCCACTCATATCTAGTGGGCTTCTCTGACCTTCTCTGACTGGGATTCTCTTTGGAAATGCATAAGTGCCCTATACTGTAGGTCAATGTGGCTACAGATATCTTATACTAAACACCGAAAAAGATAGCAAAAACAAGCTAAGATACCAGATCAGTGCATTCATATATTTCAAAATTAGTTTTCAGGAATCCGATACAAGTAGGATTTGTGAACAGTTATATAACAGTAATAAAAATGCACCTATCTCTCATCTATTCATTTATGTGATAAAAGGCAAAAAATTAATATTACAAATTTGCTGTGTTCAACACTGGCGATAAACTCTGAGTAAGACATTTTTCATGCTTTATTTTTGAACAAAAATACACAATTGGCCCGATTCGCTTTTTAGTGCAATGCTTTATCACAGATCTTTGCTTTTGCAATTGTGCAAACAAAATGCTACAATAGTGTACGTTTATTTGCTGTAAACCTGAAATAAAAAAATAATAATTTTATTCCCGTAAGTTTGTATCATTTTTTATTTGAGCCAAAAATAAACCTCAGACAGACATGACGTAAGCCACAGAGCTTTTAAGCTGAGGTTCAGAGACCCTATTGATTGAGTTCTAGGAAAGCGTACAAATATTTCATTAAAAAAGTTCCAAAATAAAAATTATGTTGAGATAAAATATAAAACCAATCTCAAAAATGAGCTTCAGTAAATAGTTTAAAGAGAATAAAGCAAACGTTTTATTAAATAATTTTATTAATAATGTAGTACTTTAATAACTACAATTATTTAATACAATCTAAATAAATAAATAGCCCAGGTTTTGATTTGAATTAATACAAGATTAATGTTACAACAGAATTAAAAAAAAATACAAAAAATGAAAGATAAAATTACTAATTATCCATTTAAAAATCTCTCCAAAATAATATTTTAGACCCATTAAAATATAATTTATTCAAATAATTCATCTAATGATTAAACAAGAAACCTTAATATATCATATTTGTGGATTCCTGTCAACCTTTTGTCAAACAAAAGTTGTCAAAAAGCTCTGCATCTGTGAAAATAAAAATGAATGCTGACAAAAAGTTAAAAAAGAGAATCATATCCACATTTAAATTTCAAGTATTAAAGGTGGACTTGGATATCATCAGTATTAAAATATAGTTTCATTAGACATTCACACTTGGTTGCTACAATATCAGTTACCATGGTAATGATAGAGGTAACACAATGAGGTTAGCTGTGCCATTTCATAATAATGTCCCTATTATCAGATTTAGAAATTATAATAATTTACTTTTCTTATAATTTTCATAATAATAAGAAATTGTTTCCAGAAATGTGAAACTAAATGGTGTCCAGTCATTTAAAACCGTTTAATCAGCACGCTGTTTAATGTTTTGATATACATTTTAATGTTAATGCGTGATTTTTCTTTTTTTACTTTGTCATGGACTGGAATGATGTTGATATATTCTCTGACCTGCTGCTGCTTACGCTGTTGTCCAGTCTCTTGCATGATAAGTATCTGGTGGAACAGGGGACTTTGTAAGACACTTTTAAGCAGACTGAGTTTTTCTTCAGCAGGAAGCTCTCCTCTCTTCCTCAGCCTCTCCTGCAGACGCTCCACTGCCACCAAAGCACGCTGTGTGTCTGTGTAAATGCGCATACACATAAATATATTAATCACATGTACACAAGCAATGACAGCAACTATAGCCCACATGACAATCTGTACAGCAGAACACATGTAATATTCATACTAACTGAGACAAAAGGACACTGAAGAAGGCTAAAAATAACACTTCATACATACCCATCATTTTCAATTCTTTGAGTGCTGAATTACCACCACTTTCTTGCTGACATCTACAAAAACGGAAGAACAATTATGTCAGGACCAATGACAATCAAACTCTGGAACATATTTAAAATACAAAACAACAAAAACAAACAGATTTGTTCCTTTCTTATCCTACTCAAGCGAGACTTAGGTGGATTTCAGCATCTTAATCACTAACCGGCATTGACACCTGACAGTTCTTGACGCAATTTGGCAGCGCTGGCGTTTGTCTCAGTAACCGATGACAGGCTTTATGAATTGTAGTGACGGTTCACTTCATATTTCGCTGATCGCTCTGATAACGCCTGCTGTAATCTGTTATTCATGTTGATGTAATCTGGGTTGGAGTCTCGCACCTCTCCGGGAGGTTCTCGCGGTCGGCACGCGCTCATCACGGACTGCGCGAGCGCTAGTGTTTGCGCTGCCCTGCTAAGGTAATGCGCTTACCGGGGCGGCTTAGCAGCTGTAAACGGACTTAAACTGTGAACGACGGTAATTACCCGGGACAGATGTCCTTACAACCTATACCTGATAGGACATTAAGCGCCTGGCGGTGTTGTGGACAACACAGTGAAATGCTAGATATGAAAGCAGCCTATGTAAATTAGCAAACAGGTGGCCTCAATCTTGATAAAGTAGCCTACCATTTTACAACTTAAAGCAGCATAACGCACCGTTTTTTTATTTTTGTAAATAGGTTAAAGAACATATTTCAACAATATACTTCTGTGAAATGAAATGATTCACTAAATGTTTGTTTTTTCTTCATGGAACAGTATACACTAAATGTCAACAAAGCTGTTTTTGTCTAACATTAAACACATCGGCTTCAGAGTTATGAAAGTTTGGTGAAACTAGTTGCCATTTTAGGTCAGATTATGGTTTGTACGTTTAACCACAAAAGTTGCAAAAATGAGAGAGTGAACGAACAGAAATCGCCTTGGCGTGATGATGTAACCATAGCAACATGCTCTTTTCCTGCGTGCATCGAATGATTCAAGGAAAAAAACACAAACACTGTTTATTTTGTTCAAATCATCATAGATATACATTTCACAGCCTAAACGTATCAAAAAAGGTTAGTGTTTGGTTTAAATCTTACTCGCACTACTATTTAAACATGGACTCTAAGGGATGTGGGCTGAGCAGTTTGATACAATAAATTCGACAGCTAAAAAGGAAGTGAAATCAGCATTCATGTGTACTGACAAGTGCAATGCGATTTCTAGGATGTTTCACTGCATGCTGCCTGTCAGTCTTCATTCGTTACGTTCTCACTCTGCACCGTAAAGATCAATATTTAAGCGCTTATTTCTCACCTAACATTTACCTTCAGATCAACAGGTTTCCTCCGGAGCTCATGGAAAGCTGCCATTCGGACGTCTCGGATGATCTAAGCCCATGCAAGGTAGATATTTTAACATTTTCAAATGTCGAAAGTCGCATTAGAGACATAATTTAGACAGCCTAGGGTTTGCGTGAGACTGATAACTGGCTGTCAGCGCGCATGTCCGCGATGCGCCTTTGATGCCCGTGAGTTTAATGCAAATGGATGTCCAGGCCTCTCCCCCCTCATTTCATGAAATAACACAGACATCAGCTCTTATTACTCCTGCTCATGAGAGACATTAATTAGTGCATGTTCACAAATCATAATTTGTGGAATATTAAGTCTCAAATAAAACCGATGGAAGCCGTGCCAACACAGACATGGCTTAAATCAATGGTTTAGTTGTTATAATTACTTTAAAATTAAGTGCAGGAGGGTTCCATAAAAAAAGCTATTTTGTGTACCTCATAAGTATCCCCCAACATGTCTCCAACAATGACGTTTTCATGTGCAGCCTTGTTTTGCTTTTCCCATACGTTTGTGTGTGCTCCATATACTTCTACACTTAGTTCAGTGTACATTATTTTTAAAATGCAAACATAGCCTATGTATGCGCCAATTGCACTCTTTTTTATTTTTGTTTATACACACATTTTATCTAGATGGCCCATAGGCTGCAAAATATATCTTTCAGCATCGAGATCAAAATGTGATCATTTGCAATAATCACATCGCAAGATATGCAATGTTGATTTTAGATCACAATTTATCATTGGCATGTGTTTTTGATGCCCGTGATTGTATGATGATTTTTTTGATTAATTTTATTGAATTATTTTTATCATTCAGTTAGTGTACTTGAATACTGTTAGACCCGGGAAATGATAAAACATTTTATTTCAATAGTTTTTTGTATCTGTATTTACAGATTGTTATGCATAGAAAGTACTTACAACACTTGCAAATACAGAAATGCACTGCAAATAGCACAGACAAAAACCAAAATGTGTCGGGACCCTAAAAAGTTTATAGATTTTTTATTAGATTTTATGAAGATGCACTCCCACTGCGTAATCATCCCAATCAATCTGACATTATAAATTCTTTCCAAATAGAGATTAAGTCATCTGGTGAAATTATATCCATATCGCAAAATTTATTGCAAAATAAAAAAAAATATCGCAACGTTAAATTTTTCCAATATCGTGTAGCCCTGGCCCACAGTGTTCAACACTTGCAGTTACAACCCCCTAATATCTACAACCCCTAATATTTTTAGATGGATTGAAATGCAATTCCATACATCATTGTCTGGAAGCTGACTTTATAAATCAAATTTCAAATAGTCTTTACTCTTTAAAAAACAATATCTTTAAACCTTTGAATAAAACGTCAAAGACTGTGACATAAGTAATCATATGAGTTTTTCTTTTGTATCATGACTTATAGGTGCTTATTTGGTGAGTGAGATGATGCAACTCCATATTTCCTGCCTCATGCGAAAGCCTTGTCATGCAGCACGTGTATACGCCTACATCGTTACCAAAGCAACATGCAGGTTGGTAATATGTGTGAACACACAAATATGACCCAAACACTTGCAATTAATAGTGTGGATAGTCTCATTGACATGATATGTTTTTGAGAAAAAAATTGGTTTCTCTGCATGCAGTCTGAGCATAGCTTCACTTCTGTGCTATTCACATGTTCATCGCAGTTCCCTGCTGGATTCATTCCTTATTTGTTGTCATGGTTACTGATTGCTTTGTGCACCCGCTTCTTGTTCAGTTAATTTTTCTCCTACAAATGTACGCCCTATTGTACTTCTACTCATTGTCCAGTATTTTGTTTTTGTTGTTTAGACTATTGTTTTTCATGTTTGATTACCATGTTTGTTGAGTATTTTCTTGTCATTTGAAGTTGTTTACCTCAAGTAGACCTACATTTGTATTTTATTGAAATGTGTAGAGAAAATAAATACTGACTGTCATAAAATAAAAGACACTCTACCTTAGAACAAAAGCAATGTTAAAACTGTAAATACAGCTGGAAAGCAATGAAAAATCAAAGGTGTGCGATGGAAAAGTTCAATAAGTTTTACTTTGATATTTACTATAGTAATTTGAAAACAATTCCAAACAAAATCTCCAGGATCAATGCCTACAGACATGAATTTAGTAGGGTAAATTTGGGTAATCTTGGACACTTTATTGCAATTTTGACTTCAGCTCTCTAATTTCAATGTCTTTCTAACTAATTAGAACAACATATTAGATATTTATGAAATCACTAAGATGTTTTCTAACCACCTAAGAAAACATGTAGATGTTGTACAGAGAATAGCCATGCCACACTTATTAGTATTTAAAAATACTAATAGGTATTAACTGCCTGAATTTGATAACCTGGGACAGGCCACTTCATGATCTGGGACATACAGTTGAAGTCAGAATTAGTAGCCTGCTTTTATTCTAGCCAAATTGTTTGTTTTATACAAATAAGAATTATCAGAAATACTGTGACATTTTATTTGCCATGTTAAACATAATTTGGGAAATATTTAGAAAATAAAAAAAAAATAAAAAGGGGGGCTAATAATTCTGACTTCAATTGTATGTATTTATGCTGAAAAAGTATGTATTTGCCATACTTATGCATGCCAAACACAATTTTACCAATTTTTAAAAAGTGAGTGAGTGTGTGTTTGAGAGAGAGAAAGAGGGAGTGTGTGCGTGAGTAACTGGTAACAAATTTTTTTTTCTTCCTCGTTCTAACAATGCAGAAATTAAATTTGTTTTTAAATACTTATCATATGTTTATAAAAATATAAAGTAATTCAGTATTTTATAATATTGTTTTATTTAAAAGACTTTGTGTTTTTTTAATGCAACAACGCTGTTGCAATCACGTGTCATTAATAGAAATACGTAAATTAAAAATTGTAAAAGGATAAATTAAATTCTGTAAATATTCATTCATTCATTTTCTTTTTGGCTTAGTCCCTTTATTAATCTGGGGTCACCACAGCGGAATGAACCCACTTATCCAGCACGCTTTTACGCAGCAGATGCCCTTCCAGCTGCAACCCTGGGACATTACTGGGAAACATCCATTTACTCTCATTCATACTCATATGGACAATTTAGGCTACCCAATTACCCTGTACCACATGTCTTTGGACTTGTGAGGGTAAACTCCACACAGAAATGCCACCTGACTCAGCCGAGGCTCGAACCAGCAACCTTCTTGCTGTTAGGTGACAGCACTACCTACTGCGCCACCACGTCACTCCTCTGTAAATATTACAGAGTCTTACTGATCTCACTAATATTACTAATCTAATTTTAGGATATTATCTTTATTACTAATTAACTTATTTTCTGCTATGTTTAAATTATAGCTCTGCCTTCTCAACTATGTTACCATGATTTTACACATTTAAACTGAATTTTTGTAGAACTAGTATAATTAAAAATCATTTCAATTGAACACATTTTAGTGTAATAATAACCTCAGTTAAGTTTTGTCAACCCTGATTATATAATATTCAAAATTACAGTTTAACACGCGAAGTCTTAAAATTTAGATTTGAAGTTTCAAAGTGGAAAAGGCTCAAGTGTTACAATTTCTCTGAATGACCCCGCAGGTGATGGGAAGGTCGACCCTTTACTGCTGTGCGCGCACTCGGCCACCAGAGCGTGCTCAAGCCTTCCTGTCACCCCAAGCTCCTGATTCACCGCCCCTCTCTTATTCTCCTTTTCTTTCTCTTTCCCTCCCACCCTCCATCCTTGAATCAAGCATCACTTTGCTTCCAAATTGGCTTGTCATTTTCTCTCGGCGCTCGTTCGCTAGCTGTCGGGTCGCATGGACGATCTAGCAATGGACTGGCGCTGATCTCGTGGATTGTGCCATCGCTGGAGCCACTCTGCGCATTTTCCTCTTATTCCAAAAAAAAAAAAAAAAAACACTGGTCGGGATACAGCACGGGATACGATCCCCCGTGTCCACCATAGATCTACTGGGTTTGGGGGACGAAGGATACTCGATATATATTCAGTTCTTTGATCGAGGGTCCTCGGGAGGCTTGAAGCCTCAGAACGGCGCATCTGGAGGAGAAGCTCAAAACATCATCTGCGTGTTTTATTCACACACGGACACACTGTCAAGGGAATTAAGGAGCATTCCGAGATCACACAGCCCGATGCTGCTCAGCACATCCATAGCTGACTCCTTTTCCAGTGCTTTATAAGATGCGGTGAGTCAATGCTTTTAAACAAGGTGACGTTATTTCTTACGGGCCAATAAATCAATAACCGATGGACGTGTGAATGGAAGCGCCAGTGAGATGCTGTAGCTAGTTGGCGCTTTCCGAACTCTCCACATCCAACAGCTGAAATATATGGTGTGTGTGTGTGTGTGGCATCGGACACAGGATGCTTTTTGCCGTGTGTCGTGCGTGGTGTTTTAATGGGCGTCGGTGCGCGCGCGCGTGTTTGAGTGTACAAGTCGCTGCCTTCAGCTCTTGCCGTAGCGAAACCATAGCTTTCATTTGTTTTTAACCGCCAGGATCGAGCCAGGCAGCGTGAGGCAAATAACGCTATATTGATGGCCTGCATTCCCTTAGCTTTTACATAAAGAGAAGACTGTCAACGCATCGCTCGACTTAGTTTTTCTATGTGTGTATGAGTGTGTGTGTGTGTATAAACAGGAGATGCGTTAGTATAAATCAGGAAGAAAAAGAGAAAAGCATCTTCAAAATAAACAGCCACTCTGATAGCCTTGAGAACATCCACAGCGTTTCATGCAACCAAACACCGTCAGATCAGTACAGAGATCATATGACCTTGATTCATTGACTAATAAAGACACAACTGCCATTCATGTCACCCTGATGTCATGAAAATTGCAGTACGTGCTGGATCATCATATATAGCGCATAACCAATCATGCAGGATTATTTGTCATTTGTCAACAGAGATAATTTAAAGGCTAAGTAGTCAGCTCAGTTATAGATTTTAATTGATTGTTTACCTCGTGTAGATGACCCATTTAAAAAAAAGGAAAAGACCTTAGTGTCTGCGTTCCAGTGATTGCAGTGAATTCACATCACATCTTGTGTGCAATACAAATAGACAGAGACAGGAAGAACGGACAGATTGCCTAACAGCCAAGTTCATCCAGGTCAGATCAAAAATCAAAGGCCTTTGAAGTCACAACCAAAAATATCAGAACTATTTTGGTGAAAGGATTGTGGATATATTCTGCTCAGTGCAAGATAACTGCTCTGTGATATAACATTAGAGTTTGATTTCAGTCTTGGCCCCTAGTCAAACTCAGAATAATTGTTAGGTCTCTTTGTGTTCTCTCAACGGATAAATTATGGGCAGACGGAAGTTAAAGCATCTACATTAAGCAATAAGAGACACATTAAAGGTATGGTTTACCAAATATAAGACACAATTCTGTCATTGTTTGCCTAGCCTCATGTTATTTCAAACCTGTTTGACTTTCTTTCTTTTGTGCAACACCAAAGGAGATGTTAGGCAAGACGACTGCTTCAGTTCGCTTTCATTTTACAGTAAAAAGACGCAACGAAGGTGAATGACAACTTAAGCTGTCAGTCACAAACATGTGCGACAACATCTCTTTTTGTCCTCTTCAGAGGAAATAACCTTAAACAGTTTTGGAACAAGATGAGAATGAGTAAACAATGACAAAATTTAGAGTTTAGGTGTGTGGTTTGGCAGTATTTTTTACTAAATAATGTGATGGCACTTGCAGTTTACTTTCTACTTGCTTGGGATGCTGTCTCAGATATTTAAATAGAAAAATAGTCGAGTTTTTAACGTCATGACATCATGAGAGGGGTAATTTGTGCATTTCTTTGCTAAATGAACACTTTTAGATCTTTGTGAGTTTCTGTTTTCCATCAAGATGTTTGCTCGGTTTCCTTGTTTTGTCAGTGGGTGGTGTGCTGAATTTCACACACAAGGGTGGAGTTGTATTTTTCAGATTGGGTTTTCTGGTTTTGTCTTTTTGCTTTGATGGGGTGTTTTGTATTTCCACCCCTAGTGTCTTAAAGCTGACTTGGGAAATGTCCGCACCCCTAACACCAGTAAACAGAGCAGCAAAATATAAATGAAAATGATTTCAAATAGATTTTAGTAGCACACATCACTCAGGCCAACAAATAACATATTATTACTTTATGCAACGTCTGTATCATCACCTTGGAATGTAAATCTTATATATATATATATATATATATATATATATATATATATATATATATATATATATATATATATATATATATATATATATATATATATATATTTTTTTTTTTTTTTTTTTCTGTGTTTTTTGGCAACTCTTAATGTGTTTAACTATCAACATGGTTTGTAGTTTTTTACGCTGGATTGCAGCAAAACCTTGCCCACCTTTTTTTAAAATGAAGTGCCAAACACTATTTGGACTATACTTATTCGCAATGTAGATGTAACTGGATGTTGAATATATATATATTTTGTCCTTCAAAAAACACAGTGTTTAAAATTATTCATGTATTACTTTGAAAAGCTGAGAACAGTGTCTCTTGCTGAGAGTGTGATCTCTTGCCATCACATCAAAGCCAGTTCTGTCTTAAACAGCCATTGCATAGCACTTTCTCTTTTATATTATAAGATTTGAATAGGGCTCCACAATATAGTTTCAACATTGATATTGCATTGTGAACATTCGCAATAGTCACATTGCAGGATATGCAATGTTGAATCTAGATTATAATTTATTATTTGCATGTGTTTTTGAGGCCTGTGCCTGCACTCAAAAAATGATGTTTGCAGTATGTTCAAATGACTTATTTAAAATGAGTTGATACAACACAATTATTAAGATTTGTTTTGGGATAACTAAAATATTTTATGTTCAATCCACTTAAACTTGTTAAAATGAATAAGTTAACTTAATTCCTTCATATTGTTCAAACACAAATCGATTGTGTGGAACCCAGCATTTTTTTTTACAGTGAATGAAAATTTTAAAAGCATTCAGTTCTAAGTAACTGCACTGTTGATAACATTAATAACAATGCATTTTATTGAAAAATTAATAAAACAAAGACTATGTAGTATTATTTTACATTTAATTATTCAATTACTGTAAACCTGAATGCCCTAAACTTAAATAGACTCTATTGACACTGTTTGTTTTATTAATATTATCTATGCCTGTAGACTTAGACTGGGCAATATGGCAAAAATGCAATCTCGATTATTATTATTATTCATATTGAGCAATAACAATATATATTTCGATATAAGTGGTTAATGCTTCCAGGTTTCAGAGTACCCCAACAATGACTGAAGCCACAAACAATAGAGGGTCCATTAAATGGCATAACATATTTTTGGCTGATAAATTTTCTTATCTGATAAATCTAATATTAATCTGATTAATGTCTCTAATATCAACACACATTTAGATTCCCATTGATGCACATTTTTGCTGTGTGATTGGATCTTAGATCGATATAGAGTAAAAAAGTCCAGAGCTTATCATTGTTATAGACATAAATTTTATCATAATTTGATATAATATTGTTTATCGGCCCAGCCCTATTGTAGGCTGTTTATTACATTTTATGCAGATGTACTCTCTTAAAGAACTATAACAATTAACATAGAATTATAGATTATTTCCTTATAGAAATATTCCAGTCATCTGGTGAAATTGTACTTGTATCGAAATATATTTTTTTATCTTAATTAAACTCTAATTTAAAATGTTAATAATTAAACGACAAATAGTGTCATATAACTGAGTATTAACATTTTTAAAATAAACTGTATACTGTATGTCATTTTTTTTCTGTGGACCCTAAATTTTATTATTATTATTATTATTATTATTATTTAGACATTGCAATGGCTGAATTGCAATGTTAATAGTTGCTTAATTCATTAGAATATCTGATAAGAATGTTTTGTGGTTCACAGATAAAGAAATTAAAACAGGGTTTGAAAATGTAAATGTATTAACTTGAGAGGGGGTAATTATAATAACTAATTTAAAAATATTTAAAATAGACAACATGGAAATAACACATTAGGAACATGTAAAAAACTTCTTAACAAAGTGATGAACAAAAAAATGGTGGGTTTGTTTGTTGGTGCATTTTTTGAATGTCACAGCATGGGTCAAAGTGTAATTTGCAACACTCACTCATTATCAAAGAGGGGCCGGTGGGAAACATGCTCCGACAGATGCTTTCATCATCAAAGGGCGACAAGCTCAGCATGCAGGATGCTTTGTGATATGGGTTTGATTGCATGAATATACAAACAGTGTTTTGTGGCTACATCCTGATGTCATAGATCGGCAATAGCGAGTCCAATAAGAGTCCAATGAGTCCATGCATACACACCCGGTAACCTTTAAATATATACAAATTAAATGCAGTTTGTAATATACTGTTATATAACAATACACTGTATGATTAGAAGTGTAGCAGCTACACACTGAGTGTGTGTGTGTGTGTGTGTGTGTGTGTGTGTTTGCAGCAAATGGAGTAGTTGTGTTCTAGCGAGTGCTCCTCTTCTCATTCTTTCAATGTCCTTCAAACTAAAATAGTGATTCGCATGAATAATACAGCTTCCTCATCTCAATCTCTTTCTCCCTCCTTTTCTTCCTCTCTCTTTTACTTACAAATTCATCCATTTTTATACAGACTCAGGGCAGGAGCTGAGAGCTGCTGAGTGTGTACAGGCCATGTTTTAAAGAAGGAAATCTGTGCGTGTGCGTGCGAGTGTGTGTGCGTGTGTGTGTGTGTGTGTGTGTGTGTGTGTTTGTGTTAAGAGCCTAGTTGAATAAGGAGGTCACCAAACAATGACGATGGGATTTGAAATGGTTTCTAAAGGACCTTGATTATTTCAGCCCAACAGGAAATTGAGTGCCATGATCGCATGTTTATTTTTCTCCATTTGCAAGGTTAAAATGTTATTAGTGGGCTTAGGTGGTAAGTGAATTTGTGTGGTGTATAGTGTCACAAGAATGCGCCAGAAAAAAGAGAAAAAAATATATAAAAAGAAAGAGCAGAATGGTTAAATAACATCCGACCAAGAAAACTTCATTGTGTTTTAATGAAATGTAATAATTATTAAAAATAAAATTATATAAATAAAAAATAAAATAAAAAAATATTTTATATAATATAATATATGTAATATTTATATACTATATAAATATATATATAAA